AAGCGGCGTTACGTCAAGTCTCGGAGTACCAATCAGAAGAAAGAAAAATATATGGCCAGATTTTCAATGAATTTTAATGTTGAATGGACGTAACAACGCTTCAAAACGCTTAAAAAATTGGTCCATTTGCATACTGTTGGCAGCATTAGTAATGCTAAATGGGCCGTTCTATAGAAGCATATGAAAGTGAAAACGTTTGAGCGTTTGTAGCGCCAAGTGGATCGCACCCAAGATGTAACAACCATGCATGGCAAACTCCCATATGCGAAATCAGGCCGTATATTCGCCTATAGGTGGCGCATAGTACGGTATAACGTTGGCCATTGCCCACATTCTTGATGTTCTTGATATCCGCCGTTATTTACGCACGAGAAATATTGTATGTACATTGACAATCTTGTGTTTCGCGGGTTTTCTCCGTGTTCAAATCCATTCTTGGAATGCCAACGTTTCGTGAACCTTGCAGTCCACTTCATCAGGGCGAGGAGCAGCCTGATACCAGTCAGATTTGAACACGGAGAAAACCCGCGAAACACAAGATTGTCATAATTCATATATTATTAATCAATTGCAGTTTTTAGAATAATGTACGATATCAATAGCTACAAATGTGATAATTTGACACATTAAATAATAAAAATTGCAATATAAATTGTGAACGAAAAACTTGTGAAAAAATTATTCTAAGACGTTCCATAAGTCATATATTGATAACATTCAATACCAATCTGCCGATGAGAATCGATTATGTGCAGATTTTTGTGCGTGAAGTATATTATTCAAAGAATAAAATTTTATAACGGTAAAGTGTAATCTTCACTGCTGAATTCCTATCTAAGTATAGTTTATCATGATTTCTATTTGTGTCTTGAGTATACCGTATTTGCGTTTCATTAGAGATGCATGGATTACCGTTGCTTTCGTAATAGAGTCAGAGCAATCGGCAGATACGTTTAAACATGAAATTGAATCAATATAGAAACATCAAACAAACGATTCTACTTATATACATGTAAATTCTTAAAATATTATCGGCTAATATTGCGTAATAAAAATCACCATACACGTAAATATGATATGTTACGCATGTGAGTGATTTATATTTAAAAAACTTATGATGGCTAGATAAAATATATCTATGACATTAGCCTTATTTGTGGCATATATTTTGATATATATATATATATATATTATTTTAAAATATATGTATATTTATGTATATATTACATGATTTTTCAAATCGTATATAATTTTTTATATATACGCATAAAATTATAAACAATAATCTTTCTTAAATTCTGATATGAATTATAGATTATACTAATAAGTTTTACTGTCCATTTCATAATATTAATCTATTGATATTATCAATGCAATGACGTAAAAATAATTTAATTGAAAGTGAAAAAATATTTTATGCCTTTTTGATATATCTAATTTAATGCTTCACCGATGGAATGGTGGAATTTACGGAAAACATGTATATTAATTTCATTATATTGATTCTAAAACCTGTCTCGTTGCCCTTGAAATAAAATAACTGGCACTAATATATGTATAAGTACCTTTGTTTGATGTATAGTGTATCAAAAAGTTTCTTTCCGTGCAATAAGACTCGTTCTCTTCCCAAGCAAAGCAAGTGCTTCTAATGCCCAATTTCTTCATCTCTAGATAACTTTATCCAAGAGATATCTCCCAGAATACAATGGAGATATCTCCTGGATAATCCGCAACTCATCCGGAAATGAAGAAATTGGACATAAGCCATTTTTCATATTAAAGTGGGTCGTAAAATATATAAATCTTTTTATCGATCTTATGTTGAAGATAAAAGTACTGATTGTATATTTATAATTAATAAATTGACTTTATATGTATATGCTAAAAAAAATAAACAAAATTTATTAAAATATTCGGAAAAAATAAACTTGACGAGATACATATCTCTTACACATGCGATAATATTGAAGGAATTAATTTAATTTGTAATCTTATTTGTAATTAAGAGATCTGAATAGTATCTTGTTTAAATACTCGTATCTGCATATGTATGCCTATCAGGGCATCGATAATAATGACGTGAAAGTGCATCCATTACGACGTCACTCCAGAACAATTCTATGTCGTGCTCGACTTGAGATACTGTGGGAGTAAATTAACGTAAACTCTACATCCAATCAAAAAGTTCATTTTACTTGTGACATCGTGCGTGGTTGTCTCTTTAAATAGTTTAAATGTCTCAGGCACCTGCACAAGATTTGCCGTTATACGCTTCCGACACATCGAACAGTACGTATTGTCGCTTGTAATATCCACAGTATAATTAGCAACAAAGTGCAAAGTCACACAAAAGATAGCGGGAAAACGAGTAGAAAAAGGAAAATAGCACAAAAGAAGATCTAACAGATCTTAACATAAGCAAGAAAATAAATGGCGAGAGTTCGAAAAAAGACAAATATAATGAAAGATATTTAAGTCCATAAATATAGAAAATCAAAGAAAAAGAAACGGTACCAAATGCGGTCAAAATGAGAGAATGCAGAACTCAGATGTATATAGGAAGGAATAAAGAGAAATCAAAGAAAGACCAACGAAATGAGAAATTAAAGGGAAGTGTAAACGGAAGAATAAGGGACAGGATTAAGAAGAGACGGAAGAGAGACGTCTTTGCTACGGACTCCGGATCAGTCTGTAACCGTGCACTATCGTGCGCACGGACGTCCGTGGAGAACTGTTAATGACGTGAAAGTGCATCCACGAGGAGCGAGGAAGCAGGCAGGTAAGCAGATCGCCGTTCTCCTAATAGTTTTGCCTCGTCCAGGACAATCCCCTGGATTGTAGCCCGGCTTGGAGAAATCATCTGCATCGCCTGATCAAGGTAATGAACGTCTTGTTTAGCTTTCCTTGAATGCGGTTTCGCCAAGCGTTCGTTTTTTTTTCTAACACACACATTCGAAGATGATCGAATTAATTTTGATAAGACGAAAAGTGGGAAGCTAATTTTTAAGTTACGTGTATATTGCAAAGTAAAATTGTCGACGCATAGAATAAACATTTTATTATTTTAATACTGCATTACCTAGAAAGTAATGCTTCTTACTTACATAATACAATCGGATCATACTAAATAAAAAAATATGAAATTAAAGTATATGGCAAAAAGATGATAAAATAAAGATTTTTTTTTTCTATGACGCAAGTCTTGCCTGACATCGTTCTTATATCTGCCGTAATGAGACTATCCAGTTGCATTTCTTTTGACCTTTTCAATGGTAGGGTTTTTTTAATAAGGCTGAGATATATTCTTTTAGCATGAATTACGTAATTGATATTACGATAAAGTTTTTAATAATTTTATCAATTTTATCAGAATAATAAATTGTAAGATTTCTAACTATCTTATTGCAACGATTTCGCTTTTATCAAATAATGATAGAAAATGATAAGAAATGATAATACTTTTTTGAAACAAAAAGTAAGACATAAATTACAATAGAAAACGATAAGATTGTTAGCAGATCCTATCGATTCCTACCATTTTCTCTCTTGCTTTTTTTTTAGACAAGAATGACGCATTAATATTATATCAGAAGAGAAAATGATATTGTAGCAAAAAATAAAATAAGGTTATATTTGAAAATATGAAATGCAAGTAATTAAATGAAATATGCAAAATAAAAGACTTCGTAAATTTGTAAGAGATAAACTCAATATAAAACATCCAATGCGTAATATATATCAATGCATGAAACGTATTTCTGGACTATAAGAGAAACAAGTAGGGACACAATTACTAAAATAAATGTTGATAACGGTAGCACAAAAGGTTTTGATCGTCTCACAAAAAAAGCTGGAATGGCTACTCTCATGCTTCTAAATGGCATAACTATTTCCTTTTTCTTCATTTTTCTTAAGGTATTCCGAGGCACATCCCTTCCTTCGCTAAAACTTAAAACATTTTAACACCATTGTATTTTGATAAACAGTAGCTCCAAAATGATCAAGCTGACCACAATTGAAACAATATTGATCAGAGTTAATGCCTTCGGTCTTTATGCTCCGGTCGCAGCTTACAATTGCACTTATCTTGTCTGGACACTGAGACAGATTCACCGTTTTCATCTTTCAATGACATCCTCTCGAAACAGCAACATATTTTTTGTGGGCGAGTAGCCATATCAATCAGAGCTTGTCGAAGCATCTCAATTTCTTTTCGAGCTAACATTAACTCTTGCTCAGCAAGTTCTTTTTCTCTTCGGTACAATTCAGCCTCTCTCCATATCATATGTACATCAACAAAGTATTTCGGGTTTATCTCCTCTGTGACACCCGCTGCCATTTTGGTCCCTTCAAATCGATTGATATTTACATCGGTAAAGTTTCTTGTCGCGTTCGTCGCCTCTGCAGCACTCGCTACAATTTTGGCTTTTCCAAACTGAAATGTTCCTACATATCCTTTCGAAATATCACCAACGAAGTTTCTTACTGCCGCGTTCGTCTCCTTTGTGGCATTCGCTACCGCTTTGGCCTCTACAAACCGAATCATATTTACATCAGTAGAATTTCTTACAGTCGCGTTCATCGATTCTATGGCACCCGCTGTCATTTATGTCTTTCCAAATCGAATTATATTTACATCGGTAAAGTTACCTGCTGTCGTGTTAGTTGTTTCTATGGTATCTGCTGCCGTTTTGGTGTCTTCAAATCGAAACACATTTATATTCGTAGAGCTTTTTGCTGCTGCATTCGTCACTTCAGCAGCACCCGCTGGCGTTTTAGTGTCTCCAAATTGAAACATATTCATATTAACAGAGGTCTTTGTTTCCCCGTTCATTGCCTCTGTGGTACTCGCTACCGTTTTATCTTCTACAAACCGAAACATATTTACATCAGTACAGTTTCTTACGCGGGGTTTACAATAGAAGTCGTAACGGTCGTAAAGTCTTAAGTTGTAGAAATTTAATTAATCACAGTCGAATACGAGAAGAATAATTGACTATAATTAATTAATTTTTTACGACTTAAGCTCTTCTTATTAAGGCTCTTCTATATAGAAATTATAGATGATTGTGGGGTCTTAAGTCATACGAAATTGATTTATCACAGTCAAATATAAGAATTTTTGAATAAAATTGGTCAATTTCTTACGATTTAAGATCCTACGACTGTCTACGACTTCTATGTAGATGAGCATTTACTGTCGCATTCATCAACTCTATGGCACTCGCTATTATTTTCGTCTCTGCAAGTCGAATTATATTTACATCCCTTGATAGCAAAGCCTTTGGAAACAGATTTTGAGCAGGACCTACTACCAATTTTTGATTATAGAAAGGCAACAAAATGTACAGTATTATCTGACATTGTCAGCAAATTGCTGTCATCAGAAATATAATAGTCTGCAATATACACTATGCCAGCACATTGGTAGTAGAAACCGAACAAAATTCTGCATAACCTGACGACAGATTGAGAGCAGAACCTAATTCGAACAAACTGCTCGATTTCGGCCACCAATTTTCTAACACAGCTACACAGCCTGTCTTTGTTGACAGATGCATAACCAAATGCGGATACAGATGGCTATGATTTTGTAGTAAAAATCTGATCGAGTTTACTGCTAATTTAACCCCAAATTGGTAATATTTTGCTATCAGGGGATCGATAGAGTTACCTGCTGTCGTTTTGGTGTCTCGAAATTGTATATTCATCTTGGTACAGTATCTCGCTACCGATCTCCTCGCCTTCGCTAGCTGTCTACTATATTCAAATAAAGATCGTCCTTTAGTGCTATTATCCTCGACGGAGAGTTTTGTTGCCGCGTTTTTCACCTCTGTGACACTCACTACCGTTTTGACAAGCCGAATATTTACATCAGTAGAGTTTCTCATGCTGATTCTTGATACAATGGCTACGTTCAGCAGATTCAGCAGTTTTGCAACCGTTTTATGATTCTTCGCTCAGATTGGACTATTTCTTTAAAACTAAAATATAAACCAATCAGCGCGACGAATCATAAAACGGTTGCAAAACTGCCGAGTCTGCTGAACGCAGCCAATGGTCGCGTTCAGCAGACTCAACTGTTGTGGAGCGGATCCGTGAGCGCTCGCTGCTATTGGATGATCTAGAAGAATACACCAATAACAACGAGCGCTCACGGATCTGCTCCACAATAGTTGAGTCTGCTGAACGCGACCAATGAGTCGGTAGTCGACGTTCCTGGGAGACTTCCCCCACCACTTGTTACCAAGTGGTAGCGCAAACCGGAAATTGTCGTCACATCACCGGTAAGAGGAGCTCCTGAGTTTTATCGGTGTAGTCGACCAATAGTTGCCAACGACTAACTCTGATTGACCAACTTCACTGATTAAGATTAAAGGTTTGTTTTCTATAGCAGAACTAGTGTATATTCTTTTGGAATTTAAAGTGAGATAGGTGTATGTTTGATATTTGTCGCGAAAGCGAGAAAAAGTTCTAAGTACAGTCTAGTGCAGGAACAGAAAACAGATCATCTGACTTCCGACTACAGACTAGGGCCGCGGTCCGATACACGCTCACACGCTTAAAAATCATTTCATCCTTGTTGTTTGTCAAATGTTAAACGAAGACAAATAATGCTCATGAGCGTTGTCAGCATGATTCGGACCACGGCCTAGTATAGACTCGTTGCAGAATCAGCATTACCGTTGTATTCATCAATTCATCGACATCCACTGTCATTTTCGTCTCTGGAAATCGACGCCTGAGCCATAGAAGATGCTACATCGATAAAAACATGAAAAAAGGTTTATGTCAAGAAATTAATAAAAAGCGTCAGTACATGTTACATGCCTCCTTAACCCGAAAAAGAAGCTCATGCAGATAATCAGATATGGCTGAAACATAAACTAATTAATGTCGGATTTTTCGATTAGCTACTAAGAGAATTCTCGATATAAGTCGCGCGATTGAGATAACCGTCACTGGGTAATGCGTATACGTATATACATCAATTAATACTAGAAATTTAACTGCTTATTACGGTCGGAGCTGGATCTTCGTTGCTTTTTAATAATTCAATCTTGAATTACTAATAATATATACTATATATGTACCATATATACCATATTGCATATATACCACATTGTAGTCTTTTTCTAACTGTGCTTTTCTAATTGCGTTTATTTAGTCCGGGAAAATATTTCGGCGCGCAGTTAGAAAAAGATTACAATATGATATATATGCAAGTACATATATAGTATACATATATTAGTAATTCAAGATTGAATTATTAAAAAGCAACGAAGATCCAGCTCCGACCGTAATAGGCAGTTAAATTTCTAGTATTAATTGAGTTTCTCAAATATACGGTCAAAAAATATAAATATATTGTGCATATATACATCACTTATTTCATGAAATATATAATATACATATATATATATATTGGAATTTAACCAATAATACATATATGCCACATCTAGCGAAAACTTAATTTTATAAAGTCTTATTTGCTATATTTAAGATAAGTAAACTATGCCTACAAAAACTTCATACTGTCCACTACTATAACAATTAAAAACATGAAATATTTATTTTCTGTATTTGAAGAAGAACTTTTAAAAATCTTTACATATTATATTTTGCTGTATATCCATACAAGTGGGATATATGATCACTCATGGATAGGACACATAGATCATAAAATTTACAAGTAATACTTATAAATAAGACATCAATTACCACAGTAATTTACAAAATGTGTCTACAAAGTTTTATTAGGGAATAAGAATTATAAATATATATTTACATATACGAAGTAGTACATGCGGTAATTATTTTAATCTCCTATATATTTGATAAGTGTTATGATGTAAGGTATATGTCTTATGTAACCATTTATTGTATTTAAATACAACTGAGTCGAATCTGAGCTACACTTTGTGTGCTCTGCGCGTATATTCTTTCTCCAAACAGGTGGAACATATAAAACATTAAGCTAAATCAAAAATATAAGAGTTAAGCACTTGTATTTTGCTTGTATACTCCATCCTTTATTATCTCTCTATAGTTATGTATCGCAAAATAACTATTAAGACAATGTAATTAAAAAGACATATAACCACGAACGCCTGATATCGATGGCTTAAAGTTAATATATTTAATACAATAAATAGACGTTTCGGTCTTGAATCAGACCTTCCTCAGTATGAATATAATTAAACGTGATACGCATATATATTACAACATAATTTAAGTCTTAAGAATAGATAACTATTAAGTCTTTTATATTTCTTATAGTAATCATTTTATGATCAATTTATTGATTTAATTTACAATAATTTTGTTAACATTAACAATAAAAAACTGAAATTATAACACAATATTTATGTAACATAAAGGTATATGACAGTAATTGCATGCAAAAAAAATTACTCCACGTCCTTTTATTTCTTCTAACTTCTGCGGCGTAAATTCCAAAGTTTGTAAATTTGTAGAAAGAGATAAACTCAATATAAAATATCCAATGTGTAATACATATGAAGTATGCATGAAACATATTTCGGACTCTTTCAGAGAAACAAGTAGGGATACAGTTACTAAAATAAGTGTTGATTGCGGTAGTATATAATAGGTTTCGATGATTTTGATGGACTCACGAAAAAAGCTAAGATGGCTGCTCTCATACTTTTAACTATTTCCTTTTTCTTCATTTTTCTTAAGGTATTCCGAGGCAACATGCCTTCCCTCGCTAAAACTTAAAACTTAAAACTTAAAATATTTTAATTGTATTTTGTCAGACAGTAGCTCCCGAATGATTATGCTGACCACAATTGAAACAATGTTGATCAGAGTTAATGCCTTCGGTCTTTATGCTCCGGTCGCTGCTTACAACTGCACCTATCTTATCTGGGACAGATTCACCGTCGTCATCATCAAATGATATCTTTTCGAAACAGCAACATATTTTTTGTGGGTATCAATCAGAGCATATCGAAGCATCTCAATTTCATTTCGAGCTAACATTAACGCTTGCTCAGCAAGTTCTTTCTCTCTTCGGTACAATTCAATCTTTTTCCATATCATATGTACATCAAAGTATCTTGTCGGATTTATCTCCTCTGTGACACCCGCTATAGTTTTGGCCTTTCCAAATCGAAATATGTTATCATCAATATAGTTTCTTGCTGCCGCGTTCGTCTCCTCTATGGCATTCGCTACCGCTTTGGCCTCTACAAACCGAATCATATTTACATCAGTAGAATTTCTTACCGTCGCGTTCATCGATTCTATGGCACTCGCTATCATTTCTGTCTCTTCAAATCGTATTATATTTACATTGGTAAAGTTACCTGCTGTCGTGTTCGTTACTTCTGTGACACCTGCTGCCGTTTTGGTGTCTTCAAATCGATTCACATTTATATTCGTAGAGCTTTTTGCTGCTGCATTCGTCGCTTCAGCAGCATCCGCTGTCGTTTTAGTGTCTCCAAATTGAAACATATTCATATTAACAAGGGTCCTTGTTTCCTCTGTACTCGCTACCGTTTTATCTTCTACAAACCAAAACATATTTACATCAGTACAGTTTCTTACGCGGGGCCTACAATAGAAGTCGTAGCAGTCATAAAGTCTTAAGTCGTAGAAATTTAACTAATCACAGTCAAATATGAGAAGAATAATCGACTACAATTAATCAATTTTCTATGACTTATAATCCTACGATCGCTACGACTTCTATATTGTAGACCCCTATATTGTATACTACTTCTATATTATATTAAGGCTCTCCACAAAGATATCATAGACGATTGTAGGGTCTCAAGTCATAGGATTTTGATCAATTACAGTCATATATAAGGAGAATATTCGACTTATAGAATTGATCAATTTATTATGACTTGAAACCCTACGACTGTCTACGACTTCTATGTATAATAGATGAGTCTTTACTGTCACATTCATCAACTCTGCGGCACTCGCTATCATTTTTGTGTCTGCAAGTCGAATTATATTTATATCCTCTGATAGCAAAGCCTGTGGAGACAGATTTTGAGCAGGACCTATTACCAATTTTTGATTACAGAGAGGCAAGAAATTGTACACAGAGTTTGTATTATGTGATATTGTCAGCAAATTGGTATCATCAGAAATATGACAGTCTGCAATATACACTATGCCAGCATATTGATAGTAGAAACCGAACAAAGTTCTGCATAACCTGACAATAGATCGAGAGCAGAACCTAATTCGAGCAAATTGCTCGATTCCACCAATCTGCTCACACAGCCTGACAGCAGACTTTGTTGACAAATGCGGACACAGATGACTATGATATTGTAGTCAAAATCTGATCGAATTTACTGCCAATTTGGCCCCAAATTGCTAATATTTTGCTATCAGGGGATCGATAGAGTTACCTGCTGTCGTATTCGTTCCTTCTGTGACACTTGCTGTCATTTTTGTGTCTTCAAATCGAATCAGATTCCTATCCATAGAGTTTCTTGCTGTCGCGTTAGTTACCTTTGCGGCATCCGCTGTTTTGGTATCTTCAAATCGAATCTTATTTAGATTGCTATAGGTTTTTGTTGCAACGTTCGTCAAATCTGCGGCATGCACTACCGTTTTGGTATGTGTGAACCACTTGCCGTCCATCGTAGGTTTTTCGTAAGATGTGATCCGGTTTCTCTCAGTATCCATTGTTTGCACATGGGACTGATACGGCGTGTGTATTTGTAACCGTTTTATCAAATCCGCCTTTATACCACTTGCCGTCCATCGTAGGTTTTTCGTAAGATGTGATCCGGTTTCTCTCAGTATCCATTGTTTGCACATGGGACTGATACGGCGTGTGTATTTGTAACCGTTTTATCAAATCCGCCTTTGTGCCAGTGACTGGAAGATCCTTAGCTTTCAATTGCGTCTTTAATTCATATACAGTAGAATCCTTCAATTCACTTTCCTTTGATCCTCTTGTATAAGACTGACATGACGAGTTTGTTTGCAACCGATTTATCAAATCCGCCTTCGAGCCAGTAACTGGAAGATCCTTAGCTTTCAATTGCGTCTTTAATTCATATACAGTAGAATCCTTCAATTCACTTTCCTTTGATCCTGTTGTATAAGACAAATTTGTATAAGACTGATACGGCGTATCTGCTTGCAACCGATTTATCAAATCCGCCTTTGTGCCAGTGACCGGAAGGTCCTTAGCTTTCAGTTGCGTCTTTAATTCATATACAGTAGAATCCTTCAATTCACTTTCCTTTGATCCTCTTGTGTAAGACGAATTTGTATAAGACTGACATGACGAGTTTGTTTGCAACCGATTTATTAAATCCGCCTTCGAGCCAGTAACTGGAAGGTCCTTAGCTTTCAATTGCGTCTTTAATTCATGTACAGTAGAATCCTTCAATTCACTTTCCTTTGATCCTGTTGTATAAGACGAATTTGTATAAGACTGATACGGCGTGTCTGCTTGCAACCGATTTATCAAATCCGCCTTTGTGCCAGTGACTGGAAGATCCTTAGCTTTCAATTGCGTCTTTAATTCATATACAGTAGAATCCTTCGATTCACTTTCCTTTGATCCTCTTGTATAAGACGAATTTGTATAAGACTGACATGACGAGTTTGTTTGCAACCGATTTATCAAATCCGCCTTCGAGCCAGTAACTGGAAGGTCCTTAGCTTTCAATTGCGTCTTTAATTCATATACAGTAGAATCCTTCGATTCACTTTCCTTTGATCCTCTTGTATAAGACGAATTTGTATAAGACTGACATGACGAGTTTGTTTGCAACCGATTTATCAAATCCGCCTTCGAGCCAGTAACTGGAAGGTCCTTAGCTTTCAATTGCGTCTTTAATTCATATACAGTAGAATCCTTCAATTCACTTTCCTTTGATCCTCTTGTATAAGAATTTGTATAAGACTGATACGGCGTGTCTGTTTGCAACCGATTAATCAAATCCGCCTTCAAGCCAGTAACTGGAAGGTTCCTATTTTTCAATTGCGTCTGTAATTCATATACAGTAGAATCCTTCCATTCATTTACCTTTGATCCTCTTGTATAAGACGAATTTGTATAAGACTGATATGACGAGTTTGTTTGCAACCGATTTATCAAATCCGCCTTCAAGCCAGTAACTGGAAGGTTCCTACTTCTCAGTTGTTGCTTTAATTCTTTCACGGTAAAATTACTCATTTTGAGTAACCGTTTTTTAGTCACTCAAACACGACAACAATCGTTCACACTTGAAACAAACACCAAAACTCTTATCAGACTTGTCTCGTTTCTAATTTTGGACAAGTCCTCAAATTATACAAATTTCTTTTTTTTTTAACGTTACTTTAATTATAAAATATTATATGATCGAAAAAAAACCCGCTTGGTTCGCAATATATCGTTTAATATCGTTGGCGATATTTGTCTGTGTCGATCCGCACTTATAACGCTAATACGTTAGTAACCGTTAATAACGATTGCACTTGTGTGTTATGACTTTTACGCACCGAACGCAGAAGTATTTATCGTTCACCACGCGGCATGACTATACGTTACATACTGATATAAAACAAGCATTTATCAGAATGGTTGCGTGCGTTTTATCCTTACTCATATTTTTTCTGATTTCTGCGACGTAAATCCCCGTGCGTAATACCTCAGCGTAAATACAGGAATTATCTCCACACACACATATCAAGAATTGATACGATATGAATCATAGACATAATATTAAGGATTGATAAGGATCCATCTAGACAATATAACCGACAATATAAAGAAAATTATCCAATCACATTTAACGTACGTCTTTATAATAAAAATATGCTTGGATAATTTTTTTTATATATATAGTTACGCAATTATATATTATATGCAAGTTCGTCTGAGGCAGTTGGAATAGTAATTACAAATTAAATATTAATGCTGAATATTTATTTAAAACACCGTAAAGTTACAGTATTTAGTTAACAATATTTTAAAAAGATGCTTATTGACATCAATATCTAATTTGCGATATCACTGTTACAGTTTTAATTAAAAACTGTTTCAAGACCAAAAATACCAGCGTAGTTTGTAAAATTGGACAATGTATATAAATTCATACGGAAGTATTATTAAAAAGCATAAATATTTACATTAATTCTGGTCGAAGCTTATTTTTATTATTGCTAATGAAAACTATGAACAGTATTTTCTTTTAAATTTTAACACGAATTACATTGAGCTTTATTACTTATTTTAGAATAATAATCCATTGATATTATCAAATAATATGCAATAACATAAAAATAATTAGTTTTAAAATAATAGTTTCGAGAGATTTCTCTAAAAAAATACATGATATATCATTTTATTGCACTGAATACAGGATACTCAGATCGTTCTCTTTCTAAGCAGAGCAAGTATTTCCAAGCTATTTTCGTATTGAAATGGATCACAAAAATACATGAGTCTTTTTTTTTATCTTTTTATTGAGAATAGAAATGTTTGTTGTATTTGTAAGTAATAAATTGATTTTATACGCTATATATAAAATTAACAATTCACTGTTACAATTGCTATAATAATATCCAGGATGGAACATAGCGTTTTATTCTAATCATATACTCATATGAATGAAAAATTGAATAACGTGTACTAATGAATGTATGTATATATATATACATATATGCATATTAATGCAATGGTAATCGATACTTCAGGCCAGTGATGCGCAACTTTTTTAAGGATCATTTTTAATGGCCATTTTCAGAAATAGAAAATAAATTAAGGATCGCATAGTGCAGTTTATTTCGTTTGTATAAAATAAAGAGTACGATTTTATATTTCTGGTTATGCCAATGGGTCACAAAAATAATTAAGCAAGCTGCACGTTGAGCATCACTACTTTAGGCTGTAACAAAAAAAATTATGTTAACATAAATTCATATAATTATAATGTAAATATATATGCTTATTTTTTATTTGTGGCACGTACCAGAATGTTTTTGTCACCAGCGTTTTAAAATGGATGTAGGTTGATTCCATTTTTCATTGGGAAAATCATCACCGATATGTCGATCTTTCAACGGCTTATGAAAACAGCAGCATTTCTCATGTGTGTGGGCATCCGTATTTACCTGGACTCGTTGAATCTTCTCGTGTTCTTTTTTCATGAACGCCAATTCCCGCTCAAGAAGTTCTTTTTCTTTCCGAAGTAATTTAATCTCTCTCCGATACATTTCAATTTTTTTCCGAGCGATACTAATATTGGTAGAGCATCTTATTGCTGCCGTTACATCTGTTTGTTTTCTTTCTTTTTCACTTAATATAGCGTTTGATTTCTTTATTGTCTGAGACGGATATTGTTGGTGTGCTTGCAATCGTTTTACCAAGTCTTCTTTCAATCCAGTGGTTGGAAGTTTCTTAAATTTCAGTTTTAATTTTAATTCTGACGCGGTGTAATCGCTCAGCTCTCTCATTTCGAATCTGTTTCTTCCTTTGTTTCTCTCACTCTCTTTCTCTCTTTTCATTTCCATAGTCACTCAGAAATAACGACGTGGCAATTATTCACACCACAATCGAACAGCCAAATTCTTTCCGAACTCGTCTCACTTTCGATCCCGCGAAGTCTCAAATTATGAAAATTTCTTTCTTTTAATCGTTACTTTAATTATAAAATAATATGGGATCGAAGAAAAACCTGCTCGGTTCGCAATATATCATTTAATATCCTTCGCGATATTTATCTGCATCGATCCGCACTCGTAACACTAATACGTCAGTAATCGTAATAACGATTGATTGCACTGTGTGTTATGACTTTTGAGCACCGAACGCAGAAGTGTTTATCGTTCGCCGCGCGACATGACTCTATACGATACATTATATACTCATATAACACGAAGGTATGTATCAGAATGGTTGCGTATGCGTTATCCTTAAGCTAGTCACACACACTTTCCGTAACAGTAACCATAAATGTAACGTAGGTTTTCGACCAATCGCATTATTAGACTCGGTCGTTCGTAATCGTAACCGTAACAATCGAGCAACGTGATTGGTCAAAAACCTTACTGTTACGGAAAGTGTATGACTAGCTTAACTTCTGATTTCTGCGACGTAAATCCTCACGCGTGAAACCTTGGCGTAAATACCGGAGTTACTTCATATCAACAACTGATACAATATGAATCACAGACGTAACACTAAGAATTGGTAAGGATTCATCCAGATAAATTTATATAATCGCATAAAGAAAATTATTCAATCACATTTTATGTGCGTCTTTATAATAAAAATACGCTTGGATAATTTTTTTTATGTATATAGTTACGCAGTTATATATTATATGCAAGTTTGTTTGAGGCTGTTGGAATTGTAATTACAAATTAAATAGTAATGCTGAGTATCTGTTTAAAACACCGTAAAGTTACAGTATTCAGTTAATAGTATTTTAAAAAGATGCTTATTGAAATTAATATCTAATTCACGATATTAGAGGAAAGTTCCCTATTATGAGATAGGCGCCTAATATGAGATAGCGGCGTTTCTGCTAAACTAATAAATCTATTGGTTTTTTTTTTCCACCATGAATTTATTGCTCTTGGATTGAAAACTATTTAGTAGAAAATTCATTATTAGATCGTGCCTGTAGTTATTGTAAAAAAAGATTTTAGAATTTGGATATCTTCAAGTTTCATTGAGATGAGCCTTTAAATCTTGTTTATTATTTAATAAATAAATATTTGGCAATACATTCTTCATGAAGTGATAGAGTAAGGTCGTACTAAAAAAAAATACGAGATATGTTGAATTGTTTAATTACAGAAGTTAGATTTGATGATCATAAAACCATAAGGCGTTTAAATCGTAATATGAGATACCCAGGGTATTTCTAATATGAAATAACTCATGCTCCTATGTTATAGTGAAAATCGTTGCTAAAGAGTAAATGTCATTGTACTATAATAAAAAGGACAACCGGAATGAATGTCGAGTGCCTATTTCTGCGATGCTTGATTCCAACTACCTGAAGACGAGTTCTGGGTATAATCCATCGCATGCTCATTTTTCACGCACGCTGGCTGTGTTCGTTCGCATTTTAGAAACATGACATAAAGTTTTTTAATTACAATACTGATATGTTTTGCGTTTTACTATCGATTTCTCAGGGCATCTCATATTAGGAGCACAATTTTTTGACTTTGTGATTTGCTCACTTTTTACATTTCTTTAATTTAAAAAAAAATGGAATTTGATTTAAACTTTATATAACGTTATCTTAAAGCTTATTAAATTCCCTTCAAAATGACCTATTATTTTTTTAAGTTCTGCCCATAGACTTCTAGCATTTATCCAAAATAAACTCGGTATCTCATAATAGGGGCCTTTCCTCTGCTATTACAGTTTTAATTTAAAATTGTTTCAAGACCGAAAGTATTAGCGTAGTTTTGCAGAATTGGAAAATGTATATAAATTCACACAGAGTGTTATTAAAAAGCACGAATATGTACATTAACTCTGACCGAAGCTTATTTTTATTTATTGTTAATGAAAACTATGAACAGTATTTTCTTTTAAATTCTAACACGAATTACAGATTATATTGTGCTTTACTGCTTATTTTATAATAATAATCCATTGATATTATCAAATAATATGCAATGATATAAAAATAATTAGTTAAAGAGATTTCTCTAAACAAATACATGATATATTATTTTATTGCACTGAATACAAGATACTCAGATCGTTCTCTTTCTAATGTCCAATTTCTTCACCTCTAGGTAACTTTATCCAAGAGATATCTTCCAGAATACAATGGAAATATCTCTTGGATAAGGTTATCCGCAACTTATCTGGGAATGAAGAAATTGGGCATAAGCAGAGCAAGTATCTCCAAGCTATTTTCATATTGAAACGGATCACATGAAATACATGAGTCTTTTTTTATCTTTTTATTGAGAACAGAAGTGTTTCTTGTATTTGTAAGTAATAAATTGATTTAATACGCTATATATAAAATTAATAATTCACTGTTACAATTGCTATAATAACATCCAGGATGGAACATAGCGTTTTATTCTAATACTATTGCTTTATATGTTTATAAAGAATTTTTCTATAGAAACGCTGTACATATACTCGTATGAATGAAAAATTGAATAACGTGTACTAATGAATGTATATGTATATGTATATTAATGCAATGTTAATCGATACTTCAGACAAGTGATGCGCAACTTTTTTAAGGATTATTTTCAATGGCCATTTTCAGAAATAGAAAATAAATTACGGATCGCATAGTGTTTATTTCATTTGTATAAAATGAAAAGTACAACTATATCCTTCTGACTATGCCGATGGGCCACAAAAATAAACTCGCACGTTGAGCATCATTACTTTAGGCTATAACAAAAAAAATTGTATAAACATAAATATATATAATTATAATGTAAATGTATATGCTTATTTTTTATTTGTGGCACGTACCAGAATGTTTTTATCACCAACGTTTTAAAATGGATGTAGCCTAATTTCATTTTACATCGGGAAAATGAAATCCACGTCGACCGTAGTACCGTGCGGGAGTTTCAATTTGGATGGTTCTGCGAGGGCCAGGACGGCTACTCTCAGGCTTCTCCCTAGCATAAGTATGTCTTCTTTCTTCATTTTTGTTGTAGTATTCGGAAGCGACATGCCTCTTCGTATACTTGAAATGGTACTTAGCATCCTTGTACTTCGTCCGACAGTTAGCTTCTGAATGATCACGTTGACCACAATTAAGACAACGGCTAGGTGTTTTTGACTGCTCTCTCTTACGTTCCGTTCGTTGCTTAGTGTCTTCATCCCGCTTGGGTACCAAGCGATCACCACCGCTATGTCGATCATCCAACGTCTTATGAAAACAGCGGCTTTTCTCATGTGTACGGCCATTCGTATTTATCTGAACTTGTTGAATCTTCTCGAGTTCTTTTTTCATAAACGCCAATTCCCGCTCAGCAAGTTCTTTTTCTTTCCGATATAATATAGCCTCTCTCCGATACAATTCATTTTCTTTCTGAGTGATACTCATATTGGTAAAGTATCTTATTGCTGTTACATCTGTTGCTTGCTTTCTTTCTTTTTCACTTAATAGAGCGTTTGATTTCTTTATTGTCTGAGACGGATATTGTTGGTCTACTTGCAATCGTCTTATCAAATCTTCTTTTAATCCAGTGGTTGGAAGTTTCTTAAATTTCAGTATTACTCTTAATTCTGATGTGGTCAGTTCTTTCATTTTGAATCTGCTTCTTCCTTTCTTTCTCTCACTCTCACTCTCTTTCTCTCTTTTTATTTTTATAGTCACTCAGAAATAACATGGCAATTGTTCACACCATGATCGAACAGTCTAACTCTTTTCGAACTGATCTCTCGAACTTTCGATCCCGCGAAGTCTTAAATTATGAAAATTTCTTACTTTTAATCGGTACTTTAGTTATAATATTATATAAAATCCAAAGCCCTCTCGACTCGTGATACAAACCATAGTCACCATCTCAATGTCATTGCCGCGATGTTTATATTAGATACCGGTCTGATAACTTACGTTAGTTCTCTAATACGTCAATAGTCGCGCTCGCGCATTGATTTGAGAGTAAGGCGCGAAATCTAAACCTCTACAGTATTGTAGGGCATTCACAAATTTCTCCATCAATGGCTAATGAATCTTTGTTCTCTAAATCTCTTTGTTATGATGCACCAATATACGTCACGCGCCTCCCTTTAACCGAGAAAGAAGCTCATACATATATGGCTGGAAACATAAATTAATGTCGGCTTTTTCGATTAGCTGCTAAGGGCGATATTCATAATCCGTTCTTATTTCAAGACTTAAGACGCTAATTCGACCCTTTGATTCATAACTTCTTAAGACTGTACTTAAGACGATCTTGAATAATTTGCTATGTTTAAGATAAATAAACTATGCCTAAATACATACATATATGAAGTAGTGTACGGTAACTATTTTAATCTTCTACATGTTTTATAAGTGTTATGGGGTAAGGTATATATCTTATGTAACCATTTATTGCATTTGAATGCAACTGACTCGAATCCATGCACTTTGTGTGCTCTGCGCGTATATTCTCTCTAAAAAATATGTGGGATATATAAAACATAAAGCTGAATAAAAAATACACGAGTTAAGCATTTTGCTATACTCCATTAAGTATTTTGCTATACTCCATCTTTTATTATCTCTCTACAATTATGTATCGCACTATTAAAACTTTTATATTTCTTATAGTAATCATTTCATAATCAATTTATTGATTTAATTTATAATAATTTTGTTAACATTAACAATAAAAGACTGTAATCATAACACAATATTTATGTAACATAAAGGTGTATAACAGTGATTGCGTACAAATTACTCCACGTTTTTTTATTTTTTTCTAACTTCTGCGGCGTAAATTCCGAAGTTACCTTAATTAGCAGAAAAATTAACAAAGCCGTGGAAAAGACGCGGGAAACACGAAGACCAGTAATCACTGATAAAAAAGATAGATGGCATAAAAGGGCATAACAGTTTTTAAATTAAGCAAGAAAATAAATTGCAAGAGTTGAAAGAGACATAAATGTAAAGACTGAAAGATAATTAAACTTATAAATAGGTAGCAAAAGAAAGAGTAGTAATGGGGCTAAAATAAAAGGTTGCAGAATTCGTACATAGAAAGAAATAAACCAACTCTTTGATAAAAAACCAAAGAGAGACGAATAAAGTCGGAAGTTAACGGGAGGTACAAACGTAAACAGGAGGACAGGAAAGAATAGGGAGGACCAAAAGAGACAGGAAGAAACGTCCTTGCTTTAGACTAGTCCGTATTGCCCGTAACTGTGCCCTCGTGCACACCGGCGCCCGTGGAGAACCAGTAATGACGTGAAAGTGCATCTACGAGAAGCGAGGAGACAGGCAGGCAGGTAGGCCGCCGTTCTCCTGGCAGTCTTGCTACGTCCAGGACAATCCCCTGGATCGTGGTCGGCCCGGCTTGGAGAAATTGTCTGCTTCTCGACGATCGAAGTGTTCGCCTGACCGAGGTGGCGAACGTCTCGTTCGCAGCGCGGTTGCTCTCTCAGTCACCTTCTTTTCTCGAGTGCGTTTTCGCTACAGCTGTCAAGCATTTCTTTTTCTTTTCTCCGATACTCGTGTTCGAAGGTGAACAATTTTCAGTGAGGTGATTTCGACAGAATCTTCGTCCTTTTTCTTGTGAGAAACGTGATCAGTTGGAAACGGAGTCATTTTCACTTGCACGTTCAACAATTTAGGTACGACATAAATGGAACAGAATTGATTTATTGTATTCTGAACGTTTACTATTTGTCGATTGATATTATTTATATAATGCGATTGTTGATATATATTCATACGATATGAATCGATTGTTGATATATTTACACGAGAAAGTGTAAAAATTGCAATGTATATGTGAATTACGTGTAAAGGCGGCCTTTTAATTATGGAAAGATTATTTAAACTGAGACGAATGTTAGCAAGAACAAATAAGATTAATGGAATTGTGTTTCTTTCAAGATCGTTCACAGATCTTATAAGATAAATCTAGTATATATTAAGCTTTAAACCGTTACACACACATTACATTAGTTAGTTCTAATGAAGATGTTTTATGCATGAAGCTACATCACCATATGTGACTTGAGCAATTCTTTATTTATTAATTATATTCTCCAACACGGAATTTGGATACGAATGGGATAAAGTAATTCTTACAGATTTTTTTATCACTGATTATGAATCCGTAAATGAAATTGCTCTATCACACTACATTTTTGAGAGTTTAAAAGTATTTAAAAAATGCCATTTTCGACATTTTTAGGTTCAATTTTCTCAAAAATGCAATATGATAGAGCAATTGCATTTGCGAGTTTATTTTCAACAATAAAGAATCTGTAAGAATTACTTTATCTAATTTATGATTTAGAAAAGAAGTTTAAATTTGTTGGACATTGTTATTGGATTGTGTAATTATTTGACAATAAATATTAAGTTACAATTTTTATTTTAGTAGCCTCTATTTTTAGAAATTAAAATTAGTCATATTTTGTTTATTTTTTTTCTTTTATAATAAAAGTTACTTAAACATATTTAAAAATTATAAATAATTATTTTTTATGTGCAACTCAGAATTTGTCATTCATCGCTTATTTGCGAAAAATTGCATTAAATTAGTTAACGTTTTCCTCATTGAAGAGTTTAAAAATATTATTTACATAATATATGAAAACAATTTATTTCAAAGGCAACATCAATAAAATACAAAAAGAAGGTTCTGTTTCAAACCATAAAGTTATATTAATAAAATTAATATTTTTTATATTAACTTTCAGTTGTTATCTCAATAAAATCCTTTTTTACATTATACTTTTTCAATAAAACTTCGGAACTATTATATTAAACTTCATTATGGTTTCTAAATTAATGGACATTAGCTTCAATAAATATGATAATAAAACGATAAGTGTAGACCTACTGAGAAATGCCAAGGAACGGCACTTTTCGCCAAGCGGAAGTTTCAACAGCGGTAAATGACCGATCGTGTTATTTACGCGCTCTCGCCACAATCGGCGACGATCAGCGTGTATTTATTGAGAAAAAATAATTGTTTCATAAATCCCGACTCTTCCTGTAAGAATAATCACATGAGTTTCTTTAAGTGTTCTTTTTTTTTTGCAGTATACGGGACGCTAACATCTCCGAAGCGGAGGCGTGCAGGAGATGCATTTTGCCGATATTCAGGCTTGCGGTTCTTAACAAAACGGAAACGGACAATTGATCGTCTTCATCGCTATTGATACCCATACGCTCACGAGGGAAAGAAATCCACGATGATCTCTGTGACTTCTCGAGTCGGCCAAGTTCTGGAGGAGTGCTGACAAAGCGCGGGATCGCAAACAGAAAAAAATGACCGTCGCAATGGAGCACAAGCGGAAGAGCTCGTGGGACTCGAAGGTGAGACTCGAATATGTGGCGCACTTTCCCTTCGTAGTTCTCCATGCTTTCTTCATTATTTCGTCGCGTTATTAATTAGGGATTCGGGCCCTCGTGCGAAAATGTCGCAGCTCGAGGCGAGGAATCGCGAGGCGTTATGAATCACGCACGAGGAGGAATGTATTGTTTAGCGCAGCGAAGATATAACGGCAAGCGTTGCGCGTTCGAGATATATACTTTCCAATTTCTTCGGATTGATCTTCCGACGTCTTGACGGAGCCTCTGGGCAGATAATTCATGATAAATCTTGAAGCCTATATGAACATTTCAAACCTGCGCATTTTCGAGCGCGTTAACTTCACAAACGCGTATTGTATATTATCTTTTGTTCGAACTTGCACTTAAACTTGCTTCTTTATTAGAGGAGGTTTTGCGCGAGCGGAGAACGCGAAATGGCGTAATATTCCTTTGTTGCCCGATGCAACGTCATATTTCCGTCTCGTGGTTGACTTTGTAAATAATCATTTCGCGGATAAGGTGCCCGCCCTCTTCTATTATCCAGAAATGATTCTGCAGAATGGAACGGTGGAACAATTGCAGGATAAACATAATCGCTTCCATAACTCGTCACTGACATTTCAGCCGACGTATTGCCTGTAGCGAGAAAGCGCAATTCTGATTAATTTAATCAACTCTCACGGCATTTCTTACATTATAATATATATTTTTTATGAAGAGAAATAAAATGGAATTAATTCTGTTCTTTGCGTCGGAGTGAGATCTTCCAGCTGTAAGAAATGATGCCGAATGAATCAACCTCACACAATAACTTCGGTGAAAGTCTCGCAGTGCATCAAACGTTGATGCTCACCTTCGTCCTTCAATTAATTATTCCGATTAATTTTCTCGCATTACAGAGCGATGTAAAGGTCATCGAAAGACTAACGGGACAATTGCAAGAAGGAAAATCAACCTTGAACTCGCACGTGTTTATTCACTATCACACATTGATATTCAAACGTTCTGTATTATTCCGATTTCTGGATATTTGCCATTTTATAAAGATATACTTTGTACAGAAATTTTTATTAAAATATAGATTTTTACGTATATATCCTGATGAAAATAAGAATCAGAGCCTAAGTCGAATGTAGTAGGAGAATAACAGAAGCGTAAACGAAATTTCTAGGAGGCGAAAATTGAAACATCAAAATGTAAAAGAAGCGTAAATATTTCTTTTACATTTCATTATTCCAATTTTCGCTTTCTAGAAATTTCTTTACGTTTCTATTACTCTCCCATTACATCCGATTTATACTCCGATTTTTATTTTCATCAGAGTAAAGTCTGTATCTTAATATAAAAATTTCTCTACACAAAATATATTTGTCTTAATAAAAATCTCTACACAAATTGTAATTAAATTTTCGTACATTTTGAATAGAAATGAATCGTTGACTTTGAAGCGTTGCACGCAAACGACTGAAAGGCAAGACGCATCGAGACGATTCATGATCTGCAAGTCGATACCGTATGCGGATTTTTTTTGCGGTCGCGTTCGTTACCACTGACCGTTGGATTATTGTGGACGCGATTTCTACTGAGGATAAATTATGTAAGCCGCGCCGAGTCATGCATTCGAAACTCCTCGGATAGCCAGGTGCATAAAATGCGTTAACGAGCCATGAATTGGTTATAAACATCAAGGTTTTTTAGATTTCAACCTTGTTCAATCTTGTTCTCTATCAACATTATCTAGCGTAATTCGAAATTTCTAATACTCGCTTCCTTTTGTGACAGGAAAAAATGATTTGTGACAATAACTCTTTTTCAAATAAACAATGATTTTTTGTGTTTTACTGTCATTCGCTTCAAAGATTCGCTTTTTGAAAAGGAAACCGAAAGTTCGTGGGCGTTGTGCACTGATAGAGGTTTAATTGAAGTGATAACATTCAATTAACAAAATAATTACCAAGATACCAATTCAAGTGTTAACGCTATTTACATGCGGGAGTTGTGCCCATTTCTGCACCTCTTTCTTCAGGCGTCGGGAGCCTGATTCATCTGGTTTTCATCTCCAGACCGATTGACCTTGTTCTCCAATAACCCTCCTTGGCCACGCGGATATTTACGCACGGCGAGTTGACGGGGAACTAGGCTGACCGGAATGGAGAGCGATGCGTTAGTTGGGTTGGGTTGCCTGGGTTGGGCCGTCGTCATCTGCTCTATTCCCGATACCGTTATTTCACGGACACCCGTTCGCGCGCTTCGTATTCTTAAAAATCACGCTTGACGCTTGTCGCTGGTGCATCGATGTCAAATTCAAATGATCGGTGGCAGTGTCTTATTGAATATCGAGAAGAGTTCTATATCAATAATTTGCTATCGTATATTCTTATATATAATAATAATAAAAGTCAAGTGACATGATCGGTAACATCTTTGCTTTTTTCATTTTGTGATTTTTATCTGCTTCCTTGAAATTTTTGGTTATTAGGTATATAAATAAAAATGATAATAATAATTTTATTATTATTTATTATTGTTATATTTTATTATTCATCAAACGTACATATAAAATTACAAGTATACAAGGTAAATTCTAAATAAAAAAAACTATGTCGTTTGAACGTTGAAGACCATCTCGGAATTGTGTTCAAGCCGCATAACTGAACTCTATAGAACTAGGAATGGCGCGAAACGATTTGAAATAATTTTCTGAATAAAATACATTGCGAGATACGATACCGATTATCTTGATGACGAAGACAGATTACAGATCAGAGATCATGTCCGCTGTCATTTTTTTCACGATCGTTTTTTTGTTGAGCGTCATGTTCCTGGGAGCTTACTTGTTACTACGTGGATAGTATGACTGAGCGGATTGTAATTCAAGACGGACAGAAACTCGTTCTTAGATTCTTACTCTTTTGGAAAGGTAGCTTGACGTTTGGTATAACGGTTATAACGGTCAAGAAAGTCACGAGAGAACAGTAGCTCCAATGACATTTTACAGATTCTTTTCACCGGTCATAGACATTGATTCTTTTCACGGTTGACAATAGACTGACACGTTTTTTCAATTTTGACGACAACGAGAAGAGATAACGCCTTTTTTACATTATTATTACTATGCATTCCGATCCATTCTATTTACATAAATTAGCTTATTTTATTATGTACAAATATATGTGCAATGGATGTAAAAAATATTCGTACAAGAAAAAGATAATTCAAAAAACCTTATTTTTAAAAAGTAAATATTATTCAGCGAAAAATGGCTCATCGAACTGATGTTAAATCGATATCTATACGATACCAATTTGGCGTTGATTTGACTATTGTCTACTTGATAATCATTTCTTGTTGAGTAATTAGCAATTTATTCATAAATAATAAACTAGACTACATATTTCTCAAAATTGTATATACCAAAGATGTAATAATTAAAATATATCACCTTATAATGTACGAGGAAAAAAAAATCGCATTTTTTTTCTTCGGAATGCACGATCTATAAATTGGTATCATTAAGATACCGTTGCGAGATATTTTCCTTATATCTTAATAGCCGATCTGAATTATCTTTTCAACGATTATGTAGAAACGCTTCTTTCTCTATAGCATTAATTTTTACATAAACCTGAGGTTTCTCTTTACGCGCGGTTTCACGGGGACGTAAATTCGACATAGCTTCTCATTTTGGAGTGGAAGCAATCTTTACCCATCGCGCGGTTTAGAGAGCGGTTCAATGGCTCGGCAGCGTTTACAACGGCCATTACGCATCGGGTCTATTATTACAGCCACGTTCGATTGGTACCGGAGGCAGTTGCCGGTATCGCATGAGACCATGTAAACTTTCACGAAAGTTTCTGGCCGTGGAAAGAGCGCATTTTCTATCGGAGGAAGCCTAATTTTTCCCGGCCTTGAAGTCACTGACCGCGCCTATTAACGGAAGAACTCGAAACGCGCCGGTCAGTCCGAGCGTGTCTTAATCTCTTCCTGCAATCGCTACCGATGCACCGCGTTTATCCGCACTGAATTCTACTTTCCAATCTGGTGCGTCTACTAGATCAGATCGGCTCGTCTCAAGCGCGAAACGGCCCATTATCGAGATCGGCATGGAACTCGCAACCGCGGTCAACCGCGTCCCTCTTACCTGGCATTTGCATTCTCCTTTTTACGTAGCCTCTTACAGATATAATGGCTTTGTTTATTTGAGCTGTTACAGAGTCGCGAGTAAAGCACTAACAACTCTCACATATGTTCTTGCAGCAATGATCGTTTTATAGAATATAGTTCGATTCGAAATAGGGAGCTCGTATTTGCCTTGCATCGTATTTATTATAAAACATGGTCATCCGCGATCACGAGTTTTACTCTTCAAACAAATTGTTATTCATTAGTGTGTTTGGAACTTTTAATCATTAAGGACAAAGATTAAAATCAATACAGAAAGATTTTTTTAAATTAACTTTGATTCAATTTCTCGATTAAGTTTAATCGGCAATTAATTCGATCAGCAGTGTTGCAAGATTTTTAATTGTCGTTCATAATGTAATCTCAAGTGATCTACTTAATTATTATACTGTGATAAATAGATAACATTTGTGCTATAATCGATCAAATGTTACCTTTTTATCAATAATACGGGGTGTCCCGAATTTTTTTTTAGTTTATCGATCTGCATGCTCTCGAAGTTTGGCCATTTAAATTCGGGACATCCTGTACGATATTATCTACTTATTAGTGAATATACATAAGTATATCGATGCATAGATTAAATTAAGAACGATACATACTTAAAAGTCTTGCTGTTAATATCTATTGATTGGGTTATAATTATTGATTAACTCAATTATTAATTAACTTAATCAATAGATACCAACAGCGAGACTTTTAATTAATCGTTTTAATTGTATTGTTCTTAACGATCAATAACTTCAACAGAAAATTAATCGAAATGGCTTTTAATTGTTGAAAATATTTCTAAAAGAAATTTTGCTGAATACTTTTCTAATTTTTTCCTGAATAAAATTAAAAATAATATTTATATTTAAGAATATCTTTGTATATTATTTTTTTAATGTTATAATTTGTTTTTCATTATGCATTATTTTTCCTTCACGCGAACATCTTCGACATTTGTTTCTTTCTTCGTGGAAGATCGTCTTGACCTTTTACTTTACATGGCAACAATCGAGGAATCACCTGACACTTTTACTTTGCATTCAAAGCAACTTTAATCTTTGTTATTTGTCAAAAAAGGAAAATTATTCATGCTTGTAGATTTCCGGCTTATTCTTTCGGTTTGGAAGCAATAAAGGGTATATCGCGTGCACGAGAAAGATTTTTTAACGGAAACATTGCTGAACTAGGTTAGAACAAAGCAAAGATACACGAACTTTCATTTGACTTTCGCAATGTCTTTCGTACTATTGTTTGCCAAAGTCAGTCTTTTTGTCGCTATCGTAAATCTTATGTAACGATCAAACGAAATACTAGTATACTCTTATAGTTTCGAACTAAACTTTTACGCTAAAAATTTAGATAATCTGCACTGAAATAGCATTACTAAAATATTGTAAAATATATTTATTTATTATTTCTTTTTTCTTTTTAACTGTTTTTTCAAAAATAATTTTTAGAGACAATTATTTGTAAATAATTATTTGTTTTATTATGATACATATTTGAATACGAGAGAAATAATTCTTTCAAGATTTCATAAAAATTATTATTTTTATTTGTTTTTTGCACGAGAAGTCGTAGCTTAATTTTAACAATTTATTTTAAATCCATACGGTTTTTACTGCTTTTCTCACTACGAATGCAAGCAGAGTTTGAATTGAGAAATAAAACGTTTACAGTGTACGCTATTTCCAATAGCATTTTGATATTACATCAGAGCCAATCATGCGCAGCAAATAAAAATCATTGCACAGTCCAGTACATTGTTCGCGAAACTGATATCCACGAACGAAAGGCAACCTCTCGCATCCAGTTCATCGTTGTATTGCCAGTTTCATAACGGACACGATAGAGGCATAACATTTTTATAAGTCATTCTTATATAACGATACAGTGCAAGGAACTTTTCTGCAATCGCGGTTTTGCGGTGGAGAAATGTTTTAGCTAACGTTAAACTATTACAAATGTTGCGCACTTCATATGCGAAATATATTGTAAATTAATCATAATTTTGATAAAACATGCAGACGAACATACAAATTTATATTTTCATACCTCATCAATAATTCTTTTCTAAAATTTTGCTATGCGATATATCATTATCAGTTTAATTGTTCCGCTCAATATTCTTTCTACCTTTCTCATGTTATCCAGCTCATACACTTTGGTAAATAATAGGTGTAATGAATCGATTGAATCGCGAACTCTTGACACAGTTTAATAAACCTATATCCTGTAATTATACGCGGGCGTGTATCTGTATGGTTAAACTCGCCTTAATTAGATAATGACTACTCGGGCGTGAATCGCACCGCGAAAGTGATTGAAAATAGAGTTCAAGATAATATCTCATTCTCCAGCTGCTACATAATGCGTGTTTGTGTCTAAACATGGTTCCCATGTGTATACTTCGGGTCGCGTGAGAAAATCGGTCGACTCTCACGGACGTCGTTTGAGTATCCACTGTTACCTAACGTTTAGATCATTGCCCGCGCTCTGGTCTGTCTTTAACGCAAAATAGGATGTCTGCATTTTTCAACGAAATTCAGCGTGTGCAACAGGATCAGCTGGATGCATGTCAGTGCGGCACACGAAAATGCGGTTTGTCGTATTTCGGCGAGTAAAAAGATTCTCGTGCTGTTTAGACGGGTTTTGGTCTTTAATCCTGTACGACCTTTGCGGCGAAAAGCAACCCGTAATTCAGACGCTCTTTCAGTTGCCCATCCTAGTTGCATAGGCGCGATCCTTCACGCCGGAGCGTGTGCCGGGTGTAGCATTTGAGAGAACGGAGCGGAGGCGTAGACACATCGACGATATACCTTGTTGTGGGCCGCTGCAACCGAGCGTGGAGATGCATCGAACGCGACGGGGAACGCGATTAAATAGACGGATGCTATTTAAATTTAAATAATTTATTCATGAGGGTTGCTTGCTTGCTTGAATTTCTTGAACGAGTGAGGGGTCACGCTCGCATGCGATAATTAGACGTGTCAATCGTACGCATGGTTCAGTCGATACTGTTGCGTGACACGCAGTTAGGATTATCGAGAGAACGTGAGGAGTTGAGGTCATAGATTTTTATATTTTCAACTGTGGATGCACGAACTCAGAATTTCTCTGTCTACATTGAGAAAAAAAACGTGGTATAATCACCATAATTTATAGCCTATAATTTATAGACTGTAATTTATAATCATTTTCAGCTACAGTCTTGGCTAAAAATATTAGGCACCTAATTTTTTTTATTTATCTGGAATTCTTTTAATAATCTGCGTTATTACCTATTGATTACTGGCATTATATATAAGTTTAAAGGAAACAAATGTTTTGAAACAAATGATAATTTGCAACAAATTAATTGAGCTTAAATAATAGTTAATAAGGTATATAGTATTTTTGACCAAAACTGTATGTATTTTTTGATAGAATCATAAATATAATTATTGTTAACATTATAGCAATAACTATAAAAATAAAATTTTTCACCATAATTATTTTATCATGCAATTATATAGTCACAAATACCAAACATTTTTCTTTCGGTGTGGACTTTCTCGGATACTTTTAGATGTCAAAATTTATTAAAAAACGACAAAAGTGTCTTTTAACTGTTGTCTTAAGATAACTACTCATTCTATGTAGCGCAAACTTACGGCGAAATCGGCTCGGATTGCATTGCTTTGTCTTGACTCTGAGACGGAAGTGATGCGATCGTTAATGCAGTTTGTTTCGCAATGAGGAATCACGGTAATCCCTGTTCTTTCGGATTGGTAAAAATTCATTGATGGCACGAGGGAGCGGAATGTTTCATCAGCATGGAGAAAGACGCCGCCCACTATTATTTACTGAATAGTTTCAGCAATCTTGCTTTCGTAATGCTATTACTAAGGCTATTACTTTATTTCATTATAGAAAATATTCTCTTTAAATATATAGGAAGCGCACGAAATATGGATACTAATAACATAACGTTTGTTCGCGCTCACGTTATGCATTTCCTATTAAAGATAACAGTCACATGATTGATGCGAGAGATTGATGACTATCATGATTAATGTTTATTCTTATAGTTTTTTTAATTTTTTTACATTTTATGATTGATTGTTTCCTGTGATTAATAGTTATATATTGATATAGTAATTATTATCTCGATATTTAATAATTATCTTTCCTTTTTTAATTTTTATTTGAGTGCTGTGTTGAGTCCACTTTAAACGATCTATAATTCGTGAAAAAATTCCATTTATAGTCTTTGTATAGTCTACAATACGAAGAAACAAAAAAATCACTCAAAATTTTTTGAATAATATTAGTTGATATTACTATTTTTGAGTGATTATTTGACAAATACGTTTAGTTGATATTGTATATAGAATACGTTTAGTTGATATTGTATATAGAAACATCCTTAAAATTACCAGTGTAAAACACGACTACGTTTTTGCAGATTTCGGTAAGCACGGTGAGCACCCGAAGATTCAGCCGTGCCGGAACACCAAGTTCAATCTTATCATCCGACAGTGACATCCGCTTTACGAGGAAACTAGGCGGGCAGTATCGCTGCGGATGCTGTGTCCTTGCTGCCTTTTTGTTCTTCCTCCTCTTCTCAGGAATCTCCATATACCTCGGCTGTAAGTACCCTGCAGAAATTGCACGAACAACATGAAATTCAGAGACATGTTTAGAAATCTAAAAACATGTTTAGAAGTTCAAAGACATGTTTAGAACATTGCGTAATTCTTTATAAAAAAATTTTCGAAAAACATCACTCGAATGGACATTTTAGTTTTTTAATACAGTATTTCCGCTATGAATAATATGGCGCTATCAAGACATGCAGTATGCGTCATTTTGTCCTTGTATTACATCTAATGATAAAAATAAAATAACACAATAGCGTTGATAGCGTGTTCCTCAAACATAATCTAAGTATTAATGCCAACACGATCTTTGAAACGCATTTTGTTTTTATTTTAATAATAAATTAATGTTTATACGTTTTACATAACATATTCACAAAAAATTTTATAGCATAAATAAATTGATATTTTGTGACTATTGTTTTTCTGAAATTATAATAAATGTTTTTGTATAAAATTAATTTAACATTACAGCTTTCGTGGTCTACTGTGCAATTTTTAATTTATATACGATTATTAGAGCATTATATTGGTAATATGAAGATAATGATGTTTAATTAATATAAAATATTTAAGATTAAATTTTTATTTATTTTTGCATTTTCGAAAATGTTTTTCGATTGAGATATCCGTCTTAATAATCTTTCTTCAAGTAAAAGCCAGACACTTGTGGAATACATTAGTCTTCCATTTAGACAATTTATAAAGTTATTGTACCGTAGAAGGATCGTTGCTCGACGAACTCGAGAGCGATGCTCTTCTTAGAAAGTAAGCGTTTTGTCGAAGGATTTAATTGGCTACACATTAGCGATGAAAGATCGCGCATTATTCGAAACGTGATGCGTGTACCATCGCAGTTACTTCCACGCTGTAACTGCATCTCGGCTACACGCTGCTATATGTTATTTTAAGTACACGTGTTATCGGCGAAGGCATTTTACTGAACCGAGACATTTTCGTCATGCAAGCGCTACGGCCGCTTTCACTCGCTGTGTTCTTGCGTACACGCGTCGTGGGTACCGAGACGAGCAAATGCAATTACTCCACGGTTAACCGGCAATCGGCGGCCTGGCGGGCGTGAAATTATCCAGCGCGGTAACGCATCGCGATCGCGAATCGCAGGATGGACGCGTTCATGGTGCATGAACGTTTCGTGGGCTGTGAAGTGCGCGATCGACGGTAACTCGCCGCTTTGTCCGAATGAATGGCGTTTCCTTGTAGGCACGTGCACTTCACCTTGGTGTATCACGCTAGACGCACACGGACGCGAAGGAGGGAAATAACTGTATATTGTGTCACATTACATTGGGCGCTTTCCATTTGATGACACAAGTCGACACAAGTCGACACAAGTCGACACAAGCGTCGTTCTATCCTTGTTGACAGTCGGAGAGTGACAAACATAGAACGACACTTATGTCGACTTGTGTCATTAAATGGAAAGCATCCATTAAAAGCAGATAGAGAAAAAGAGGATCTATTACGCGCAAAATTATTATTCTGAAAAATAAATTATTGTTATTATTAGTTTCTTTTTAATTCCTAAATAGAGCACACGACCTCTCAAGAAGAAAAACAGTCCAAGTCTTGATTTCTCTCAGTTTCTTAAGAATTTTATAGTATATTATAATTTTCACAGAAATAAGATATTAGCTCACTTTTCAATTCTCTTAGAGATTAGAAGGAATAGGTATAGTGCAATTGAAATTTTCGAAATTTCATATTTTACAGAAATACTTAAGTATTTTGGTTTCATATGTTTATTAATGAATAGGATTTATGACAAAGATATTGTATTGTTTTGTTTTGGGTGATGTCAATTGCGTAGTAAAACGGCTTTTAAATACAAAATTATATTTATAAAGAAGTCCGGCATACGATTTCACGGAGTAGAGAATGTACACTGTGAATGTACGATTCCTAACGGTGAACGCATTATTTGCGTAAAAATACTAGCTTAATAAAATTACGTATTCATGAATGACATATATGTTACATTGAAGTTTTTATAGGTATATAAAAGAGATTATATGTATCTATATGTATAAGGCCTGGTTAATGTTTTTCTTTAATTGATTCCTTTTTCTAACGCGTTACTTGATGTCAGGATAAAATAAAAAAATTCAAAACGGAGGATTTAATATGGCGGATAAAAAAGTTTGATTATTATAAAACTTGGTTTTAGAGAGTTTTCAATTGCAAAGTAACATGAAGTTTCCAATTTTACTTTATTGAAGATCGTCAATACTGAAGCTTTTTATCTCTAGATCCTTCATAGACGTTGCTACACTTTTGATATTTGAGAGAGATATTTCTAAACAATATTTAAATTTAGAAAAAATCTCCAAGAATTTCCTAAAACTGAGTTTCACGATAATCAGATTAGTTTTTTGGAATTTGAATTTTAAAATTCTCTGAGGCTAAAATCGAATTGAAATTCAGTGACCCTAAAAACCCTTAGAAAGCAAAATCAACCATAAGTTACTTTATCAGAAAGTTCCGAGAAAGTCCTCACACAAAAGTTAAGGATTTGTCTTGGCGAATGACTAATGTAAGGTCAAGGCCGCATATCCTCGACGTAACAATGATCATTTGTTACGGAACAGTGATTTGAATGCTTTTGGACGGTGTCTTCAAGTTGACTACGGCAACTCGCCGCGCGAATCACGACTTTCAATAAGAGAAAATTGTGTCGAATGCTTTCGGATTACTATCTTAGCGGACAAAGTCGAAGTTGAGTTAGAGAAATCGATAGATTTCTCAAGCGATGCAAATTTCGCTTCTTTCAAAGACCGCTAGAGTAATAATTATTGTATTTCGATGTGATATTCGCAATATGATATTTTAAGAGATACGTGGCATGATGAATATTTTATTCTATTGCTGAATAACAAAATAACTATTCAGACTAAAAAAAATAAATTACAACAATGGCACTAACCGCAATATCTCCTTTTTCGAAGGTAATACATTTTTTTTTTTTTCGAGAATGATTTTTTCGAGAATCTAACGCGACTGCTAGGAAAAAGTCCGATCAAGAGTATATGTCGGCGCTTCTTCGAACACTCGGTAACTCGGTCAGACCGTTATGCGTGCGTGCTGAAAGACCTCAATGGGCTTTGGCCGCATCACCTTCTTCCTGCCTTTCATTCTCTACACTTCGCTTGTAAATACGCTCCGTCCGTTCGGTTTTGATTAGCGGCATTTAATGCATACACTTCGTCTTTTTGCACTATGTGTTTTACTTTAATGTAACTCTCCTGCGAATGCATCGGAAATAATGATGGCTATCGCGAATTCGCTCGGGAGTGATTTACACCGCACTTAAACTTAGCTTGTTAATCGCCGATGCAGACGCATCTCTCACATCCGAACAGCATGGAAATCAGCGATTCTCATCGCCGCTTAATTCGTGTTTACGACCAAGAGAAATAAGAGGTCATGGAAGATGCAGCACGAACGTGCCGGTCCATTGAGGCTTTCAGCTGGCAAACGTATAACGGTCTGACCGAGTTGCTGAGCCGATGGGTATATGCCCAGTTCAAGGCTCGACCTTAAAGGTGGGGATCCGTGTCCTTGAAACATTTTGAATACCAATTTATTCTGAATTAGCATTAAAATGACCAACAGTTGATTAGTACTACAAAAAAATGGTTTCTTTATATATTAAAAAATTTAGTTTGATTAATGAGAAAAAAATAAAAAATCTACATTTTCTTCATTTAATGAAAAACTTGTTTTCTTCTCTCGCAAAGATTCTTTCTACATCATTAATTCAAAATATAAATATTTATTTTGTATTCTTTATAGATGTTTTATATTATTCATATATATAATTTTCTTCATTTTGAAAATTATTTTAGTAGTTTGTCAAAATTAAAACAACCTTTGTACTTGTCACTGGATAAGATTTAAATTCGGATGGGGATAGTTTATTAAAATATCAGATTAAATAAGGAAGCATAATTAAATTTGTTTATTTGAGTTACTACATGTCATTTGATGTTTATCAGAGTAATTGTCTTGTGCTAAAAGTGCATGAGAAAGTACTTCTAGGCTAATGTGCATTTTGTACGCGCGATAATGCTAGATATTCCATGTTCATTAGTCACATAAGAAAAATATACCGTACACCACGAGTATCCCGTCTCGGAAGCAAACCATACAGCGTACTCACGAGAAAAGGTATAACCATAGGCGTCGCTATTACCCAGCTAAGTAATTACATTATCTTTCAAAATTTCTACAATTTAAATTATTCTAATTATTACTTTTTTTTCTTAAAAATATTCATAAGGCGAGAAACAAGACGCATGAAAGATTTAAGGATATTCTCAAAGAGATTGCAAAATGTGTAAATCTTTTTAAATAATGTGTAAATAAAGTAAAAATCTGTGAGGATTTTACGCGAGAAAAAAATACAAGTTAAAAGTTGAAATCTAGATAATCAATTGAGGTTAAAATACGAAGAAAAAAAAGCATTAGAAGAGAATTAGAAAGAACGTGTCGCAATTATTCCCAGAAAAAAATGTTCCGCCGCCCATGACCGTATACCAAAGGGTCAAAGAAGTTCTCTCACCAGACAAGCCGCATTGAATTGATGGGAAGGGGGCTCGGTGAAAGGTGATTCCTAGTGAGAAACTGAGATCCCTGCAGGCACCTGCGTGCTCCCGATTTGTCTCGTTTTACCCAACGCGCGGAAAATTGGCCGCGCCGACGTTCTAATGACAACGCTTGGCTAGCGAAACCCGCCTCGACATTGTTGGCACGTTTTGCACGCTCGACTCTATCATTTCCAATCGTACATGCATTAGAAAGCCAGATTGTGCTACGTACAAGGAATTACGTGAGACTTCGTGCGCATGGCCGCCACGTTCTAAATTCCTTCCCGCGGCTGCTTATCGGTAATTTTGCGAAACTGCCAGCGAGCCTCTGAGAAAGAGATCACTGGTGACCTCTCTCATAAATTCGTACGGTCCTCGTCAACCGACTTCGTCGATAGAAGTACAAAATGTCATGCGGAGGTGACGTTTAATAAAGTAGAGAATGATAATGATTTATTACGCTTCTAACGGTGACGAGGACCCCACTGTAATTTTCACGAGCATAATATATATCGGTAATCAACTTTCCTTGAGTCTACAGCATAATCAGGCCAGCTCTGTACGCGAATCTTTTTACCTTGATTAATGCCACTGGTTGAGTAATACATCTATTAGTATGATCGATGCGCGGAGAGCAGTGAAATTATATCGCAAAAAGATTCCGCGCACTCAACAATTAAGCTATAATAATCATGTGATATTTATTTATATCTTTCTTATCCTTGACATACATCTATATCTTTTGAAATTCTTTTTTTTACACGATATCTCTTTATTACTGTGCACAAAATTTCTCGTATCCTACATTTGGATTTTCTACTCGTTTAATTTATATGTTTTACATATAAATTAAACGAAAAAAGAACAGTTTTGCTGTAATATCTAAAAATTTAGCTAGATATAAAACTGAACATAATTTTGTTAGATTATCAAAATAACTATGTAAGACACTTAAACTGGTTAATAGTATTTCAAAACTTATTGCAGCATTATTCATGATGTTTGAGTTTCCCATATTGTGAAAAATTGTATTAATTATTTACACAATAAAAGATGATAGTTAAGTGAAATTAATAGTCCTTGTACTAAATATATACATATATATTTTTATATTTAGTAAATAAATTTGTACATTTTTTTAGTGTACATAATAATTATTTTGATGGTCCAATAAAATTATTTTCAAAACTGTATTTATTTAAATTTTTAAATACTGCAGCAAAATTCTTCTTGAATTCTTTTCATTGTTCTTTGCAGTGAACTTTTTGTCTTACAAATATATAAATGTACTTGTTTTCGAGCTATTTTGTCTTTTATTACTTTTACGAATTGTTTTATAATACCTAAATATATTAGCATCAAATATTTTTCTTTTATTTTAGACACATTCCTTACATCAGATCCACCTGGTGATCAAGTATTTCTTGCAACGTTCCGAGTTACCGAAGGTGATTCCTTCACCGCGGAATTGGCTGATCCCTCTACTGAGGCTTTCCGGATACGGTCACGGGAGTATCGCGACCGCCTAAATCTTATCTTTCGTCGCAGCTGGCTGAAGTTATCGTTCCTCGCATCGGACGTCCTGGCGCTTGACGGGTAACAAAATTATATAATTTTACAATATTATCATTATATGGATGTTCGATTACTTTATTTCCTACATTCGCCTTTTTTCGTGCTGCGTCATGAGGCACACTTATAAAGACGCTTGCAAAACAAATTGTGCAATATCGAGTCCAACAGCGAGTCACATGTGAGGTCAGAAAATCGGCCAATTACAATTAGATCATGTATACCACGAGCTCTCCTTCGGCTGGTTTCCCCGTCATGAAATCCGTTTTCGTAGACGGGAAAACGATGGGACAAAGCCAATATACACTGATGTCACGGAAACTGATGAAAACAGCTCAGACCAGTGCGGGAGAGAAATCGGACGCGATCGTTTCGCAGCTTTCTCGTGATTTCACGACACTTGCTCCCTTTCAGCGTTCAATGAAATGTAACCAACATTATTGCGGCCACGCTCATCAATAATGTATCACACTCGAGTTTGTAGATTTCACTCAATTTATCCTCACCGGCGAGATGAGTTGCATTGTTGCGGAATCGCATCATGCAGATGTATCTGACATAAGTATATCATAAAGAAATTATGAACTCGATTTGACACAAATTATGAACTCAACTCGACAAAATCCCATACAATTGTACGTTACAAAATTAAGATCATATTTTAATGAACAAAAAATATTAGATATTTTTTATGTCTATTTAATATTTCTTGTTTATTAAAATATGTCATAATATCACCAAAGAATATATTTTTAACATAACAAAATGTCATTTTTATTTCACAATCCTTAAAAAATTACCCGTTTTGAGTTATGACTTAGATGATTTTTTTTATGAAGTTAAGTTCACTTTTAATGATATATAGAGTAATCCTTACCTAACTCATTCATGATAATAACTCGACATTCACGTTTTTTGAATTGAGACTTTTAAAAAAAAGAGCGATATCACTTTCGAATAATTACCTTGATCGTCGATAAATTTAAGAATTATTTAAGAATTAAATTTTAAAGAGTTTTAATACGTTTTTTTAGAGAATTTTCTTTCCCAAAATAAGCAGTTTATACTTGTACGTTTATAGGGTAGAAGGCCGTGATTTAGTGGTACACTTTGATGTGAGATTTGACCCGCGATATCAGACTATAACTAATGGGAATATCGTGGACATTCTGTCGCGGGAATTGAATCCTGAAACCTCGCGATACCTGACAAATCTGACGATAGAAGCGAAGAGCCTCGAAGTGCAAGAGAGCCTGAAGGCCCTCAACGCGCAGAGTAGTCCGCAATTGACCGTTTCAACATTACCGCCGACAACGACAGCCCCTCCGCCAAGAAGATGCAGCAAGTTGGACTTATCATACTGTAAACATCTCCCCTATAATATCAGCTCGTATCCGAACATGTTGGGACATGGATCGTTGTCGGATGTCGAAGAAGATGTTATTGCTTTTAGGTATATTTCCCTAAATTAGATAAGTCCACGGTGATCTCAACTAGATTAGAAAGAATACATCATTTTTTACAGCAAAAATCATACATTTTATTAAGCTTTATTTTATTGAAATAAAAATTGTTGAAAAGGACATGAAAATTTTATAAGTTCAATTATATTATCTTCTTGTGTAATTCTAAAATATTATTTTTTATATTTTACTATTAATTAGATATATATATCTATTTAAAAATTACAATTATTGCAAAAATTAACTAGCTTGTCTTTTCTTATTATATTTTGAAATTGATAATGTGATCTAAAATTAATATATACATATATATATATAATTGTAATTAGGGAACTGGTGGACGCAGAATGTTATCCGTTAGCCTACGACTTCGTTTGCCAAGTGTTGCAGCCTGCATGTCGAGCAAGTCAACCGGAGGATCTGCTGGAATTGCCTTGCAGGAGCTTCTGCAGGGAGTTCTGGAATGGGTGCGGTAATCGTCTTCCCGAGAAGATAAAACGCGCTTTGGATTGCTCCAACTTTCCGGAGTATACCGGTCCTGGCAGCTGTAGGCCAAAGCCAGGTACGATTAATTAAAACAAAGCATTTAATATAATCACTCTTTAATGAAGTTACAAAAAGTACAGTATTTGATACTCTCTAAAACTTTTAGAATAAATCTCACTCTGAAGGGTGAATATCTTATTCTTAAAGATTGAAAATTAAGACACTCTTTTTCAAGACTGTCTCGACTTTTACTCTTTATAGTGAGATTCCATTCCAAAGATTTTAGAAAATAAGCTAATTAGTTAATACGAATATCAATGTATTATAGGATGCGTTCAAGCGCTTCAGTCGAAAGCTTTATCTTCGAGGATTTGCGATGGCGTGATTGATTGCCCGGATCTTTCTGATGAAAAGAACTGCGCCTACTGCCGGGATGGTTATATGCATTGCGGAGTAGGAAGAACCTGTGTATCGCATACTAAGCGATGCGACGGCAATGCGGACTGTCCAAACGGCAGCGACGAGAAAGACTGTCGTAAGTAATATGATGAGTAATACAAGCAAGCGAAGGATTGTGCTTAAAGATGTGTTTAATAAAAGTATTAATTAATTTCTAATAAAGAAGTGAGGTTGACTAAATCAAAATAAATGCTCTTTATTTTTATATTTTGTTGCAGTATTCTTGGCATCGAGTGTCCACGAATTAAGATCACAATCCTGGAGCACACCGCATGTGGCAAAATACAATAAAGAGGGCTATGTTGTATTCAATGAGAAAGGTACTATTGGCAAACTTTGTACCGCAAATTTGAACGCTACTCTACCAGAAACGGAAATGGATAATGTTCTCCAAACAGCAGCAAGCTCATTGTGTACTTTACTTACATATACGCAAGTATCTCTTCGTATAAATATCTCTTTTTTGTAACATAAACTGAAAATTAATGTTTTTAATGAAAAAATTTAAACTAAAAGAAGGTTTTAAAGGAATTTTCATTTTTGATGAAGATATTGTATATATATATATATATACATACATATATATATATATATATATATACACATATAACTTCAAGTTAAAAAACAAAGTTACTTTCCGATTAATCTAATATATAATTACATTTTGCACAATTAAAAAAGAATTTCATAATTTATGAATTATTTTTTGCAACTCTTCAATATAGTGGCGTAGCTTCGGTTCAAGTAAGGACTGATGACGAAGAGGATGTCCCATACGTGTATATGGAAGATCCCTCAGCACCGGAAATTACTTTTGTTCGGGCTCCTTGCCCAAGCAAAGAAGTTCTATACGTCCGTTGTTCCGATCTCGGTACGAAGTAGAATCCTCTACTTATTCGTTACATAAGTTGCTTTCTATTTTCATACAAACTGATACCGAGTCTAAAATTATGTAAGTATTTTATACTCAGATAGTGACGTCACTACTTGCTTACTTTAGAGACAAAATTATCGCATAACGACATAGGTTTATAATTTCACTTTTAATGTAAACTAACAAGACTCATAAACCATTCGAGACTCCGACTCATCTGTTGTAAATTAATTAGGTGCTCGCAGTATGATTAAATTATTATTTAGTGAATTTATATTTGCCAAAGTTTTATGACATGCTTGACGTCTGTTTGAGAATCCGCTACAGTTTTAGGAATCTGAGAATAATTCATCATGGATAGCTCGTTTAACAATATTGAGTGTGAATACGTGTAACTTTGCTGAAGATGACTCCAAAGAGAGTGGAAACATTTAAGAATTCGTAATAAAGCTGTACATTATTTATTATTATGAATTATTTTATATGAATTAATATTTATGCGCACCTATTTCCGCGCTGACTTTCGTTAGTCTTAATCTTACAGTTATATATTTATTATTTTAACAAGACTCAGTGAAGCACACAGTTTCAAGCTTGTGCAGATTATAAGTAAAACTTGTAAATTTGTAAATAAAAATTGAGATGAATCTCTCACATATCAAAATTAAAGGCAGGTGCATTTAACTAAGTTATAATATGATGTCACAAATGAAAATTATCTGAGTTTTTATGTAAATGGAAAGTAACTACATATAACAAACTTTTTGATGAACGCTTTGGCACAATTATGCATATTATTCTAAACTTTTTCTAATTTATTGTTATAATTTTTTAAATTAAAATTATTACTTTTATTATCATTTTTTTATGTGCGCTCATCTTATATCCTGATTTTATCATATTTCTGTTTATATTTTGATCTTGCTCATTCATACTTATGTTTTGATTTTGATTTTTGAAAATCAGAATGCGGAATACAACCTCTACGTACTAACGGCGGTACTAATGGTCTCAATAAGATGGCAGAACCTGGCGATTGGCCTTGGCATGTTGCACTCTTCAAGGAGGGAGTTCATGTTTGCGATGCTACTCTCGTGGCGGATAATTGGTTGCTTACAACTGCGTACTGTTTCCAGGGGTAAGTTTTATAAAAAGTACACTGAGAAAAATTTCAGGTTGAATAAACAAACCAGTAGATCATATCAATCAGAATTTTGTTATCTTAATTAGAATTATAATAGATTCAACCGTTTGATGTTTAACCAGAATTCCAATTAATGTAATCGAACTCTTTCGAGTGCATATAACGTATTCAGAAAATTTTTTACATCCTAGATTAAGCACGTAATCCCTTATAGAATTTCTATGAACGTTCTGTGAATATTCGTACATTTTTAAACTATTCTACGTTTTTAGAAATTATATGCTGTGTAGGATCATATATAATCTATATTCCATTAAATATTGTAATTGTAAAATTATAAAGTAAAAAATGTAGTTATCATTTTTAATATATTACATTACATAAATTCTGTTCTTAATTTCAATGGCGTCCACTTTTTATAGTCAACCGAAAGCGGAATGGTCGGCCCGACTCGGTGTCGTACGACTTTCAAGCACATCACCCTGGGAACAAGAACGCAGAATTGTCGGTATGATCAAATCACCGGTGGAGGGCACGACCGTTCTGGTGAAGTTGGATAGACCGGTGACGACCTTTTCGGACTTCGTGAGACCGGTTTGTCTGCCCTCCAGCGAGGATCCACCGAGTAACACATCGCAATGCAACACTCTTGGCTGGGCGAGAAATCGTATGTACACAAGTGATCCATAATTGCCTTTCAAAATTTAGGAAGTCTATTTTTAAAAATTGGAATATTTTTTATGAATTTTTTGAGCGCTATTAAATATTAAAGAATAATTTTAATTATTAAAAAAAGTTTACTTAATATTACATTACTGTATTTGAAGTATATATCTTTTATTAATAAAATATTTATATTTAAAAAATATATTAATATATATCTATATTAACAATATATATATATATATTTTTCTCACTCACTCACTTTTTCTCTTCTGTCTACATAGAATGCTTACATCAAATATATATATAATCTTATTTTTTTGGTTTTAATAATTAAAAAATAAAGTATAAAAAGATTCGAAAAAAAATATATATATAATATTTCTCTTTTCCTCTCTTTCCTAATAGGCGATGTATTGCAAAGAGTACAACTCAAACATAGTGCAATGGAGAAATGCGAGAATATCAGCATTCCTTCAGTGAACAGTGTCTGTACCGAGCAAGCATATTCCACGGATGATTGCAACGTAAGTTAAAATATTTCACCATAAGCCTTTTGCTTTTTATTCTACTAAATCACTTTCTGTTGCTTTTATTCTTTTACTTTTAGATAAAGTTTATTTCATTATATCTCAAGACATAAATAAATTCTAAGTAATAAACGGAATTGGTTAATCAGACGAAGTAACTCTTATCATTTTAATTTCAATAGGAAGAAGAAGTCGCCGGCAGTTCAATGCTGTGTCTTCAAGCAGATGATCGAAAATGGGTACTGACAGGCATCGGTAGTTGGAGGATAGCTTGTTCGAAGGACGGCATTGAAAGACCTCGATTATATGATAAAATTTCGTCTCATATCGATTGGATCAAAGCTACCATTGGCTAAGAAATCTATTTGCGAGTTAACATCTGATAAATGTTACACTGCGAACAAGACGCATGCTCGACGCACATATGACGGATCCTGGAAATGGAAAGAAATGACCATTGTATTAAAATAAGGGACTGATATCGAAATTGTGATAGAAATTTCTAAACTATTACAAACGATTACGATTGTTACTACACGCCGATATAACGACTTAATCGCGTCCGCCTTGCACAAATACATGTTGCTGTTATCAATACATAAGTTTATTAATTTCGATGTATCCTGTTAATAATCAGCGGAACGTGCAATCGCATTCTTGTAAATATTTAATATCTTCTTTATGTCTAGGATATAAAAAACCTGTTACCGTGGCATAATTTTTTAACTTATTTTTCTCTTTACATTTATTCTATCATGCATATACATAGTTGCTTCGTACATTATCTTCTAGGTTTATATCATTATTTCAGTGTTTACGATCCATCTACTTTGTAAGATCGTTTACTTATTAAAGTTTCTTAAAATAGTAATTTGTGATGTTTAAAATAACATTTTTTTTCCTCAACCCTCTTGATGCTGTGAAAAGATTTGGGAAATTCAAGTTTCTCAATTGATGTATATTAGCACAGAATTTAATTTTATGATGACGATCGAATTATACATATAACATGTTGGCACTTTCGCTGAAGTGTACTTTGCGCAGAAGCGTACGAACAGTAGGTGGGAGATAACATCAGAAGATAGAAATCCATAAGAAATATAGTAGTAGTGTGATTGTCGAAGCGACCATTGCATATTTACTGGAAACGTGACACAGGATCTATTCGTCTCTTCGATGGTAAATGTTTTCAAATAATTAATTAAGTAAATAGAATTTAAGGAAGATATCGCTGCTTCTTTGCAAGAGAAAAATGACGTACTATCCACATATATATAAAATTGAATACTATCGAGTATACTGATCGAATAACAGGTGTTCGTTATTATTTAGTTCTAGAGCCTCACACAAGTATACATGATATAACAATATCAATTAATTGTAGAAATTACAATACCAAATTAAGTCCTTAATTTAAATACTTATAAATTGTGTGTTAATTCTATATATATGTGTACATAAAACACAGAAAAACTGATTTTGCTGAAATGTCTAAAAATTTAACTACATACACAGATCTAAAAACAATTTTGTTGGATCATCAAAATAATAATTATGTTGACCGTTTAAGGATTAATTATAATGCTGTAATTAGTTTTGATAGTTTAGCAACTGCATAGTTTAAACATCATGTAACTATTTTGATGGTCTAATAAAATTATTTTCAGATCTGCTTCTAGCTAAATTTGAGATTCATTAGTAAAACAGTTCTTTCCTTGTAAATATAATTTAGAATAGCCTTGCCTTATTCGTAAAAATTATGTAAACATTTATGCAAAATTATATTTCGTTATTAAAATTGTCTTTCAAATGTGTAGAAATTAGTACATCTTGTAATCTTGTTATTATTTAATCAAGCAAATTGCTTATTTGAAGTAAGATAATTGCTTATCTAAACTGCTTATTTAAACTGCTTATGTATTTAAAATGAGATAATTGCTTATTTATTTAAAAATAGATAATTGCCTATTTATTTAAAAATAAATAAGTTTGTTGAAATGAATAACTTTCAATAGAAAAGTAGAAATATTTTTCATCGTCTGCAACGCTTTGTTTAGCTAATTTACACATATTTTACAAAGGAAATGGCAATGACTGACGATGTTGTGGGTCTCGCACGAATCGATCCTGTTGACAATCCCGTCGATCTTTTTAGGATATGGCGCGATGAAGCGATAAAATTCCAATTTGGATTGGTAAACGCCTGTTGTCTAGCAACTGTCTCTTCACCGTAAGTATAGCCTAGAAATGTACTCTATCTAATAAAAAAAAATGTAAACTTTTTCTATGTCTCAGAAATTTGAAAGTCAGCTCGAGAAATCTAATCTTACGAGAATTCGATGATAACGGTTTTGTCATTATGACAAATGCGCGCAGCAAAAAAGTCAAAGACATGGTAAATATTAATCTTCTTCTTCTTACATTAAGCCTCTGGGTTGTGTTTACCTCTCTCATATGCTTATGTGCACACTGATTATTTACCCAAACAGAACAATCCATTATGATATCAAAATGGTGTCAAAATGACTCTAAAATGATCATTAAAAGTCATTTTTCAATTATTTCCGATTTATTTTAATATCATTTTGATGTTATCGTGACTTGTTATTCTGCTTGGGTAATTGTCACAAGCATATGGGACTCATAACTTTAATCTACCAGTTCCGAATGGTGGATTTTTCGATACAAGCGTAAATATTTTGATTCCTACCGAGATCGAATCCAGGATTTCTAGTATGATAGATCAATGCGTCTGTCACGCTCATGCTCTTCTAATAATAATAAATATTAATCTTAAAATATTTATTAGAAAAAGTAAAGTTTGACTTCTTTTCCAAATTATTTCTTTAGCGTTTCAAATAAACATAGATTTTAGTGGAAGTTTATAAAGAAAGTTATTTCAAAATAATAATTTTTTTAAATATTAAAAAATAGATTTTCTAGAAAAAATCAAATTAATCAAGAAAGCTGGAAAAGCAACATCCAATACTAAAACAATTTAATTTGCATTTTTAATTAATGCTTAAATTTTTCGAGTAATAAAGATTTTAATTTTACTTTTATTCTTTACAGAATTGTAATTTATATGCTGCTATGTGCTTTTTGTGGAACTATAAGAACGATAAACAACATCATGTCACGCGACAGGCAAGTACCTAGCTTTGGAGTAATCCATGAACTAAATTTTAAATATACCTATACTTATCAAATTTATTTACTCAATCTTTAATATGTTCCATATTTAGACATTTAATAATTTCTTGATGAGTGAAAGTACTTTTACTAATAAGTGAAAATATAAAATGAAAATATTTTTGTCAGTGTAAGAAATACATTTAACGGTTTGTTAGAATAGAAAGTGCTTTAAATTCGAGAAATAATGATTTAGGTGAGGATAGAGGGATTGATGAAAAAACTGGAAAGACCGGCTTGTCAACTTATATATGAGAGAGAGCCGTTGTACTGTAAAATTCGAGCTCACCTATGTCATCAAGACCAACCGGCTGACTGGGACGATTTGAATCGCCGGTATAACGAGATATTAGTACAAAAGGATAACGTTCATACAATGCCGGATCATGTGTAAGTTTCAACTGGATAACTTGTAACGAACATATAAAATCTGACTATTTAAAAAAGCAATATATTTATTACTGATAAAATTAAGATACTGTTTTTTTGTGTTTCTAGCGTAGCATATAAACTAGCACCTGAAATGATGGAATTTTATTACGCACGGGACACACTAATTGCCGATCGAATACAGTATAATAAAAACTACACTATAATAAACAAAAATTGTTGGGAATATCAAAGAATAGCAGCATAATTTTGTATGGCATGTGTATGTGCGTGCGTGCTATATGTTCTCTCAAATTATTTTATTTTTATTAGAGATTATTTAGACTGATTTGGCATTGCTTACTTATAAAATATGAGTTATTACATAATTTTTATATATATAATCGCATTTATAATTCAGATTAGATCTTCACTATTTTGAATTACAAGTAACTTTTACCGAAAAATTTAGAGTTTTATTTTTATCCTCCTCCTCCTCAGTCTTATTGTTCGTGGCCGAGCGTAGTGACTTCTCTCATACATTTTCTACCTCTGGTGCGCATGTTGGTTGTACTGTTATATGGGATGTACTGTTTAATGTCGATTCCGAACGATGATTTTTGTTAAAAAAGTGCTCTTGTCAAAGGTACTCTCAGTGGTTATTGTCTACCGAAAGGAGTTACGAGCGTATGAAAATTTTTCGATTCTACCGAAGATTAAACCCGGGATCTCTGGTATCGCAGACCCATACGCTGTCTGCTACGCCACGCTCGCGCTCTTTTATTTATTTTTTTAGTTTTATACTTGTGATATTATTATATGTATATATACAATTATATTGAATATTAATAATGATATTTCTTTAAGTTAATATATTTATAGTTGTGTTACGTGATTGTCTCTTTCTCAGCAAAATGTGTATTTCTACACATACATATATACTTAATCAATAAAGGAATATAATGCCAATGAGAGCCGACATGTGTGTAATAAAATATAATACATATGTCAATCACCAATTATAGACATTTCGATCACAAGATTTGGTCCTCTTCAGTGTGTCAATAACATTTTTCGGAGTCAATTTAAATCGTTGTGTAAAGATAGAACGAATATAGTTAATGAATCATCGTTAAGCTGTGTTATCCAAATTTAAGAACTTCATAGTCGTCTGTTAATATATAATTTAATATACGATTGGTATCACAAACTCGTTCTCTAAAAGATATCTAAATTTTTTTTTCGTATCACCCGAGATGCCATTAAGTGGGGACAATTATGGGATCGATAGACAGGGTATTATTATTATCGCATCTAACTTTCCATGAGAAAAATTTCCGTTTCATTATTAACATTTTACTTAACAACGGTTATCCCTTAAGGTTAATTTTTGAAAGCATTAAAAAAAGATTACACAATAAATTTGAACAACTCAACAATAATACACAACAAAAAAATAATACTAACAATTTAAATACATTTTTTACTGTATCCTATGTACCATCAATAGCGGAGAAATTTAAGAGATTTTTTTAAAATAACAGCGATACGTTTGACTTACATAGGACTTAATAAACTTAATACCTTTATAACAGCACAAAAGGATAAATTACCTTCACTATTACATTATAATGTGGTCTATAAAATTAATTGTAAAAATTGTGATGCATCCTATGTAGGCCAAACAAAACGGTTCTTGAAAACAAGAATTAATGAACATCGGAGTCACATAAATAGGAATACCATGCAACATTCAGTAATCATAGAACATAGAATAGAGCACAATCACGATTTTAATTGAAATTATATTAAGATATTAAGATTTGTGATGAAGAATAAGGATTTAATAAAAGATTAATTTTTTTTTTTTTTTGAAAGCAATCCATATAAAAAAGCAAAAAAATGGACTGAATTTACAAAACGACAAGGAAATGTTGAATCCGTTATACAATGACTTAATTAAGAAGAAAAAATAATGTTTCCTTGTTTTATAAGCTATAAAATTTATATCGTTGATTTCTAATTTGGTGATTATTTGGTTTATGTTGGTAACTTATTTAGTTGGTTTGTGTGATAAGTTATAATTTTGTATTTCATGTTGGTATTTATTCTTTTTAACATTTATACTTCTAAACAATGCGAATACGAAACGTCCTCTCACACGCTCTCAAGGCATGGTTATAATCACAATAATGGATCATCATTATACTGAGGTGAGTACAAAGTAAGGTTTTTCTATTTGATATAATTAATTTTAATACATTGACTATGAATAGCATTGCAAAAAATTTCAATTATTAACACAATTTTAGTGACTAAATGATGGAATTCTTGTTTGGGTATTTAGCCAAATACAACAAACAACTATGAAGTTCTTAAATTTGGACAACAGCTTAACGATGATTTATTAACTGTATTCGTTCTATCTTTACACAACGATTTAAATTAACTTCTAAGTAACGAAAAATTATTGACACACTGAAGAGGACCGAATCTCGTGGTCGAAACGTCTGTAATTCGTGATTGACATATATATTATATTTAATTACACATGTATAACTATGTTGGCTCTCATTGTCATTATATTCCTTTATTGATTTAATCTTTGGAGCCTTTTTCAATTTTTAATTGATATATACTTAATACAATACATTTCTAATTGCTTAATATTTTGCGATTGTGCATAAAGATATTCCATTACATTAAATAAATCAATTACTTTCCGTAATTGTTTACAAACTTTTAAGCTAAAATTATAAATTAGAATTGTAATTAGCAAGAATTTAAAGATCGATTTGAAATCTTCCCGCCAATATAACGGTATATAAAGCGCTCGATACTCAACCATTCAAGCGTCCAATGATATAGCAGCAATCCTCACCACATGACCTGCCTGGCAGCTTCCACGCAGCAAAGCGGGAACGTTGCTCGCCAATTGGTCGTACAATGCGCATTTACTAATACATTAACAACGTACATATCGCTTTGTAGAAGAAGACCTAACTCTCTCGATGGTCTAAAAGCGTGCTACCGGCTCACATCCACGCAGTGTGTCAGCAGCACGTGCGTGGGAAAAATCTAATTAAAATTCAAAATGTCCAGCAACGCATCTACCGGTCCTAATGACGCAAACGATAGTTATCTTCTTTTGGAAGATGGTAGTGTTTTCTTGGGAAAACGCTTTGGTGCCGACGTATCCGTCGATGGTGAAATCGGTGAGTTCATGCATAAATGTGAACACGTGTTCTGTTACGAATCGAAGCCGTATGAGGGCACGTGCATCCTGTTTCTCGGACCAACTTCCTCTAACCGGAAAGCATTATGTATGAAAATATAATATTAATTGAAATATATGAAAATATAAGACGGGACACACTATGATTTGTATCATACAGATCTGTTGATATTTTTTACATATTGCGAGTGACATTATCATTATTTTGTATAAACCGCACGTAATAAGAAAACATAGTATATTTTTGTGTAATTCATCGGAGATATATTTATAATGCAACGTTATTGCTCAATGTTAAATATGCCCAAAAATTATCTCGAGTAGTATAGCTTCTGAATTGTTACAACGTTTGTCAATTAAGTAATTATTTGTGTATGGAAGGTTGCTAAATTGTTTCTTATCAGCATTTAAGGTCTATAGATATGATAAAAATTCATTTATAGTATAAGATGTTTTTAGAAGCATATCTTCTACTAGATATTGACTTTTAAAACGTAATATTTATTCGCTACGATTGAGCGGGATGTTAATATGAAATGCCTTTCCTTTTTAATTTAACTTTTTTCTCTTATTAAAATGTTTTCCTTTTTTCTTAACTAATTTTCTTAACAAAAAAAAATATGTCAATTTTATTTTACTTGTGTATTTTATTATACACTTTTAAAAAGTTTAAAAGTTTGAACTAAAATTAAAATTTTGATAATTCTTTTAATAAAAGTAATTAAACAATTAATATTGGTTTACAAGGTTGTTGTTTTAATGATAAAAAATCATATTATGTCTTTAAGCATTAAAAATCATGTTTTAAGTAAATGCATGTCTATTGATAAATTACATATATATTAAAATATAATTTTTATGTGCTTAACAAAAGACGTTGAATAAAACAATTGTGATACTGAGTAAGAATACTAACATGCACAATTATTTCTTTATATTGTTTAAATTTTTTTGAAAGTTAACTCTTTACTACAAATGAGAGCGAGAGAGAGAGAGAGAGAGAGAGAGAGAGAGAGAAACATTGTTACAATTTTAAACATTATTTTTTTTATTTATTTAAAACTCAAGCATTATTACTGGTTTGCATTTGTGTTATTTCCAACCGGTTACCGATGATAAGCCGTCTAAATGATTACGTTGCAAATGCAACTTGTGGATGGTAAGATAGACGCTGTCGGTTAAATCTCGCTAGTTTTAAATTACAAAATACGTACTTAGAATACTTTATTTAAAATTTTAGTATAAATGTGTTTGTTTAAATATAAATTGTAAGTAGAAGCGGATTAAAGAAAAAAAGGAGTAAACATGCTCTCTTAAAATAAGCTTAATATATTTTACAATTTTAATATAGATTATTATTGATATTAGTACATTATTAATTTGATCTACCTTAATGGATACGTGACTTGAGATCATATGTCATGTAAAGAAATACAAAAGTAATCTTTCGAATTGATGTAAACTTGCTGATGTGAAGTTTATAGACATTCATACACACACATGTACAATAAATTCTCACTTATAAGTCCTCACGTCGGATTATATTGCGCGGAAAATTTTCAAGCTTATACACGTGTTACTACTTTACGAAGATATAAAATTAACATGCCTTATATAAGAATAAATTTTAATTGGAAGATCGAATAAAGATTGATCTCTTGCTGACATGTTACAATCTGCTGCCAATAGTCCAATATTTTTATTAAATCGTTAATTCTAGAAAAATAATATAGATTTTAAATATAAGAGTTATTATTCGACTGTTTTATTAACGTTTGATAATTTATTACATTTTACGTATATATAATGTGGTAATCGTCATAAATTACAATTGTAAAAACTGATTGAAAATTCAAAATCTTCGATATAATAAATTATTCGCGTGAGAATTAACAATTTAATCTTAACTAATAAGATGCTAACTAAAGAAAGTAAATATTTTGACGTTAAAATGACAAATAATCAACTTGCTACTTGAGATGTTCTACAATATCAATTTTAGATTAAACTATTTTGTTTGAATTATACAATGATCTCATTTCATACATTATTATGATGTAAAAATCTTTATCGTGCAATATTTTTTGTATTTGTATTTTATCACAAATATACTGCGCGCGAAGTGAAATAATGCGTATGCAAATATATAAAGATTATCATTCTTTTACAGTTTTCCAGACTGGTATGATCGGTTATCCGGAATCACTCACGGATCCTTCTTATCACGCTCAGATTTTAGTGCTTACATACCCACTCATAGGAAATTATGGCGTCTTCGACGATGAAAAGGATGAATACGGCATACCATAGTAAGTGATCGCAATCAGATTTAACTCAGCGCCTATTAACGTCTTTATTCAATGACAACATTAATCTTTGCGTATTGCATGTCAATTGAGCGAATCAGCGTGCGCTTTTCCCGCGTGTAACGCACTGTAATATATTTTAAGTAAAGTTTCAAAAAAAAACAAGTAAAGTAATAAATTTCATACAAAATAATAATATGATATAAAATAATAGATATCAAATTTATAATAAGATATATATAAATATATTAATAAGTAAAATATATTCATTTTACTAAAATATCGGTTTATCTTTTCTTAAAAATATTCTTTCCTACGAATGTTCTTTCAGTTATACTTTTTAAAATCTTTTAGTTCAAATAAAAATTCTACTTAAAAAATATATATATATTATAAAACTTTTCTATAAAAAACTTTTATAGATTTTCTGCGGAATGTTCATAAATTAAGAAATCTATGTAAATATAATATATTGAAAATATCACTTATCATTGATGGTTAAAATATCAATTTTGATACAGCTGGTTTGAATCCCATCGTATATGGACTGCTGGACTCGTGGTTGGAGAAATTTGCGAGAAGCCCAGTCACTGGCGACAAACTAAGACACTATCTAATTGGATGAAGGAGCAAAATGTACCTGGTATATGCGAGATTGACACACGAGCACTGACAAAAATAATTACGGAAAAAGGTACTATATTAGGCAGGATAATTTTGGGTAAACCGTTACATACTCTGCCAATAATGCCTCCAATAGAAGATCCTAACAAGAGAAACCTTGTTGAGGAAGTTTCTCAGGTAAAGTAATTTGTTACTTTTTACAAACGCATTTTATAATAAAGTAATATTTCTTTTTATAGTTGTATTTTATTATACAAAAATCTTGCGTATTGCTTCAATTTTATTGATTATTTCTGATATGATTCTGATTGATATGATTAGAATTTTCCCGGTATATTTATTTTTATTCAGAAAATTTTCTCAGTGTATACGTATCTGATTTTTTTTTTCAGCCAAACCCAAAAACGTATAATCCGGACGGGCACCCTCGTATATGTGTAGTTGACTGTGGTTTAAAGTACAACCAACTGAGATGTCTGTTAAAACGTGGTGCTCGTGTGGATATTGTGCCATGGAATTACGATATTAAGACTGCCAAGTACGATGGTTTATTCCTCAGCAATGGACCGGGTGATCCTAGCATGTGCCAAGTGATCATAGAAAATATTCGAGAAGTATTCAAGCAAAAAAGACCTATCTTCGGTATATGTCTTGGACATCAACTGTTATCTATAGCCGCTGGCTGCGTTACATATAAAATGCAGTACGTATCATCTAAATTACCATAATTACCATATAAATATGTCAACACTGTCTTATACTGCTCGGAAAACAAAAAAGATAAGACTTCTAGACTACACTTTCTGTCCCAGATGTTCTAATCCCAATGTTTCTTATCTCTATGTCACTTGTTTTTATATTATAAAACCGTTCAACAAATTATTGTTCTGCCATGCGTAATAGACTATCTTATGTAATACGAAGTGTAATAGCCGACTGTAATAATCGAAGTGTAATAACCGCTTACAAACGATGTCTGTCACTTACTTTGCAGGTACGGCAATCGGGGCCATAATCAACCGGCCACGCATAGAATCACCGGACGTTGCTACATGACCTCGCAGAATCATGGATTTTGCGTCGATGCTGCTCAATTGCCGCCTGATTGGGAAATACTCTTTACCAATGCCAATGATAGTAGCAACGAAGGTATAGTCCACTGTGTCTTACCCTATTTTTCCGTTCAATTTCATCCGGAGCACACAGCAGGACCTGAGGATCTCGAATGTCTCTTCGATGTGTTTCTGGAGAACGTGAGAGACCAGATCAGTAATCGTCCTTACGTTTCTGTAAAGGATAGACTCCATTTAAGTCTAGTTTATACACCTTTGTTTCCAATCATGACCGAACAACCGAAAAAGGTATTAATTCTGGGCTCGGGAGGTCTCAGCATTGGCCAAGCTGGAGAATTCGATTACTCAGGCTCGCAAGCAATTAAAGCACTAAAAGAAGAGTCAATACAGACTCTCTTGATAAATCCTAATATTGCTACGGTGCAAACTTCAAAAGGCATGGCCGACAAAGTATATTTCTTACCGATTATACCGGAGTACGTAGAACAGGTAAGCTTGACTGCACTTAAAGTTTAAATAATGAATTTTTTAAATTAATAATTTATCGTTAATATATATAATTGTAATACGAATAATGCATCAGTATATCGTTAAACATTATTAACGTCAATCTTTCTATTTTATAAAAACTTTAATAAAATTATAAATGTTAAATTTCATCTAATATTTAATATTAAAATAAGAATTTTAATTGTTAATAATCTGTCAATATATATAATTTGCCATTAATCTGTTTTAGGTGATACGATCCGAGAGACCGGACGGTGTATTATTAACATTTGGCGGGCAAACCGCTTTAAATTGTGGCCTGGAACTTGAAAAAAACGGCGTGTTCGCCAACTATAATGTTAAAATTCTAGGGACACCAATTGAATCCATTATACAAACCGAAGATAGAAAGATTTTCGCGGATCGTGTCAGCGAAATAAATGAAAAAGTCGCGCCGAGCGCTGCCGTATATTCGATTCAAGAGGTAAATGACTACTTAAAATTACTAGGGTGCAAAAAATTCTTTTCTATATGTTTTTGACTCATTTTTTAATAAAAAATTGGTGATTCAACCAAAAAGAGGGCCATTTTACATAAGAATATAAGTCAGAAATATAGAATAAAATTTTTTTATATAAAGGGCTTTGTTTTGGGGAAAATTGACATCAAATATTTGTTAGGTACATGTGTATGTGCTTAACTATATATCTTGACTTAATGGATCTTCTTATAAATTATAATCTCTTTTTATGTTGTGTTTATTGTATTGGATAATACAATAAATTGTGTATATACATAATAAAATAAAATATTTACCAACGATGAATTTTATTGCTTTATGCATTATTAAAAATTATGCCCATTATATTGAATATACACTTCTTAAGTCAAAACAAATAGTTACATGCACATGTATCTGGCGAAGATTTAAAGTTGATTTTTCCAAAAACAAAACCTTGTATGAAAAAATTATATTTCTACGTTTTTGACTTATTTTTCATGTACAATCATTTTCTTTTCGATTGTATTATCAGTTACAGGACATTCTGTATAATTTCTTTCCAAACAGGCACTAGAAGCTGCTGAAAAACTGGGTTACCCCGTAATGGCGCGCGCTGCCTTTTCGCTCGGTGGTCTTGGCTCAGGCTTTGCTAACACGAAAGAAGAGCTAAGGACACTAGCTCAACAAGCTCTAGCACATTCCAGTCAATTAATAATCGACAAATCCCTGAAGGGTTGGAAAGAAGTGGAGTATGAGGTTGTCCGCGATGCATACGATAATTGCATCACGGTGTGTAATATGGAAAACGTCGATCCACTCGGCATACATACCGGCGAGTCCATCGTCGTCGCACCGAGCCAGACCCTGTCGAATAAAGATTACAACAAGCTGCGAACTACCGCCATTAAGGTCATTAGGCACTTCGGCATCGTTGGAGAATGTAACATCCAGTATGCTCTCAATCCATTCTCCGAAGAATATTACATCATCGAGGTGAATGCTAGATTATCCAGAAGCTCGGCTTTAGCCAGCAAGGCTACGGGTTACCCTTTGGCTTACGTCGCCGCCAAATTAGCTCTTGGAATACCCCTACCAGATATTTGTAATTCTGTTACCAAAGAGACGACAGCCTGTTTTGAGCCGAGTCTTGATTATTGTGTCGTTAAAATACCTAGATGGGATCTCAGCAAATTTCATCGCGTCAGCACAAAGGTATCTATTGAATAATTTCCCAATTCGGCCGTAATTTGCTTCATTGATTTGTTTGATTCTTGAACTATTTGATTAAACGTTAATCAAAAATTAGTGTAACGAGTAGAAGATTAATGTAAATTATACGTTGAAATTATGAATACAAACTTTTAGTTTTCTAATTATTCTCTTTACAAAAGTCCAAAACCGAGACATACATGGAATAAGGGTTGAGAATCAAACCCAAGATTCCTGACTATAAATAGATTATTCTCATTATCTAGCCTCGTATTGTCTCACAAAATACTTTATATATATGTATATTATTTTATTTTTATTCATATTAAATATTTTTTAAGTTACATAAAATAGTATATTAAGAACTATAAAAAAGATGAAAACTAATTAATCAAAGAAAAATTACATAATTTTTATTGATAATGTAAGTCAATATTTACAAGAATTCTCTTTATTTTAACGTAATTTATATTAAAATATATATTATTTTTGTTATAACTGCGATATTGGACATTTTCCAGATTGGTAGCTCCATGAAGAGTGTGGGTGAAGTGATGGCGATCGGTCGTAAATTCGAGGAAGCCTTCCAGAAGGCATTGAGAATGGTCAATGAAAATGTAAATGGTTTTGATCCTTACGTGAAGCCGATAAATGATGAAGAACTAGAGAAGCCAACAGATAAGAGAATGTTCGTTCTCGCAGCTTCGATCAAAGCCGGTTATTCGATCGACCGATTATATAAACTCACTAAGATAGATCGTTGGTTCCTCGAGAAGATGAAGAACATTATCGATTATCACATACTCCTGGAGAACACCGATCATACGAAACTTACAAGTAATTTACTGCTAGGCGCAAAGCAAATTGGCTTTTCGGACAAACAGATTGCCGCCATAGTGAAAAGCTCCGAATTGGCTGTCAGAATACAGAGACAAGAACATAAAATCCGACCAATGATCAAACAAATTGACACAGTGGCCGCTGAATGGCCGGCCAGTACTAATTATCTTTATTTAACGTACAATGGTACTACTCACGACGTAGAGTTCCCTGGCGGTTACACAATGGTTATAGGTATAATGTTATATAAATAATTAATCGCAACAAAACCTTTTTCAGTAATAAAACTAAGTAGTTATAAAAAATGATACTAATAAAGAATCGTCTAATAAGATGATTATAAACAGCAAACTTCTATTTTTATTCAAGAAACTTGATTCACAAAAAATATAATCAAAAATATATTTAGTTAATAAGAGATTAGCGATATAAAGAAATTAGATATATAAAAAACATAATTTAAAGATAAACATAAACAACATATAATTTATTGAATAAAAGTATTAAATAAAAAAATTTAATACTTTTTTTTAGGTTCTGGAGTGTACAGAATCGGTAGCTCAGTAGAATTTGATTGGTGTGCCGTGAGTTGTCTGCGTGAATTGCGAAATCTTGAACGTAAGACCATAATGGTGAATTACAATCCAGAAACAGTTAGTACAGACTATGATATGAGTGATAGATTGTATTTCGAGGAAATCTCCTTTGAGGTTGTGATGGACATATACGACTGTGAATGTCCTGAAGGTATAATACTTTCCATGGGTGGACAACTACCTAACAACATTGCTATGGATCTGCATAGACAGCAAGCTCGAATCCTCGGAACCTCCCCGGAATCAGTTGACGGTGCCGAAAATCGTTTTAAATTCTCTCGCATGCTCGACAGTATTGGCATATCGCAGCCGAGGTACAAATTTTATTTAATATTTGTTTTGATAATTCCCACAACGATCGATATTTTATATTATTTTAGATGGAAGGAACTGACAAATTTGAAGTCCGCGATTGAGTTTTGCGAGGAAGTCGGCTATCCATGCCTCGTAAGGCCTTCATACGTACTAAGTGGTGCTGCGATGAATGTCGCTTACTCGAATCAAGACCTTGAATCTTATTTAAAAAGTGCGAGCGAAGTTAGTAAAGAGCACCCTGTGGTAATATCAAAGTTTATTCTCGAGGCAAAGGAGATTGATGTCGATGTCGTGGCTTATGAAGGGGTTATTTTATGCATGGCAGTATCGGAACATGTGGAAAATGCTGGCGTTCACTCCGGCGATGCTACATTAGTAACACCACCACAAGACATCAATACGCAAACTCTGGTGAAGATAAAAAGCATCTCGAAAGCAGTAGCAGCATCTTTGGGAGTCACTGGTCCTTTTAACATGCAGCTGATTGCGAAGGTAGACGTCGTATACTTTGTTTTTATGTAGTCGAAAATTGATCAATTAAGTTTGATTATATATAATATTTTAATATATTTATACATGTACGATTACTACAGTTATACTTTTATTGCTTAGCTAGACATAAAAAATATTAATTACACACAAATAAATAAATTTTATTATATTTTATTATATTTTAATAAAAATTAATCATTACGTTTTAGGATAACGAGCTGAAGGTTATTGAGTGTAATGTACGAGTATCCAGATCTTTTCCTTTCGTTTCAAAAACTTTAGATCACGATTTCGTTGCAACGGCAACTCGTTTAATCATTGGCGAAACGATTGAACCTGTGGATGTTTTAGCTGGTTGTGGAAAAGTTGGAGTGAAAGTACCGCAGTTTTCCTTTTCTCGTCTTGCAGGTACAAACGTTAATTTCATTTACAGTTTACCGGAAATTTACGGGGAATTTATTTATACTTCAGTGGGGTAACAATATATGCTACATGCAAGTTCTGTAATATTTTTTGTTTTATATTATTTTTTATTATGAATAAACGTATTTTTTTTATAATTAACTTCGCTTTTAATCTCCTTTATATTGCTTAAACTCAAGTTTTAAGAAATGTTTAAATTTTAAATAGAATATTATTAGGTATTATACAATCGATTTATATAATTTTTTAAAAATTATTTTAATATTGATACTATTTTGTTATTGACTTAATTGAAGGCGCTGATGTAACGTTGGGTGTCGAGATGGTGTCTACCGGAGAAGTAGCTTGTTTCGGTGAGAATCGTTACGAAGCTTATCTAAAAGGCATGATGAGCACCGGTTTTCATATACCCCAAAGAGGTATTTTACTCTCCGTAGGAAGTTTTAAGGTAATTATATTGTGAAAGAACTACTTTATATAAATAATAATTAACTATACTCACGCTATTATAATACTTCATAAGAAGCAGAGTACCATTTTGGAGATGGAAACTAAAAATTTATAATATTGATTTCTCAATATTAAATTGATAAATATTTTTATCAATAGTGTTGATAAAAAAAGGAAATTGCAATAACTAAAATCTTTAAAGAATTAAAATTGTTTTAATAAAAAGAATGTATATATAAGATATAAAAATAAATGATTTGTTTTTAGCATAAAATGGAGTTGCTAGGGTCTATCAGAAATCTAAAAAACATGGGATACAAATTGTATGCCAGCATGGGTACCGCTGACTTTTATACAGAGCATGGTGTCGAGGTAAGCAAAAAAATTATTTATTGATTGTTTTATATTGTTTTGTTTTGGATATAATATTTATCACTCACATGATAATGTATATGAAAAGAATTATATTCTTTTTCCATTATAAGAAAAATAAGTATTTACGAGAAACGTACATACCTCGATTAAATTTGTTGAATTTTTACAATTTAAATTATTACAATTTGAGTTATTTAGTGAAATATAATGCATGATTTTCAGTATGAATATTTCAGTGAAGAGATATCGTTTGCGATCAAATAAGGGATTTAATATACTGACAATATATAGATATAAAGATAATGTGATATTAATGATAATGAAATAATGAAAATAATGAAATCATTAGATTCATATATAAATTTTGTCGGCAAACATATAAAATGTTCAAAAAAAAAATGAATATGTGATATGAGATACAAAAGTTAAATTGTGACTTCAGCAGAATTAACTATTTTCATAAATTATTTTAACTCTCCTGCAATCTGGATCTTATTTGGTACAAGCAAAATTTCACTTTTAAACTTCTCTGAAATAAAAGAAGGCAGTGTCCTATCCCCTTTCTACCAAATTGTACATTTTTAACTAAATTTTAATTTTTCCTTCATTTTTGGACAAATTTCAATTTTTAATAAATAAAGATTTTAATATATGAATTAAACGATCAGTTTGCGGACGGAGAGAGTTAACTACTAATAATTACTATACATAAATATGTGCGCTCTTGCATAACGCGATGATCGAATATCGACAATTCGCAAGCATGCGATAAGCACGCTCAGTCTTCCTCGATTACTTACTAAATTAATTATCGACCAATCTCGAAACATAAATACCATTCTGTCCCATATAACACAAAAGCTTGCAGCAACATTCTTACAATGAGCGCGTTTAGCAGACTCAACAGTTAAACTCTTGCTGTTATTGATGTATTCTTCTAAATTATCCAATTAGATCTAAAAGATTACATAAATAGCAGTAAACACTCATTCAACTGTTGAATTTGCTGAGCACGTCTAACGTTACTTCAATATTGCTGGAACATTGCAATGTTGCTGGAATAATCTGTTGTATGGGGATTTGCTAAGAGCGTTGAATACAAAGATGTATTTCTATTTTGCTTTTTTTTTCGACAGATCATTCACGCTCTATTCCTAAACGTACGTATCATATAAACGTCGTTTCGTTTAGATTACCCGCTAGAGAGATCACTTTTTGTATCGTTTTTGAGTCATCACCCTGATCCTTCGATATAGGCTTTCTCGAAGTGTAAGGACTTTCGTCCTCGCTCGTAATCGCGCTTGCAGTATCCGCCTGCGCGTTTCCCTCGTTTGTTAATCCTATTTCGGAGGTAATCGTTTTCGTTATCTTATTCGTGTGATCTTGATGACTAGATTGCGGTTGCTCGTCCTTTGGCAGTTTCATGACTTCATCAAATTGTCGCGTAAAACGATCTTTCAGGGTGCTGCTGAATATAGGTTTTTGATTCCTCTCAGGAGTTTCCGGCGGCTCATTCTGTGATCTTATCGTTGAATTCATCGTCGGTTTCATCCTCAGAGCATAGATTTTCTTGCGATAAGCTTTAGCATCGTCCTTGTACCTAATCATCTCTGATAGGATGATCGACAATCGATCAGCTTGATCGAGATAAACCTCTTTCTGTTGGTAAGCCCGATACCTGTGACAGCACTCGGCCATTTTAACAAAGTGCGTGATGAAGAAGTCCAACAAAGCAGCCAGCCTCATACCCTCTAATTTGGCACATCGTTCCTGGAAAAGAGAAAGAAAAAACAAGAGAGGAATGTGAGTTAACCATGACTCTTGATCTGCTAATCTCGAGGTAACCGAGATAAGATTAGATTCCCGAGACAAGTTGTGTAGCATCATGGATGGACTTCACATTTTTTTTTGTCTGGCACAATCAGTTATGATAGTAATTTGTTGCGGTGGATTGCTCATTATATGAACGCCAATTGATAATCTTATCTCTTAAGGAACTCACCGAAATCTCGACGATACAATCAGTGGCCTTGCGCGGAGTGATTAGTGTTTTCCTCACGCCTATTGGCGCAGCTATTGGCGCGCTGTAGTTACGCGAATTCTTCTTTCGAGCCTTGTTCCAAAATCCACCGGATTTGTTATAGATCTCATCTCTATATGACTCGTCGTTCTTTGACGGCAAATACATATCAAGAGCTGGATTCATAGCCAACCACGGCTTTACCGTCAGTATGTTGAACAGCTTCGTGAAGTTCAATCGCGGAAAAAATTTGTTGCTATATTTGATGTTCTCCATCGCATGGAACACATACATGACAGGATTCTCAATTATTCTCTTCAGTTGCTTCTGGCTGTGCAACAGGAGATTGGCGGGCACTTTGTTAAACACGTTTTTGTCGCGGAGGAAATAATCCAATAGAATTGGTTCGTTCTGGCAGAGGCAGCGATAAAGGCTATCTAACAACTTGATTAGACAGTCGCCAGTCCGATTGTCAGGCCATTTGAAAGGTCGATCGTTTTCTTCGATCAACCAGAATAGCTTATTCCTAATGTGAGAAATCGTTAGGCCAGCTGTTGAGTCCTGGATCTGTCTTAAGAAGGTTTTATGGAGCATCAGCGCGATCAAGTACACTTGTACTTGTGAGCGTGTCATGCAGGTCTCTAGATATCGTTCCGCGGCTGGAAATGCCAATTGCCACTCGATTTCCTGGTGAATATTGTTAGCATTTTGTTGCCAAGACAACTCTTTTGACAAAGGATTTCTTTTTCTCGGTAGAGAGTCTTCGGGCACTACGTAGCAACCAAAGTCTTTTATTTTGTTGATATCATTGTAGTCAGGCCACGTGCTCCTCGGTCTATCTAGCCACTCCTGTGCGTATTCCGGCCACTGTAACCATATCGTTGGTGAGATCTCGTAGGACTCGAGCCTGCGCAGCCTCAAATTATGCGAGTCGATCACTTTGTCACAGTAGATAATCGACTCCTCTACGTGATTCAGATCTTCTTGTTTGAAACCTAGCGGCTCCGCTAATTGATCCACGAAGACATCGACGAAATAGCTCATGAACACTTTACTGCTGGTATAGAAGACATAGGAATCGTATTGTCTGTCGGCCAACATGAGGCGAAATTGCTTGCAATTTTTCAGCTTCCTCTCCCGTTGTAACATGTAAATCTTGCCATCGTTGCTGATCCTCATCTTTTTGAAACACTGCGTCGGAATCATCGCATCCGAATAGATTTTCGTCGATGCATCCGCGGTATTCTTATTATGATTCACATTACGAGTTGTTTGCAAGATGGATTTTGACAGAGGTTGGTAACTCCAGTCGCTATCACTGTCGCAAGCTTCGGATCGGTAGCCGGAACTCGTGATGCTTGCTGGTCTGCTTGCTTTCTGTTTCGCCACTCCGGATTGAGAATAACGTTGGTAACTTTCTTTCCTGGCCTCCAGTTCATTTTTCAACCATGTTTTCTGACCATGACTCCTTCGATTCTCTGTCGAAGATCTATGCTCGTAGTCAGACTTAGTTTTGAAATTACGGCTGGGTCGGGTTTCGTAAATACTTCTTACGGAAAGGGATACTTGACCCTCGTATATTGTCTTGTCATGAAGATTGGGTAAAGATTTGACACTGAAAATTGAAGAAGTTTGGAGACCTCTCTTTCTAGAGTGATGCGGTGTGACTCTGGTGTGATGTATCATGTTCGAATTACGACCATAAACGCTCTCGCCGTCACCATCATATATTTCGTCGTCATCCACTGTTAAAGAAGGATCGATGTCTTCTTCCTTGCAGGAGTTACTCACATACGGCGTTTCATCGAGACGTCGCAATTGCACGTATCCTACCGAATATTTATTATTTTAGTCGAATGCTGTACTAAATCTATTAAAGTCTTTTTTATTTAAAAAATGTTATTTAACGTTATCTTTTTTAGTAAATTGAAATTTACTAAAAAAGATTGTGTTAAATAATATTTTTTGAAAATTGAAGAGTTTTGGGACTTCTTTTTTTTATATGATGCGGAAGCATTGGGCGCAGTCAGCCAATTCAACAGACGAGTGAGCGTTTGCTGTTATTGGTATAATCTTTAGATCATCCAATCAAAATTTTTAATCTAGAAGCAAACGCTCACTCAACTGTTGAGTCTGCTAAACGCAGCCAATATGTTCGAATTACGGCCAATGCTCTCGCCGCCGTTATCGTATATTTCGACGAAAGTTTTAATTCTCATTAAGTTCTAAATTTTATCAAAATAGTCGCAAGTTTTTAAACTCGATGATAATTTGAGAAATAAATCGTTAAAATTAATATACTTATATAGAAACATAATTTTAATTTAAAGCCTTTAAATTTGTCTTCAAATTGAATTGTGTTGTGTTGTGTGTGTGTGGAATAAAGTTTTATATTTTTATTTTCTATTTAAAACTTTCTTCGCGAGAATTTTTAGTTTTAAACAGAATCTTCCTACAATTTAGAAACTATTGATTGATTACATTTTTGTTAAAAACAAATCTACTTCAAATTAAGCTAAGAACACATTGCGAAAAGAAACAAAGACAATCTGGGATATTATATAAGTCAAAGCAAATTTACTTACCGGGATTTTCACTTGGTTGCACCATCATGTTGTACGTAATCCCATTATTTAGGCTACTATACTCTGATAAGTAATGTCGCTCTGTAATTTCAATATTATCATGCACAATATAAATGCGGATGGGGTGCAGCAATTCGATAATGAGATCATCGGTTTGTCTTTTTGATGTAAAAGCAATGTTATGGGAGATATGCTCCTGAAGAATGTCCGGCAGTAGAACGTGCTTTTGAGATGGGAGCACTTTATTTAATTCGCTTTCGTAAGTTGGTACCAGAGTCTCTTTAATTTGAATTATATCTCTGTAAAAGCAGTTTTCCGATAATTAGTTTTCTGTCGTTTATCATTACTATGTCTAACTACATTTATGTAGTATATATTATTTACTAAAACTTTTCTCTATACTCTATATTCTTTACATTAATTGTTTTACTTTAATTAATTAAAACATAAACATATAAAAATAAAAATAAATATTCAAAAGACTTTTCAAAAATAATTAGAATATGAAAAACAATAAAAATATAAATATTATGTATAATATTTAATTAAATATAATATATATATGAACTAGCACTCTCTAATAAATCCATTCAATATTAATTTAAATTAATTTTTTTAATGTAATGTTAATTACAAAATAATGTGTACTCTGAATTCTTTACATTTTTGCTTTTTAATTTGTCACATAATAAATCTCGTATTATACACAACGCTTTTCCATCATACGCGTTTCCATTATAAGGAAAAATATCTTTTTATTTGCAAGATATATATTACAATATTACTTTATATTATAGATCTTTACTATGCAAATGAGATTCTTTATGTTGTGGTAGCACGCATGGTTGTGTACACAATACCGAAGAGATTTATTATATTGCAAATTGAAAAGCAAAAGTAATGTAAAGAATTCATAAGTATACTTTTTCTTGATAGCGCCGAGGAATATTTTTTATATATGCTGAGGATTTATATAGATTAGATTAAATCAAGATGAATGGTATTGATATTTCTTGAGTCAGTATGTAATCAGCGAAATAATTCCCAATTTTCCAGTAAATTTCTGAATATGATATGGATGATACAATATACACATGATACGGTTATCTCTAATTGACATTAATTTCACTGTTACGGTTTTTCTAATGTGTTATTAACAGTAACAACTTAAATGTGCAAATATTTATTTAATACTAAGCTTCACCACGTCGAATAAGATTGATTATCGGGATCATTTGTTAATATACTAACAGCAGTTGAATACTATTATCCCATTTTCCAAATTTTTTTTCCAAATTTACACTCTCGATAGTAATTATTATTTTCCGCAACTGCAATGTATCATCGTAAAAAAGCATTGGAACAGGAGTGCTTACTCCTCGTAATTCTCGAAGAACTGGATACACATCATGAGATTGTTTAGAATGAAACTGTTAGGATCGTTCGTGATGGCCATCTTCATTTGTATCAATTCCACATCCTCATATTCCTCCACTTTGGCTGCGTTTTTTGGTTTGGGTCCGTTGCTATTTGTATTTCCCAACTGGGAATCAGACTTATGATTAAAGGAATCAATCAACGATTGCACGATTCCCATTGTCCTTTTTCGCATAATGACATAACAAAGTGTACACACACGAGGGAGAGACGGCCACGTGGAGTGTCCCCACGTAGGGCGCGCGTCCTCAGGATCGGTCGCGGTACACTGCAATAGGCTACTTCGCGATTTACTATAGGTCACCAACACATTCCTTCATCCTAGTTTCAAGGTCAGCGAAAATGGGAACGCAGCATTGTGCGTACGCGCGTAAGGACACGTCGATGACTGATGAGGCAGTAGTCCTCTTGCGGGCTATCGGAATCGATAAATAGCTATCACGTTATCGAGCACGGGCGCTTTTAATCGCCCGTTTACTATTGGGCATTGACAAACAAGCCCGATGTAAAATACTTATGAAGATTGTGCTGGCATTGGGCAAGATAAAACTTCGGTATTCTACCCAATTCGCCAATATTCAGTTTCATATCGCTTATCATAGGATGGATCATATGTAATTATAGATACAAATGTCAGCCAATTGAAGCACTATATTTAGAACGATCTTTACTATTTTTTCCACGTATCCTTTCAATGTTTCCTCTTTTTCTAATGTTACTTCTTAGATCTAGTTATCGCGTCTAATCCTTGTCTAAACAAATAACTTTTATCAGTAATGCCGCGTATTATCAATAACACCTACTAACCTATTTAAATAAAGCTTATGTTTTAATTAAATAAATAAAGTTTTATTTTTAATATTTAGTCTGTAATTAATGACAAGTATAATTAAATGTAATGCAAAATATTAATAAAAAGACTAAAATATATGTGCCAGTCTTGTACATTGCAAACAGCAATTACTACGAAAAAAGGAAGTTATTGATATAATGATTAAAGTTATGGTAACATCGTAGATTACTTGATGTAATCTCTCTCTGATTTTGTATGTGATCAGTTTTTCTTGTACAATATTACCCAACATACGTGCGTGCAAGAGATTGCAGAAAACATTGCAGTAATAGCTGTCTCAATAGTTGGATAAAAGAAGCTTCTTATTAACATCATCATGATAAAGTTATTGCTAAAGTAATTCTCACGAATTATCGTATACAGATCCACGGTGACTCTGTCCGTGGTCTTCTCTCGAAACGCAATCGATTTTTGTGGTATCGCTTCGTATAAGACCACACAATATTGCGCATGGTAACATTTAATTCGTCTACTGACGTCATATAACGTGAATAAATGACGGCAACATCGCGAATAAAAACTTCTGCCGTTATCTAATCTGTGCATGAAACAGGGACAATTTGACAAATTGTAGATTGATTTCGGCGCATTGTGACGCGCGGTTAAAGATCGGTATTACTCCTTGACGAATATATTTGATCGCTCTAAAAACAGGCAGCACATTTGTTTTTCTAAGAGATGAGAAAAGATATTGATCGTTTCTAGGTCGTTTAGAATATTATGATAAACCAATGAACGTAACCTCCACCGATCGATATCTACTTCAACGATAGCAGCATACAGTGGTGCGGAAATCAATATTATCTGAAATTATTTAAATTTTTTTATGAGATATCCAAATATATTTGCATAATTTCGAATTGTTAGTACGAAAAAATAGAATGACACCATTTTTATTATTTTATATTCCTGAACTATATATAAAAATGTTGAAATATTTTATATGTAATTATATCTATGTATGTCATAAAAAAATCTAATGCAAAATTTGAACAAGAGTAATGTTAAAGAGTAATGTTAAAGAGAACTAGAATAATGTTAAATTTTTGTTTTGCTGATATAATGTTCACAGTTCTACTATATTAAAGTAAACTGCACATAGACATCAATTACTGCTGCATGGAATATTATTCATATTTACTATTCTTTACCCCTATTCGCATTTATAAAGCATTTTTTATACGAAGATGATGTTTGCAGTAGCTGTTTTTGTGCGTACGTTAATCGTATAAGAATTTTATAATTTTGTAAATTAAGCTAATTCAAATTTAAGATATTTCAGAATTATTAAATGTTTTATTTTAGGATCCCTTTAATACATATTATTATTATTTTCGTTTGCATTTTGCGTAAATCTGTATTTCAATTAATGTGTCTTTTCCTTAGATATCCTTTGCTTCCACTATAAATTTTGAACATTTATACTTGTAGATAATTGTTGTAACTTTGTATTACGTAACAAATTTTTGTAATGCAGGTAGAACCGGTACAATGGACATTCGAGAACATCGCTGTAAACGAAGATTCTAGCCCGAGCCAACTTCGGCATCTCGCCGATTTCTTGTCGAAAAAGCAGTTCGATCTTGTAATCAATTTACCTATGAGAAATGGCGGAGCCCGGCGTGTTTCAAATTTTATGACGCATGGTTATCGGACGAGAAGACTAGCAGCTGATTATTCTGTACCTTTGATTACAGACGTTAAATGCGCGAAGCTGCTGGTTGAAGTGAGTATTCAGATTTTCGACTCTACAAAAGTATCTTATAAAAAACATGATATGTATGTCATAAAAAAATCTAATAAATTTTATTTAAAGAAACAATTTGATTAAATGATTAGAATAAGCTTACGTGACTTTACCTTCTAATTTAAAACTACATTTTATATCACTCCCACATTAATGATCAAAGATTGTTTTTGATAAACAAGATTATACTATTACTCACTCTTACTCATAAAATTTTGTTCACATTGTTGATAAGGCATATTAGGTACAAAGTTCACTTCAGGACTTATGTATTTTAAGACAATATTGAGAATTTTAATTTTCTTGAAAAACGGAAAATATTATCTATTTTCACAATAATAGAAATTATTAATATTCACATATAATCAAAATTAACGACAATATAAAAAACTATGCCCAGTTTTATAGAGGAATTTGGACCCCGGATGAACAACTTTGAGACATGCCTAAAATTTTAAGGTATCGAAAGAGAATCAAAAATTCCATAAGCCCAACTTTATAGGAGAGGTTTCCTGAATGCTAGAATCCAAAATTCGCTATTATGACCCTGTACCACTAGTCTTATCCAATTTCTCTGCGTCCAGGGTACCTCCCCGCGGTGACGGCGGTAACGGATTGTACCAAAGACATTGAAGTAATATCTAAAATGTATTTGGTACAGGTCATTAATCCGGTTGACAGTTATATGGTACCTGGGATATACCTAACACTTTGACGAAGACATCCATATGCCAGACATCCATAAGAACAGTTAATGATGTTTTTTTACTTTTAGAGAGTTCCGATGAGGAAGCTGAAGAGAGACATAAGGTCCATATATTGACCACATTTTAAGTAGGCAATTAAAACCTTTTGTTTTATACTTTGAGTGTCTTTCTCCCCTCTTCATCGATTAATATTTATCACTTACAACTATTCATTTGGGGTCCAAAAAAGGTTTTAGTTGTCTTCGTCAAGATTGGACATATTCCAGATATTATAGATGATTCGAGAAATCGAATAAAACCAGTATGGTACACAATATGTAGTCATAATAGTGAACTTTGAACAGCTGTAGCACTCAAGAGACTCATTTTACAAAGTTGTGCATATGGAATTTTTTAATACTTTTTTTATTCTCTACAATCCTATAGCTAGATCTCAATGCTGTTCAGCTGGGGCTCAAGCTGGGCATAGTTCTTTATGAAGGAAACAAAATTTTCTATTAAAAACTATATAAAATTTTCAAATAATTCAAGTAATAGTTCTATTAATTATTTTTTAAATTTTAATTATTTTTGCTGATTAAATTACATTTTTCTAAATAATTCCATATAAGTACACCTGTTTGAAAAAATGGAACTTTTTCAGCTAAAGTATCTCGAAAACGTGACAAATAAAATTACTCTATCACATTACGTTTTTGAGATATTTTAGCTTGAAAGTACCAAAAAATACCATTTTTTGCATTTTGAGATTAAATTTTCTCAAAAACGTAATAGAGCGGTTTCATTTACGTATTCATTTTCAGCGACAAAAATTCACTTTATCCTGTTCGTGATCTGGAAAAAGAATTTAAATTTATCGGATAGTAAACTGTATAATTGATTCGTTTTTTCTATATATAGGCGTTAAGAATGGTTGGCGGAAAAGCACCGCGTATGAAAACGCACACTGATTGTATGTCATCGCGAAAAATGATCAGATTACCTGGCCTTATCGATGTGCATGTGCATACCCGTGATCCTGGAGCGGTTCACAAAGAAGATTTTGCCTCTTGCACCGCGGCAGCGCTGGCCGGAGGCATAACAATAATTTTTGCGATGCCGAATACCAATCTCCCCCCCCCCCTCTCTCTCACTCAAAAATTAACTTGATTGTTGATTTGTCGCGCATTCTTTATTCACATTTGTATTATTATTAACAAAATTGTAATCAAACTAAATTCAAATTGAAATTTAAAATAATTTAAATTAATATGTAATAATAAATATATTAAAGTTTACGTATATAAATTAAGATTTAACTTTAGTCTCGAAAAATTGATACCAAAAACTTTCCAAGATACTTTTAAATTTATAAGCGCATAAACAGAAATTTTGATAAACTAGCTTAGTCTTGTTTCATTATGATCATAAGAATTCGATTTATAACACGTTTAGTAAAATATTCTTTAAATTAAATTAAAATATTTGTTCAAAAATGCAATTTCAAGCTTCCTATATTTAAGATAATCAAAAATCAAGTTCTATCACATAATTACAAAAATTGATCGTAGCTAGCGAATCAAGTTTTAACAACGTGATACCGTATGATAACAATTAAGCTTAAAAAGACATTTTGTTTTATCGTTATGAGTTTCAAACTCTTTTTGTGTTGAAAAAGACACACACGAATATCTACTTATCAACGTATATAAAACATTGATTTCTTATAAGATATTTCAAAATTAATCATTAATTTCACGCGGTTTTTGCTTTTTGTTTATTATCGATTAGATTCAGTCTAAATAAATTTTAATCACGTTTAAGAAATATTTAAGAATAATCTTAAATAATTTGTTATAATAAAATTAACAACAAAATATCATTTACTGCCTATTTCAATAGCAAGCTGTAGCTGACTCGCGATGCGATTATGCACTTTTTGCTGGTGCTTCATCAGATAATTATAATGAGATACGTGAAATAGCACCACACGTGGCCGCTTTGAAAATGTACCTGAACGAAACGTTTACAACTCTTCGTCTCACTGATCTTACTGTTTGGATTAAGGTAAATGATTTGCATGCTTGTAAAAAATATTAAAAGATTCTCAGTTCTAAAATATATTCTTTAACAAATCTAGCTTATTTATAAATTTGGATGTGTGTGAAATGTATATAATCTATTAAAAAATATGTTTTACAAAGAAGATAAAAAGAAGATTCTAAATACGTGCGCCTGTTATATAAGAAAATTATTTTGAAACAATTTTAAAATTGTTGTAAAACAATGATAATTTAATCAAAATAAAAATCATATTTTAATCAAAATAAAAAGTAATTAACGTAATATTTATATTTTCAATTATATGATGTACATCTACTTCTTTTTGTAGCACTTCGAAAGTTGGCCGAAAAAGTATCCTTTGTGCGTGCATGCGGAAGGACAAACCACAGCTGCGGTCCTCCTACTAGCAAGTTTGCACAGCAGGCCGATTCATGTGTGCCACGTAGCACGTAAAGAGGAAATACAAATTATTAGAGCTGCTAAAGAACATGTAAGTATCCTAACAATACATATCAATAAAAAAGATGTCTATCACAAAACCAAAATAATTGTATGTATAAGATTTACGTAACCCGGTAATAATAGAGTATAAAAAACTAAAAGTCAATTTTAATAATTTAAAAATTTATAATAATTAAGACGGTAAATATAATTTAAAAAGTGCTCTTATTAAATATTTAAATTGAACTTTATTTAAAAATATCGACGTCAATTGTATTTTCTTATATATCTATCAGGGTTGGTAAACGTTAATTTTCAGTTACTTTGTCGTTACTTTTTATAGTAAACAATTTGATGACGATGTTGCAATTTTTTGTGATAGTAATGCTAACTAACTAAACGCAAAGGTTTGCTAAGGTTAGAACAGTCATTTTGAAAAGAAATTTGTCATCATTACGCGTTACTTACTAAAAAAAGTAATAAATAACGAGTAAGGCGTAAAGTTACTCGTTACAAGTAACGCGTTACAAATTAATGGAAAAAGGAGTTATTTTTTCAATAACAAATGACTTTCTTAACCCGTTACAAGTAACGATTGATTTTTCTAACTCTGATGTTATACCATTACCGTCATAAAAAATTCACAATGTCATTATCGAATCGTTATTATACAAAGTAATGATCAACAAAGTAATGATATTAAGATAAGTAACGCGTTACTGTTAACCCTGGTCTATATAATATTTTTTGTAGGGATTGGCAGTTACATGCGAGGTATGTCCGCACCATTTATTCCTTTGCCAGGATGATTTGCATCGAATAGGCTATGGAAGAGGTCAAGTAAGGCCTGTTTTGGGAACAAAGGAGGATCAACAAGCTCTCTGGGATAATTTAGATGTTATCGATTGTTTTGCAACCGATCACGGTTCGTCAATAAACTTATTGCTATACTTTAATATCTTTAATTGTAGCTGTAATTAAATTACAAGTTATAATTTTCACAAAATTTGCGCTGCAGTCACATAACAGAATAAATTTAATTCAATATCTTCAAATGATAACGACCAGCATTCTTTGATTCGGAGATAAAAGAATGGACATCTCATGTTTATATAACAGCTACTTTGCTTTGCTTTTAAATCATACAAGAGTATTCTTTTTGTCCAAAAGGCTTTGATATTATATCAGACATTTGCACTTGTTGTTTAGAAATAATAAGCAAAATTAAGTAGTCAGATAGAAACAAACGTTTGATAATTCGCAAGATTATTGCCTGTTTTTATTCAAGAATACTAAAGAATAAGTTCTAACGCACGAGATCACGCGATTGTATGCTTATCTTATATAATTTGCACATTTTTAATGAGACATTGATTTGCCCTGTAAAGCTCCACATACTGTACAAGAGAAGTCTTCCGAGAAACCACCACCAGGATTCCCCGGCTTAGAAACTATGTTACCGCTCTTACTGACCGCTGTGCATGAAGGAAGGCTGACTATAGAGGTACATTTTGTTTGAATTATAACTTTCAATGATGTCTAGCTGACGTAATGAGTACAGAATGCCGATAAGCACTTTGTACGATAACGCGAAAATTACTCTCGAGAATGCAAACGTCATATATGCCATTTCAATTCTCAGATACGTTTCTTATTTAATGTAACGTAATAAAACCATTAAAAGAAGCTTATTAAAAAGAAACTTTTCATCTAATTTTTACGAAAATATGAATTATATGTACATACTATTTTCTTAATCGTTGGTACACAGATAACGCATCTGTTTGTTCAATAAATCGAAAACTTTGCGAGAGAGAAATAACTTATTAAAAAGCATATTACTCTTGGAAAGGAATTTTGAAATTTTCAAAGCTTTTGTTAAACGCGGTCTTATGTTTATGCTTATCACTTCTTCCATTACATATGAATGCTATTTTCTGATAATAAGTTTTCAAGATAAGTCTTCGAGTATCACACGAAGATCCACTCGTAACACCAACAGTAAAAATAAATAAAGCGCTTCTTTTGTCGATCATTTTTAAGAAATGCTAGATAATTCTAATTGCAAAGTAAATCTTACTAAAGCAATACCATTCCTGCTTCTCCTGTTAAATGCATAATATCTACATATGCATGTAATTACGTTAATTATTTTATGATAAAAAAGTATAATATAGTATATAAATTTATATTTTATTAATAAAGTTATATATGTTACATTATTAAATGTAGTAAAAACCTAAACAAAACTGTTAATCAGTGATAATTATTGATTGTAGGATATTATAGACAAATTGTATCGAAACCCCAAAAGGATCTTCAATATCCCCGATCAACGTAACACATACATCGAGATCGATATGGATGATGAATGGATTATTCCGGAAGCAATGACGTACAGCAAATCGAATTGGACACCTTTTACTGGCATGAAAGTTCGCGGTTCCGTGCATAGAGTTGTCTTAAGAGGTGAAATTGCTTACATTGAGGGGCAAGTACTAGTAAATCCTGGATTTGGTCAAGACATCAGGGATGTACAATATAATACGAAGACTTCATCAACGCTCCATGCGCCGACAACATCCGTTCAGCTCGCAGATATCAACAAACCATTATCACTAGACAGTCTCATATCGCCGAACTACGAAAAACCAAGCATACATGTTGATGTGCATGAAGACGAACATTTTAAAATATATATATTTTTTATAATGTCAAACTGAGATCGTTTGTTAAAATATTTGTAGAAACACGTTTAAGATTGATAAATATACATGTTTATAAATATATTGATATAAGTCAATAAATATATGTATATATTTGCGAATAAGATTAAATGTCTCACAAATGTTATTTCTCACATTGCATGTGTTACTATTGCAAAAACATACAGCAACCACAACAATAATAATACTAATAATGACAACAACAATAATAATAAAAATAATTCATAACTCACTATTATAAAAACAGATAAAATATGAAAATCAATTAATTTATGTTCTATTTTGTCAGAGTCATTTACGCATCTCTTGCAACCGGCATCGCACAAATCGAGCGTCCACTTTGCGCCGTATACAGACGCCGCCGATAAAGAACATTCCAAGGCACTACCCTCTCAAAGAACTATCTCACCGTTGCCAATCAGCAATGTTACTAGATACAAAAGCGACAGTAATCCAAATCTGCTTATGACTGCCGTCGCATCGATTCCAACTGTCCATACAAGCAACAGTCTAATCGGACATCACGTGCTCACCGTGGATATCTTTAATAAAGACATATTGAAAGATATATTTCACTTAGCAGAAACTTTCCGAAATGCTATCAGAAAAGAACGACCCTTGGATCATATTTTGAAGGTAAATAATTAAAGATTACTTGTACAACTTCTTTTACTAATAATTTAAAGATATATATAGAAATCAGTATAAAATTCAAGAATTTTATGTTGATTACGAATTTTTTAATAATATACAAAACTGTTCCTTAATTTCTTAGTTAAAAAGATTAAGTATAATATATGTGATTAAGGGGAAGATTATGGCTTCTATCTTCTACGAAGTCAGCACGAGAACATCGTGCAGTTTTGCTGCTGCAATGGAACGTCTCGGTGGACGCGTGATATACATGGATGGTTCTACATCATCAGTGAAGAAAGGCGAAACCTTAGAAGGTTTATAGAAATTTGTTTCACACAATAAAAGCACGATTCTTGATAAAAATTGGAGTGAAATGTACTCCAACTAATTATTATTCTAATATACAGAGACAATCTAAAAAACATGTGGGTAATTTCTTTTCTAATCTTTCGTCAAATATCTAATAAGTTATCAAATTATTATTTTTAGATTCAGTAACAGTAATGGCAGGATACGCGGATGTAGTTGTACTCAGACACTCAACGTCGGGTGCGGCAGCTGTGAGTATTGAAGTTATACATATATATAAGTATAAAAAACTATTTATTTCATTTATTTGGTAAAAATTCTTTTGCATCTTTTATATCTTTCCTAATCTTAAATTAATAATAATGTATACAGAGAGTAGCGCAGCATTGTAGGAAACCGATATTAAATGCCGGTGATGGAATCGGTGAACATCCGACGCAAGCGTTGCTGGATATTTTCACAATTAGAGATGAATTCGGAACCGTAAATGGTCTTACAATCACCATGGTCGGGGATTTGAAGCACGGTAGAACCGTCCATTCTCTTGCAAGGTTAGTGCGACAAAAAGAATCCGCTTATCCAAGGTAATCAATTAAAAAAAAAGCAAGAAATATATATAAATATCACACGCATAAGTTTATATATTCTATAAAAAAATGATCAAAATTTTCGATAGCTGTTAAGACATGCTGCAATTTTCGAGTGAATTTTGATGTTGACCAATATGACGAACAATTGCACACACATATATATTATACATATATAATATATATTATACAATTTTAATTCTGAATTTAGATGCAGTCTTTTATGAAAAGCGCATTGATTAAGATAGTCTTAAATATACAATATTCTACTTGCAAAAATTGAACAATATATCAAAATAAATTTCTACAGTCATATTTTTAAAACTGTTGACTTCAATAGACGTTTATGTTGAAAGGATATCGATTTCAAATCAGAAAATAAAATTTAAAAATCTGAGATTGTGAAGAAACATAAAAATAAAATAAACCAATTTTTTTTTCTTCAAACAGGATTAAATACTCAATCTATAACTTTAATTCCAATATATTAATAGAAATTTTGACTGTATATATATATATATTTTTAGTAAGAAAATATAAATGTTCAAATATTTCAAATATGTTTGTTAAGAACAATATATTTATAAGTAACTGATAATAAAAATCAAAGAACTTGATTCTAAATAACAAGTTTAATTCGTATAATCGTAAACTTTACAATTAATTTTTATTTCAAACAATGTTATTATCCTTTATGACATTTTATTGAAGCCAAGATGTTTTCCTTTAATACATATCATTTTTTAATTCTGATGTAGATTACTAACGCTATACAACGTAGAACTTCGCTACGTTAATCCACCTGGCCTTGATATGCCGAATCATATCGTTAATTATGTGGCTGAACGTGGTATCCCTCAAGAAAGATTTTCAACTCTGGAAGAGGCTCTACCCGACACCGATGTACTTTATATAACGCGGATACAAAGTGAGCGTTTCGCTACGCAAGAACAGTATCACAAGGTAGGTCGTTACTCGAACATTGAAATTTTCGTAAGAAAGCAAGTACATTCTATACGCGCTCGTGCACTTCTTTCATTACGAAATTCTGTAGGAATTAGGTTTTTAATAATTAATATTTTTATTTATAAAATTATTACATTAATCTATCCAAAATTATATAAAATCATTAAAATTATTACTGATTGATGTTTGAAATTAAATATCATTTTACTTCAAATGACGCTTTTACTTATTCAATATTTGCTTTAATTTAATTTTGACATATTAATTTAAGTTTTAAAAAAATCATTACATGTACAACAGATGTGCGGATTCTTCATAATAACTCCGCAGTTGATGTCTCGTGCGAAGAGAAAGATGGCAGTGATGCACCCTTTACCACGTGTTTTCGAAATAAGCAAAGAATTTGATACTGACCCACGAGCGGCTTACTTTCGGCAGGCGGAAAACGGAGTTTACGTGCGCATGGCATTGCTGGCCATGGTCCTTGGACGCATCTGATCTTGACAACCTGTCATTTGTGAATCAAAGTGTCTGCTGAAGGAGATCAACGATTGCGCTAAGGGAAACACACAACATTTCTTCTGTGATGCAACTTGAGAGAGTCAAGCTGAATATCATTTAGGCATTCCAATCGTACGACTGTGATAATCTTCGCTTACCAACTTCGATTTATCACTGTGCGTATGAGTAAGGCTCCATTTGGCGTTCATAACGCTCGCAAACATTATTTGTTTGTCAGACAAGCTGAGTAGATAATTAGATTCGTAAAAGAGTACAAACTAAAGCACGAGACACATTTATATATTGTATATTTTTACAAATTTTTAAAAATTTTCCGACAAAAGTTTCCTCTTGAAGCGATTTCTATTTCTAAATACTTTTTATTAAAGTAATTTAGTTAGGCATTTTTTATATGTGCATGTTAATTTTTTACGAAGTGTTGAAGAAAAATAGTATACATTGCCACAAAACTTTTTAAAAACTATTTTTAAAGTAATTCGTTAACTTTATAATACGTAAAAGTATTAACTTTTATAATATTCAAATTTTTAATAGAGAGACCTACAAGTAAAACTATTAAATTCTAAATTCAATTTCCTATAAGTAATTAAGACGTTATCGTGTTCTAATTTTAATAATAATGAAATAATAATAATAAAAGAATATATACAAAGTTGGGAAAATTTTGTGGTACAAAATCTTGAAATTTGACACAGACATGGTAAATGAAGTAAAATATAAAACAAATTTAACGAAAATGAAATTGCTAAATGAGTAGATTCTGGTCAAAAATCAGAAAATTGGTCTGGTGGATCAATAGCAGCAGTGTCTATATTTGCCACGTATATAATCTTACTTGGCAATAGAATAACGTTGTTTGTGAACAGCCTACTAAATAACCATTGGCAACTGACAGGCTGAATGTGTGTATGAGTTACATATTACAGTTATTAATATTCGATTGCCACTATCGATTTATCACTGCATATACGAATAATCGGATTCTCATGAAACACCAGCACTTAGGCATTTTGACATCGAGCATGATTGGTGAAAAATGGGCAATGGAGATAAATTTTATCTCTATAATCCGTTTTTCATCAATCAGTGCTCGGTCGAAACTCTGATGTCTGCATGAAGATGTCTGCATCAGACTAAGAATGCATTCTATTTGATGCTCACAACGCTCATGAAAGTATTTTCTTGTTGTTTATCAAATGTTAAACAAAAACAAATAAGGCTTGCGAGCGTTGTAAACATCAATTGGCGATAATTTTACACCACAAAATTTTCCCAATTTTGTATATTTCTTTGAACTTTTTATATTAATAATAATAATTAGCAAAAAATGTGTATTTTAACAGTATAAAATGCATATAAGAGTTTCATATAAGATACATACAAAATTCATTATACAACATAAAAATTTATTTTGTATAACAATTTTTCAATTTTTTATATTTTTAAAGATTGGAGATTTATATCAGAAAATATGCTAATATGTATTTTTATTTGATCTTTTCAGTATTATATATGACACATTTCAGTACTACATACATACCAATGTCTTTCAATTTTTTTTAATTTGCGGAACATTTAAATATAACGAATCACATTTAGACGATGATGGCACATACACTCACAAAAGTACGTTTTCAAGAGTAAATTTCATAACAATGCCAAATTTTATAGATTTGTCACTTGGCTACATTCACCGAAAAAAAAAACGGACAACTAAATTTTAGCATAAATTTTTAATATTTTCGAATAGCGATAATAAAATATCATTGCATGGAGATGAACCAAAACTTAAAGCTTGAACATTCCCCTTGATAACTAAAAAAATCAAAATTAAGTTACAGAAACTATTTTACAAAATGACGGATATGAAGATATACTTTGAATACAAATAAAATATAAGACAAAATTTTTTTCTTTAAACTGTTGCGCTGCTCACAAGAATTGACTGCATGGCACAAAAACGTATGAATTTTTTAACTCATTGATTTCCTAACAAATCCGTATTTTCAACATTTTTCTACGATTTTATACATATAATTAAAGATACGAAATTCATATATAAAAGATAAGAAATATAAATTACATAATTAATTTAAATGCTTACAAATGCCTACAAATAAATCTGATAACACTTCTCAAGATTATATGTTTCGGCTACAATATTCAAGAATAATAAAAAATTCTTGTGTATTTAATAATGTGAAACATAGAGTGCGCTCGAAGAGATGCTATTGGTGTTATTTGTGACATTCTATCCTTGTTTTTGTCTAATAAACGATGAAGATAGAATGACATAAATAGCGCTAATAGCGCCTTCCTAAACTCTATGTTCCACACTAAGAATTTTTTATTATTTTATATATACATTAAATATGAAAGCGGTATACAATATGTGTATGGTATACAATGCATAATTTGCACACTCGCTTGTGTGTATACTTTAAGTTGGTTATATTTTTAAAAAATTGTTATTAGGCTGAATCTAAATTAGAATTAATGATAACAGTGTTAGTGATAGTTAATAGAAAATGACAAAACGGATTTATATACAAACAACTTTTAATTACATTCCTAATTTATGTACATGATGTGCAAAATATATGATACTCATTTATAGATAAACATAACTTTCGCAGTTAGTTCAATCATAACAATTTAAATAGCACCTTTGGCGTGAAAACCGCTTAACGCTGGTAATGTATAACTTTATTTGAAAATATTTTTTTAAGTAACTGATATATCCTACAATGTTAGCAATGTAAGTAGAATACAAATACTTTGAGATCACAGTTAAGTTTAGCATAAAATGTTTTACGCGTACATATTTTCGTACCTGATCCCCATAAAAGATTCTAGTTAAAAATTTTTCACAACCTGTCAACACTGTTTGTTACATTATACAGCTAGAAAACAATAAAGATATCGTACTTCGCGATATTTAATTATAATATTATCAGTATTATAATTCGTTATTCTTATTTAATATTCATCTCAACTATAAAATATTTATGCAGCTATATATCAATAACAATTTAAAAAAATAGTATATGTGAGCAAATTTTGATATTAAATTAAATGTATGAGAAACTACATTTATTTCTACACACAAATAATACTATTAACTTATTTAAAAAAATATATATTTTATGATTGTATAAAATAGTAATTTGATATCAAATTTTTTCATGTACAATTTTACTTTTTTATATTAACTTTTATTAAAAATATATGATTCTACATTATAAGAAATTAAATGCTAATTGTTTTTAGCAATGTCGGAAGTTCAGATTTGGTATAATCGCAAATGCGGCTATTTAATACAATTTAATTACATAAATAATACATAGTTTGTAAATCACAGTAAGAAACATATATGTCATGAATTCTCAGTAAGTAATGTATATTTTACGTATTCTGCAACAATTTAAGATATTCGTATCAGTAATATCTAAATTTTTATATTTATTTGGATATTTTAATTTTTATTTAGTATACATTTACGGTTTTATTTTATTGTAAACATGAATGGAATTTATCGAGAGTGAGAAAAGGGCACATATGAACAATATTACGTATTGAGGATTCGCATATATTCTGGAGCGTGTTCTCCAATACATTCTGTATTTGAGGAACTGCACATTCTGACCAAAATGGAAGCGTAAAGAATGCTGCTTACTGACGTCATCTTATTTTATTAAAAGCTGTATTTTTTTCAATAAATAATTTTCGTGACTATTTTATTTATATGTTATCTGAACTAGTTGTCTAATTACACTATTTATTACGGAAGATGAGTGTATTACTCATAACTTTAACCCTTTGATACTCTCGATATAGCATACTTGATTGTCTCTTCCGTTATATATATGCTATAATTTTTTTATTAATAAGGATACTTTACTTGTCGTTATATTCTTTAACATTTGTTGGCGTTTTGATTGGAGAAAAACTCGTTACAATCATTCATTTTTATGCAATATTTTTAGTGCTATTTTCTTGACAAAACGTATAGTGTGATATTGAAGAGTTATTAATTATAAGTCGTCGTGTCCATTACGAGTTTATTAACTCTGTTTAGAAAATACGTATTATGAAATCACATATCTTTCATAAATAATAATAAGCATATCTCTTTGAAAATGATAACTAAGAAGAAAACAAAGTGGATTTTTTTCAAAGATTGTAATCTCCTTTAGTATAATAAATTTATATAAAAAATAAGTTATACCTATACTTAGTGTAGGGTTCTTTTATATAGCAAAAATTCTATTATTGCAAGACCTATTTAATAAAACGCTCGAACACGGCATAATTTATTTTTGATGTAGATTTACCATGCTAAAGGAGACCAAAATCTGTGAAGAGTTTTTACTATATTCTCTCTCCTTGTAAAGGAGAGTTCCAACACACTTCCACAGTTTTTAATATTAAATATCTATTATAATTCTTACAAATTTTTAATAATTTTTCCGAATATCAAACTACATCATCCCTCTCCTTGGATCCAGTAACACCATTGGGATACATATTTGAAGCTAAAGCTTTCACGTCATCTTTCCGGCCTCTTCGTGCAAACGGCAGCATTTTCAGTCTCAGTTTTTTTCTATTCATAAAATCTTTCTCCCTGCAATAACGTCCGTCGCGTAACGATAATTAATAATTAACTTCACACTCACATACACACACACACACACACACACACACATTCTCGTTCTACAAAATGTTCTTTTCTAACATGAATATATTATCGTTAAGTTTACACCATCTAAATAAGAGAATTTTCTGTTGCACATACTAATGAACAATATCTTTACTGTTATTTGTCAAAATTGTTTAATCAATAAAATGCAAATTTTTTAAAAAAGGATCATTGTTAACGTACTGATGTCTGCAATCTATGAAGATACCCATCGAGAACAGCACCACCATGGCAGCGATGATGCCGAACACAACAACTATCAACGTCACAAACGCGTCCTCTTCCTCGACAGTAAAGGATGTCTTTGACGTAGGCATGTACGCTGAAAGAATCATTTAAGAAACGTTTGGCAATGCTTGCAGGGCTGGGCATGTATTTAAAATACTTTCATTTAAAACACATTATTTGCAATGTTGCAAAAGTGTATTTTGTACTTCAGCGAAGCACATGAAAGTATTGTATACTTTTTATTTAAAATCGAAAGATTGAAGGTTTTTTATATTTTGCAATTCAAATAAGATTAATTGTCAATCTCAGTATTTAAAATACAAAATATAAAATACTTACAATTTTGTATTAATAATCTGAAATACAAAATACAAAATATATTTATGTGCTCCGATAAAACATTAAATATAAAATACAATTACAAGTAATATTTTTCAAATAAAAGTATTTCAAGTATATGCACAGTTCTACATGCTTTGCATTATTCGAGAAGAAGTAGTTTGTTTCACACGAATTTTTGTTTTATTCTGTGTGAATAAATTCTTTGTGGTTGACATAATGTAGATATTTCCTATTTTATTTTAAATTCTTAATAAAAGATAACACTAGAAAGAACGTCAAAAATGAGCAGCTCATATTTATATTGACGAAAGTTATGCGCGATGGCAAAGGCTGTTCTGTAGATATTTTTTAACTATCACATTTTATCATATTCATTAGAAAAGAACTGAATATATCTAGAGACAAGAAAACGTGCCAGTGATGGAACGTCAAGGAATACAGTGACGTGATATCTGATAAGAGCACCGGGTCTCTTATGCGAACATGCAATGGACATAAAAACCGTGTTCTACGATTGTGTGGCATTGATATTTTAAACATAACTAATGACAATTCTATCATAGAAATTTTTAGAATCAGTCAACTTCAATGTACTAAATAATTATACATATTTTTTTATTTCATATAATTAATAATTAATATTAAATTTATATTTAACCTATATTAATAGATATACTTTATATTCATATATAATTACATAATTTATTTACAATATATAATTTAATTTATTATATACAATATATATTTAATTTATTTAATTATTTAAAATTTTAATATTAACAATAAAAATATTATTTTTTACTATAAAATAAACATTTATATCAAAAATAAACAATAAAATATTTTGGTAAGCTGATATTTGCTGTTGAAGATACAGTTTTTCTTAGTTCTATTATATGTAAAAATAATATTCTTCTCAAGAATTTGTATATGAATTAGTTTTACTTAGATCGAGCATGCTTGTCTACAATTTTCAATCTTTTTGTTCACTATCGCGTAACAGTTTTTCATGAGTTATTAATAGAATTATTCTGCTTCCTAGAGAAAGGTACTCTTAATATGCTGGTATGCCACATTAATCAGAGACGAGCAACCTTAGACGAGAGGCGTTTCCGCTATGCTTGTGTTTGTTCGTTGAAATCATGTTGCTCTAATTCTGATAAATTTTGAAATCATGTTGCTCTAATTCTGATAAATTTTGCATGTTGCTTTAATTTTTAATTATTATTTATTATTATTGTACTGAAAAAATTGTCTGGTTGAAAATCGACGAAAATTCTGATTGTATCAATCAGAATTTCAATTATCTCAATTAAAATTCTTGTAAAGTTCTTTAACTAGAAAATTCTGATTCGTCCATTTTCAATCAAAATTCCAATTAATCAAACATTTTTGCAGTGTACAAATAAATTATACATTTAAAATACTATTAAAGTAAAATGATGATACTACAAATCTCGAATTTGATACAGTATACAGAAAAATATAGTCAAAGCTGTAATTAGAAAAAATTAAGATTAAAATTAACGATTTATTTCTATTATTCCTCTATTATTCCGTTAAGTTTTACGTATATTACAAAAGATTTGTGTCCGATTCAAAAGTATGAGAAACATAAAATTTTGAACACTTATACTTTCTTATTATACAATATGAGATCAGATGAATTTGTTATTGTCACCTTTGTGTGTTGCTCAATTAATATTTAGTTAGTTTGCTGATTGTTCAATAATAAATGTGTACGTTTGTAAGAATTTTATGCACACATAGTATTGTACAACACGCTCAAACCAGATTTGTTCACGTGATAAATGATTCTGATATTTTTGTGATTTGTAACAAAAAAGAGCGAATATAAAAAAAGGATTTTCTTTATCGAACTGTACCGTGAACAATACACATTATGTCTGTCAGAACCATAGTTAATTTCCGTAACTCTCGCTTTCTTATACTTAGTTACTTATTTATCTTTAAAGCTGAATGTATTGTACGTTATAAAAAAACAAATTATTAGTGAAAGGCAAGATTCTACACAGAAGGCTGAGTCTATTTTAAAGCATTTAAAGATGTAAAAGCATGTACATTAATTTTTTTTTAAATATGCTAAACGCGCATAAAAACTAAGAAAAATGCACTTGAATAAAAATTATATTTAAAAAAATTATAGTATTTAAAAAATTTAATAAATTAAATTAATAAATTAAATTATAATTATGATATTAAAAAAATTTGCATGATTGCATTTTATCGTGACATTATATTTTGCTTGATATCGTTTATGATGACGAAACATTTGACCTAAATATATTTTGCTTTTACAGCAATAGTTCGATTGTATATAGTACTTAAAAAAGCTACGTACATTTCAGAAGCTAAAAATACGTCAATGTAAGTAAATTTTTCTCAAAAAATGTTAGAAAGTTATAAATAATTTTTTCGAGACAAAAGTATATAAATTAATTACATATTAACGCGAAGGATTTATAACTATTAAACAATAAAGAAATAATAGCAATTTTCAAAATTGTTGAGCAGGTGTCGCAAAGTTGAGTTATATCTCTCCGTATAACGTACGGCGACATTTCTCTAAAGCAGTTCTCGTTCAGCTGCGTCTTCACGAAATTTATCTCAACAAGTCACCGGTTTTTATTCGAGTCACTTTCGCGGCCATTACTTGTCAGCTTTCTCAGTTCAGATCGCAACATCGGCATGAGACTTACGTGATGCAATTCCACAATGTACAACTCAACAGCGGGCTCGCTTATCGGAATGCTCACATGCGTTTACGATCCAACTCATTGACAATCTGATTCATTATAAGCATGACAAGTTACTATAGTCTCTCAAGGTCTCGGTAAGGATTAATTAGAGATCTTGCGAATGCTAAATGCTACCTTACTTTGTCTAGTATGGGTTACTTTCAAGTTCTTACATTAGTTTTTCTTTGCTTCAGACTTCACATTTTGCATCGTTAGCTTTCATTGTCATATCACGATCCTATATCTTTGATCATTCTTGACAAATACACGATGAATCAACATCTAATTCATATTTTCTTCATATTTTTGAATTTGATAATGTTAAATGAATTGAATTTACAAAACAATGAAAACAAAGAATCTATTTACGTTAGTTATTAGAAATATTTACTTTCACTGATTCATACATTTTCACTCGCTTTGCATATTAATCTTCTTAAGATTTTGTAATAATATTATCGCGTATCATCGCATATCGGATAGAATATTAGAAATTATTGTAACAATTAAATTTGAAAAGATCGATTAAATAATGAGGAATAAAGAATCGATATTGAGATTGATTGAAAAATTGATAAGACACAAACAATTTTATAATTATGCGGCCATGATTGACATTTGATAAATAACATCTACATGAGCATGTATATTATGCACTTCGTTGTTAGTTCGCAATAATTAAGCTGTTAACGAGAATGCCAATATTTTCAAAGCAAAACAGGCATTCGTTCTCTTTATTGTTTTTATAACGGTACAATAACTGAGCACACACTTAGGCCCGGTTGCACCAACGTTACTTTAATTTTAAGCGAGGCTTAAAACTCTCTTTGTTCCTATCTCTTTTCGGTTTTAAAACGAGATAGAGAAAGTTTTAAGTCTCGCTTAAAGTCAAAGTAACGTTGGTGCAACCGGGCCTAAGTGTGTGCTCAGTTATTGTACCGTTTATCGTAGATATATCCGCGCATACAATTGAAATATTCAACATTATTATAAATAACTGTTTATTATATGTATTGAAGAAATCCTTACGCCTTTATCTCGGCTATCGTTTCTTAAACTTTTCGATGTGATAGAAAGCTTTCTCTAAGTCGCTTAAAATTTAGATTTGTCCTTAATAATTGTTTTCTTCGACATTTCAAATATTATTATTTAATATTATTATCCTCATTTTTTGCAATAATAATGATTGCTATGCATACATAAATCCGTAGAATTTAGGGGTTAGTTTGATACTGTAAGTATTAAACTAACTTTTTATTTAATTAATTATCTATTTATTAAACATTTATTTAATTTGGCAACTAAACACATATACATTTTGTAATGATTGGCAGTATTTATATAAATTTAGACTTTTATTTACACTCATTTAATACATGATATCAGAAAACTCCTGAGCTTGAACTCTTATAACTTATAATTAGAATCATCGTTAAACAGTAATACGGCATACTCTTTAATTATTTGTTACTACCTTCTGTCGGTGCAGTGTTGATGCTGTCATTCACATTTCTAACGTGTGCTTCCATCCTTTGCCACTTTTCCTTTACCAATAAAAGAAAACAGTCTAATTTCTTCTACTTCTTGTCTTACGTTATCTAAGTTAAGTAGTAAGAAAGATCAACAGGAATCGAGTAAATACAGTTTCGAGTTCTACCGATTCCCTAACGTGTTACCCGGATCAAGATTTTAAGGTAAACTGAGCTATACACGTCTGCGGTCGAGTGATATGCTCGGCGAGGCGCCAATGAGAGCGACGGAAGGGAAGGCCGAACGATGGCCGGAGCAAGGAAAAGAGGAACACAGCGACTGTAAAGAAGGGGGAGGACATTTGAGGAAGTGAAATGAACGTGTGCGTGTACAAGATTTGAAAGGGGCAGAGAGAGAAAGAGAAAGAGAAAGAGAGAGAGAGGGGGGGAGGGAAGAGAGAGAAGTCAATAGAGATACGTCGCGAGGACCACGAGATCCGTGTCATTCTCATTCACCATCTCGGGTCCAGGTGTACCCTGGTACGAGTTGAAACTCTTCGTATACACACACAGTCTGTAATAAAAAGGAACGTGAGATACAACTAATAAAGATATAAACGGTTTTCGTCTACAAAAAACAAATCCACTAGTTGAAGTCGTCTTCTAAATTTATTAATATTTTGGTAAAATAATATTAAACTCTTCAAGTTTTATCTTCTTGCAATTGTAAATTATAAAAATAAATTATACTTGGTTATGTGTATTTGCAAGTGTAAATTACAAACATTTTTTGATGGATTAATAATGCGTCTACATGTATGCGACAATTTTTATAAAAAGTCTCATTTATATTTTTATATTTTTATTAAACGCTACTCACATATAATTAAGATATTATTTATTGTCTGATGTATTTTAACTGTTATTAATTTCAGATTTGATTCTTTCAAAAATGCAGTTAATATTTGGAAATAATACATCAAAGTGATCAATTAAATATCCTCATCATATTTCTTATCAATGTTTATTTCATATCACGTATACATTAACGTAATAAAACTGAATAAGTCTCAAGATGAATCATCGATTATTTATTAAATGCTATCCATTTTTATATCATGCACATAAATGCAATAGCACTATGACGTACCGAATGTCAACGGAATATTGATTTAGTAAGTATACGTAAGATACGCCTCAAATTGATAAACAATACTGCAAATAAATGCTACGATTTCTTAATTCATAATCCATAAAATTGATTTGATTTTGGCGCTTATCATATTTAATTAACTAAAATGTCTTTATTTAAAAAAAATTATGGAAGTGGCAGAGTAATATGCGCAATTTCAAATTATTAATCTATTATAACTAAATGTACCTATATGTATATAACTTATTGACATTATTAACATTATATTGGCTTTATTGATATTACTAATGGTAGTGTAATAATGCTATTTTTAATTAAGTCAAATAATACTATTAATTAATAACTATTATTATAGTTCATAATTAATATTTTATAATATTAATATATTATTAATACATAAAATCGATGACCCCAATCTAACATTCAATTCTTTTTCGAAGAGATTCGTGCTCCAGAGTTAACGTTACTATTACTAATAGTGTACACAATTACATAATTGCCACGTCTTATTGCAAAATTATATACAGTTAATATTCCTGTAATTATCATAATTCATCTTCCAGTTTTGTAATGCACATAAGATAAATAAGCATCTGCTCCATGTAATAATCCCACGACGCCACTTAGGATCTGCAATATAAATCAATCACTTTTAACGTCTTTTCAAATAAAATACTCCCAATTAAAAATATCTATCAAAATCATATATTAATCGTTTTCTACTAATAAACTTTCGTTTTTTTGCTGTTCAACATACGGATGTCATGTCGGATTATTATAAATTATAAATTATTATAATTTATAATAATAATTTATAATTTATAGTATATTCTTTTTCTCAATTCTTATCTCTGGCTAGGTGAACAAATAATGACGCAAATTAGTGAAAGCGTTAAGTTTTCCATTTGCAATTGCACTAATAAACTTACATAAGCGGCTGTCATGGCAGGATAAACGTCGAAGCCGGGACTCATATAATACGGGATCATCAGAAATAATTTAGTGGCAAAAGCCAAGTAAAGTGCCGAGCTTAAATACAGGAAGCAGGCTAAACAATTGAACATCGTTTCCTGATATTGATAAAAGAAAAAAAAATGTAACACATAATTTTTAAATTATAGAATTAATAGCAATAAAAATATTGTTTAAATTATATAATAAAAAGTATAAATATTGACATATTAACAAGTAATTATTTCAAACAATTTAGATAATGGTATTATTTCTTTCTTAATGGGGTGATATATCTCTTCGTATTTAATATTTCATTATTATTTGGGATATAGATAAATACATACAAAAAGTGAAGCTCGAATTAATTTGTAAGATTTTTCAGAAATTGCATAGCAAGTGAGTAACAGAGCGGAAATCAGGAAGCAAGCGGATGCCGTGGTCAACGATCCTTCGAAAGCTGATCCAATAGATGAACTGTAGCCCAAGCCATAATTTATAAGTAAACTCTGAATTAATCCGCTGATTACCTGGAATTATATTAATTACATAAGCTTGATAAAATTATAATTATATATTTAAAAGTTATATATAAGGAACATTCAATGGAGATCGATAGAATCATGTGATATTTCAAAAAATTTAATACAAACAGTAAATAAAAAACTATTGGAGTATCTAATGACATTAGATCTAAACCAAGTCTACTTTTACAGTTGGTCTCTAATATATACTTAAAGTGAAATAGGTAAATGTTTAATATGTAAAAGTGAGAGGGAAAGTGCAGACCAATGTAGCAATAAAAAAACTTATGGTTTTCCTTAGAAAGCGTGAAGTTGACATATTAAGTCTATTCGCGTTGCTTTAAATCCCTAAAAATTTTTAAACTTAAAACAAAACAAATAATAGATAGATGAGAGGGATAAAGCAAAAAAAAAAGAAAAATTAAATTAGTAATAAAAAAAATATAAGGATGTTGTATTCTATGTTATATGCCATTTACAATTTTAACGAATTTTGCGTATACCAAATAATGTACATGTAACTGCAACATACCGTTTCACAAACTTTTATGATTCCTGGTAATGATTTAAAAAACTCCACATGTATGCACGTGCAACATCTAAAGCAGCAGCAACCGACACCGCCCGTGCCGTGCGTACCAGAGGATGACATCCTGATTATAGGTCCCATATTGTTCGTGTTAGTTCTCTATAATTCTGTTGTAGACGATTAATTTAATGCTCTTGTACTAAATTGTGACGTTCATTAAATTGTCTCGTTTGTGGTCTGAAGCTTTTTATTATCTCTTCACTTAGTATTTAATTATCCTCCTTTTTTTTCTCTTTTTTTTCGTCCAGGATAATTAAATGGATAATTAAATTTAATGATCGGACACAATGGTCCACTTAAACACAAAAATATTTTTTTCCAATAATTCTTTTAGTGTAGCAATTAAAATATCTTTAATATAAATAAAAGAATGTAAAGATAACATTGTACATACCGAAAGATTTAAATTTTTTTACAATTTAATTTACAACTTAATTGTTTTTAATATTTAACTTTTGTTCTCTGATAGTGATTTTTAGAAGAACACACAGCATGACCACGACAAACGATACTTTTAAACTGACTGAGGGTGTAGGTCTGTGCATCCACAAAGTCTAAATGTCGTTGCACCCCCCACATAGCATTCAACACAAGGGAAATTACTGTCTATTTCTGGCATGTGTTACTCATGCCGGAATTCTAAATGCTTTACCCGCTCTGCGTAGCAGACAGAAACGCAAAAAAAATTGAATGAAAGGTAACAACATAAAAGTATAATGTATTTAAATGTTTATAAAATGTAATTTACATTATAAAAAAAAATTAATGTTCACATTATTTTTAATTTCACATATAATTACATGTTTATTAAAAAAATATATGACATATTAATTAATATGTTTTCAAAAAATTAATTAAAGTTAATAAATGCCAAGTGGATACTTATCAAAAGTAGTTCAACTGTCAAGATTTATTTATGCTTTTGCACATTGATTCAAATAAGGTTTCTTAGATACATGTTTAGCCTCTGTCTCAATTTCTTGGAGTAAAATCTCACTATAAAGAGTAAAAATTGAGTTAGTTTTAAAAAAGAGTAGCTTAACTTTCAACTTACGAGAGAGAATGACATTTCTCTTCAAAGATTTACTTTAAAAGTTTTAAAGAGTTGTAAAGTAATACAACTTGTGTTTAGAATAGTACTAATTAAAATAAAAATATCAAGTATCAAACTTAATTCAACAATCAAAATTTATTGTATAGCAATAACATATATTTTTGCATATCGGTTCAAATAAATAAAGTTTCTAACTAAGATAGACAAGTTTAAGTTGTAAAATACTACAACCAGTATAATAATACTATTCATTTTCACTCTTCATCATAATCGCGATTATTTAATTCAACTTTCCAGAATTGACGGTGGATTTATTGGTTCCCTTCAATTATAAGTAATTTAAATTAGTGTTATAAACATAAACTTAGCACTTATTCTTCTGTTGTAATTATAATATTTTGAATTAAAAAAATTAATTAATACTTTTTAGTCAATATAAATTAAGCGGGTCTCATACACCAGACATCAGTATAAACCATGTTACAATTTTGACATCAGGAGGACTAATTACTCCGTCCATATTATGATATAGGCGATGATCGCGTTGAAAATATATAAAATGGTGTTTAGTAGACCACAAATCTAAATAAAAGATAAAAATTACAATTTTTTATATAATAATGTATATGCATTAATATTTTATTTGTGCATGTGAATGTGTATGCGTGTGTGCGCGCGCGCGTGCCTATGTGTATACACATATATGTAACACAATTTCAATTTATAGCATTACAATCAATTTTTTTACAAATATAATATTATACTCACAGAAGCTGCTAATAACGCCTTATAATTATACACTGTATCACCCGTATGTATTTCTGTTATCAGACTTATTGAAGCCGCAAATAACATTACGGTTGCGAAAAAATTATAAAGGGATTCCTGAAAGTTTAAAGAGGAATATTTATCGAAATTTTTTAAATAAATTTAACAAAATACTCTTTTTTAATAATTTATTTTAAACAGAGAAATATTTGAAAGGCATAAAACCACAACGCAAGATGTTAGACACTATTATTTTATATTTCAATCGATCTTTCAATTGATTACACTTGAATAATTTATTTTAAATATGTAAACACGTTTTAAAACAACTTTTTTTCTTTTATAAACAAAATAAAACTAATGAATAAAATAAATACATAAAACAAGTCAATTTTATTTATGTATTATTTTAAATAACTTACGTGTATTGTTTTAGGTAAAATAGATGCAGTAAATGGAGATACCAGGTAACTAAGAAAAAAAATAAATGTACCAATAAAAAAATTAGATGTTGCAATAAGAAAGAAATATTCCTTTTGACATAAAGAAAAAATGGTAGGATTAATGTTATCACTGATGATTCCTATACAAATAGCACCAAGCACCTGTTTGTAAAAAATTAAAAATGCCAATTATAAAGAAATATAATCTCTTCAGATAAAAATTACAAATAACAAATACATTATTCAATATTATTCAACAAAAATGTTTACTCGAAAACGAAATATAATTATTAGTATCTCAACTGAAAAGCGTATTATAACTGAGAATAGCGAAAATAATAATTTCAATATAACATAGTCTTATTCTATTATCTCAAATATTATTTTAAAATTCCAAATATTTCTGGATAAATTATATATGCTTTAAAATTAACAATGATAAAAATTTCTCTTTCACTAAATATACTAAATATTTAATATAATTAAATACGGCAAAAATTATTAAATATTAAAATTTTTTTTTATATTGTATTTCTATCGAAAAATTGCCAAACATTGACAATTAATTAACTATTCATATTTAGTAAAGATAATATTATACCCAAACAACACAAAGTATTTAAAACGAGAAATGAGACGTTTTTGACGTCTAAAAGACATCTTCAAAACTTATTATGTCTCAATTTTGGACTTTGTGCTGTCTGGATGGGTAATTATCTGTATTATAGATAATATTATAGATAAAATTGATAAAAAAGTTATAACAATAAATCAACAAAAATAATAATAACAATTTGTACCAATTGTTGCAATTTAAAAATACCGTTCCAACTTTTTAAATACTCAGTATTAACGATAATATTTAACATTGTCGTGCCTCGTTTTATTGTTTGTCCTAAAATCAATAATAATTATTCTTTACTTTTAATACGCAAAATTATCTATCCATCTCGCACAATTAAGCTTTGATGAAATAAAACAATTACTTACGTATCGATCTAATAAATAGTTAATTAAAACATGTGCTCATGACTATCCTTATTTATATTTATATCATACCATGTGGATGTATGTATATATATATATATACATGTATAAAACAAACGGTGCACATAACTATATTAACCTGAAAAAAGCACGTTTTACAAAAAGCACGGTTAACGATTAACTAAAGCGATCGCGATAAACGGTAGCTCGGGAGATGTCATTGATATCATATACAGATAAGATTAGTATATCTTTTGATATACCCAAAAAATTATTCTGATAAGCAGAGAATTTCCCTCAGCATATCCTCTGAGCAAAAAATCTTACATGAATCAGACGCGTGTATTTATAACACGTATTCATCTATAAACATGAAGATACATGAGCTATGAAAAATAAATTACTCTATAGAAAATTCTATTATAATAACTTGAACACTCTTTTGAAACAAGAGGATACACAAGATACTAGCGGCACGCTTAATTGTTAAAAAAAAGTTCAATTTACGTGCTACCGAATGTACACGTATGTCAGTATGATTCTTCTAGCATCGAAAGGATTGCCATCTTAAATTCAGCACCTTATTATAGTTATACAAAATTCCTCTATTTTGTACAGTATCTTCTTGAGGTCGTATATATATACATTATATATACCAGGTATCCGGCGAGACTATAGCAATAACTCACAGGAAGATAGGTGGAACTAAACTGAGTCGAAAAGTCTACTATTTTGCAATTTCTGCAATAATTAACAAGATATTAATTATTAAAAATCGCCAAATATAAAATTTTCCATAATTTTTCACTCAAGTATTATCAACAATATCAACTTTACAGAAAAACAGCATGAGACAAAAATTGTTTATTTTCGTCTCATAGAGCTCTAAGAATTTTTTCAGAATTTTTTATTAACTTTACAGTACTGCATTTTCTAATCGGAAAATCGTGAAACTTGCAAAATGGTAGAAGACTTTTCAATTTAATTTTTCACGAAGTTTCACGTTGTAATAATATTGTCTTCGAATTTCGGGACACCCTGTCTATCTCATATATTAAGAAAAAAAATAGCACATTGCTTACTTTAGCACAATTTTATTTTTACTGCATATCAACTGAATTGGCACTAATGGATACATATTTTAAAAGATGCGTTTCATTTAATGTTCGCACAATCGCATCATATTTCATCCTTGTTGTTTATCTAATATTTGCGAATGTTAAATGAAACACACCCACTATAGTGTAAAAAATAGCATTATGAAACTATGCATTTTATTGTAATTTTTATAAAATATAATTTACAAAATAAAGAATTATAAATGTGTATTTGCATTTATTTAAAGTGTTAAACATAGTGTATCTATTACAAAAATATTTGACTAGTTAATAGTACAATTTGACTTCAAAAAATTAAATAAAATAATTATGTGTATTGCGAGTACTAAAACTTAAATTTACTTCAGATAATATATAATGTAAAATTTTGAATGTAATTCTATTTATATTTTTATACACTGTATGTTACAAAAAATGTTTGAAGAATTAGAATACACACAGATACATAAAATATACTCATACAAGAAAGCACAGACCGTATAAAATTATAACTACAATTTTAAAATCTGACAAGAATTAAAAATAAATAGATCATCTAAAGTAAGCTTTAATAACATTATGAATGCAAAACAGGTCGAAGAAATATAACTTATAAGTGATATAAGAAGTCATCAGCTTAAAAAATTATGCTGATTGAACAAAAATTGAAAAAAAGGAGATTATTAAAAAAATTTTTTTTTTATAAAAGTAATCTGTGATCTATCCACTGAATAATCTGACGCAGTTTCAAAATTCTTCATACGTTTCATATTGTTTTAATTAAATAAAGTTTCTAAAATGTATCTGACCTGTGTAAAAACAATTCGTATAAGAATAATCTATTTTTATTGTTTAAAGAATTACAAACTTATTGTAACCTTTTAATCATCTCCATAAGTTCTAAAGCCCATGACCGTACTGCAGATGTATAAAATGCTATTTAGCAGAGCGAGAATCTAAATAAAAATGAATACATTTTGTACAATTTAATAAAAGTCACAAAATAATTATTTGATACATGTTTAGATTTAGCAAATCTTTTCGTCACTTTTTATGATTTTGGTAAAGATTCTCATTAAAAGAAGTTAATCTCAAATTCTTACAGAAATCTAATACTGACCAATACTGACAAATAGTAATTATTAATTATTAATAATTACTCTTATTTTACCAGACAACATATTTATGATAAATATTTATACATATTTATTATTACTTTTTTTTAAATATTATATAAATGTTTTATACATATTTTTATACAATGTTTTATTAAAAAATTAACTATTAAAATATAAACTAAATATTTTATATAATATTTATGACAAATATAAATGAATGTTTCTAGTAACTATTTCTTACTTGAATTACAATGTCTCATTAAATATTTTCATAGCATTTACTACAATTTATACGATAAATATTTCATAATACTTATAATAAATATTTATTATCTGTACAATCTAACACCACAAATATATTTACAAAATATTCAAAATATCTTACAATTATTTTGTAAATATTATATATATTATCTGAGTAAATATTAAAAACATTGTTGTTCAATACTGTTAATACTCCAAATAAATAATTAATTACTGTTTTTAGTAATAAATTGGCTAGTATTAAATTAGCCAGTATTAGATTTTTGTAAGGGAATTGACAAAAATATATATACGAAATATTCCAAAATTCGCGACTCAGAATACCATAGCAAAAAGTTTTCGAAAACTGAAAAATAAAGTTGTTTATAAATTTTTATTTTAAATTTTTGTTTTACTTTTGGAGATAATAATAATGTACGTCTCTACAATATGCGGAGTAAGCTTGGTGTAAAAAGTAAGAGTAAAAAATTGACTAATTACAGTTGATTATTTTTTTCGTATTTGATTGTGATTAAAAATAAGGATTTAAATATGGCCAGCTACAAACTAAGTTTTAGATAACCATCTGTCTATGAGTCACGCTTGTGGTAATATTAGTGAGCACTGATAATATATATATATATAATGTAAAAATTTTATCATTTCTTTCTTGATAGACTATTTTAAACTTTGGAAAACATATTTATGTATAAACATTTATAACTTCTTTCTCGCTACAATATTTAGAATCGTGAATTTTGGGATATTCTGTATGTATAACAATCTACAGATAGGTAATTGTTTAAATTTATGATATTCTGTAATCCAGTATGTACAAACTGATAATAAATATCTATACATATACAGAGTGTCCGGAAAATCGCCTGCAATACTTCGAGAGATAATTCGGAACTCAAAAAGAAGGAAAAAAGCTATATAAACATAGGTTCAGAAATAATTTGTTTCTAAGTTATAACCATTTTTATGTTAAAAAAAAATTGTAATTTATTTTTCATAATCATTATTTCTGTATTCTTAAATTTTTTTTACTTTACTAGAGGGATGCCAAGCGGACTATGCTTCCACGTGGTACATCCTGAGTAACGCCAAAATTGTCCGAAATGTATAGTTATTTATGTCAAAACACTATGAAATAAATTACGATTGTGATTATGAAAAATAAATTACAACATTTTTTTAACATAAAAGTGGTTACCATAATTCGGAAACTTATTTCCGAACCTATGTTTATGTAGCTTTTTTCCTTCTTTTTGAGTCCTGAATGATTTCCCGAAGTATTGCAGGCGATTTTCCGGACACCCTGCATAAATACATGCATGTAAAATATTACTCTATCATAATTGTAATTATTATATCATAATTAAGAATTTTATCTTTGATGAATAATATATACATAATATTGTACTTACGGAAGCTGCTAAAAACGCATCATAATTAACTACAATAGAATGTTGATTTATCACAATTATTACTGCTATTGAAGCCGCAAATAATAATATAGACGCAATGAAATGATAAAGGAGTTCCTGAAAGTTTAAAAGAAATTATCAATTTTTTAAATAAATCATACTAAACAGCTTTTTGTAATTATTCATGCTTTCGATGTTTTGAATAAGTAATACTACAAACTACTTTTTTCATTTTAAACGAAACTAATAGATTTAATCATTTTTACAAATTACAATTTATAAATCGTATAATTTTATTTATGTATATGGAATTACTTACGTAAATTGTTTTAGATATAATAGATGCAGCAGAGGGTGATATCAAGTTACTGACATACAGAATAAAAGTGTTAATAAAGAAAGTACATGTTGCGACAAAAAAAAATAGATATGCTGATGCTCTGTATAAGAGTACATATTTATAACTAAGCTCGTGACCAATAATTCCTACACAAATCGCACCCAGTACCTGTTAGTATAGAAAATTGAGAAAACTAATTAGATATATGAGCTTTCTATAAATATAAAAATAAATAAAGAGTATCAAAATATTATTGTATGTATTGTATATTATAAATAATATACAATACATATAATAATATTTAAGAATATTTAAGAAAATTACGAATATTATTATCGTAATAAATATATTAAATTCAAATAACAATCAGTAACCGAAAAATAATACTATAATTCTATTATTTCAAATATTAAATATAAAATTGTGTTTCTTTTGTATAGCTGTTTCTAAATATTTTTCGTAAATTAGTTACTTTAAACTAGAAATAATATTGATCTTTTAATTTTTAAATGTCACATATTTTATAATTAGATATTTACATTTAAAGTTATCTTACATTTTTACTGAAAAATTTACGATTAAATTGATGTTGCTTGATAATTAATTAATTACATCATGTTGAATATTAATATTAAATACTTGAAATAAAAGAAGTCATAACAACAATCTCAATAAATGAATAAAACAACAATGATATATACCACTTGAAGGATCTTAGCAATTCCATTCCAACTTTTCATATAATTAATGTTGATGGTTATATTCAACATTATTGTTCAGTTTTAATACCAGTTCTAAAATCAAATTTTTCTTGTAATTGTATACATATCAATTTATAAAAATTTTCTTAATGTATAATATATACACTGAAAGAAAAGATTGACTGTTGCAGCAAATTAGATGATAGAATATGGCATAGTATTTTTAATTGGCTGCTACAGCTAATCTTTTTATCATCTAATTTTTTACAGCAGCCAATTTTTTATTTCAGTGTATAAATAAAAACATTAAATAAATCAAAATAAAAAAATGCGGAAATTTATAATAACGACAAATTTCATCGGAAAGTTACACAGGTTCTTGAAAGACTGTACTTGTATATTTAGCCGCAAAAATTTCATGTACCTACTCCATTTTCCTTAATAACTTTATATCTTTTGTTTAATATTATATGTATATAAGCATCATATAAACGTCCGCATCATGCAAGCAATTATACCTACATATATGTATAAATATTGTATACACAAATATAATAATTGTATTATTAAAAATTATTCACATAACTTCGTCAAAAGCTCTTATCAATTGTGCCACACGTAATACAATAACTTAAATTTTATAAATAGACACAAGATACAATATTTTATTTGATTCAACGAAATAATATAAAACAATTTAAATTTTGCAATATTTCAATTACATTAAATTCTGTAATTTAAACTTTAAATCTGTTATTAATAATCATAAAAATTTTTATTAACTTATATGAATTAATAAGACACTTTTTCTAATCACAGAGTACTTTTACAATTCTGTGGAAGTCAAATATTACATAATGATTATAAAAATACTACATTATTTATGTAAAAGTTTTTTAGCGCAAATAAACTTATCTAAATTTAACATAATTTACTTAATACGATAATGTTAAAAATATAATTTTTTATTGCAAAAAAGTTTTCTTTTAACATCACATTAATAACGAACAAGAAGGGATTGATAATTTTACGATATAATAAAATCTGTATTGTAATCTAACATGATAAGAATTATAAAGGATTAAATACTTTACACGTTGCTTCCGAGTAATATTATCTATTATATTCAATAAATTCTTGTTCAATGTCAACTTGTTTTTTGCACTTGAAAAAATTGTCACCAATTATATTTTGTAGTATTGTTATATATTGTTCGCTCACTTTTTTAAGTTAATTATATAGATTATTATATAAAATAAAATTATATATTTGACTTTCCATTAATTTCTTGAGGAATTGGAAAAACAAAAGTAAAGTATATAAAACTAATAGCAATCTAATTAATAAATATAATATAAAAGATATGTTGTTCTCACACATAAAATATATAAATTTTTCGTATTCTACAAAAATTAAAATAATTAAGTGAAAAATAATTTAATAATTAAGAATAAAAAATAGTTTCTAAACTTACCTTAACAATATCAGAAAATCTAATATGATTTTAAAGCTATGATATCTTTATAGAAACTCTCATCACAATTATTAGTTAATTATTATAATTTTTACATTCTTAATTTAATAAAATTTTCTATTCTTCTTTATTAAATATCCTTAATAAAACAATTGCATACACATTAATCTAACAAATAATTAATTAAAATGCATGTTCATGGCTATATCATGATTAAAGAATAAAGACAAAGTATAGTCTACATATGAGAGTTACACTAACCTCAAGAAAGTACGTCGTTTTACATCAGCTGTTAACGAATGACTGAAATTATATAATTTGAGCGCAGAAGACGTCACTGATATCATATAGATATTATAGATAAGATTGATATAATTACATGATACAATATTTTAGTAAGGCTTTCTTAGACGGGCACAGTAATTGATTATTTAAGATTAAAGTGATTTTTTTTTTTATCAATTCGTATACCGATCAGACATTTTAATTTTGTTATTGTCAATATAGGTAGTAAATAATAAAAAACAATTGTTATATGTATATTATATTATATTATTTTATTAAATCGATTGTAAATTTACAAAAAATATTTAAAATGTTTATGTATAAAAATTATATACAAATTGAGTCAATAGATTATTTTGTAATCTGAAATTTCTTTAACAAAATTATTTTTATATCCATAATATTAAAATACATATTATTTTAGCTTACATCTTGTAATAAACATAATATATATATATATATATATATATACTATATGTACTAAACATAATATAGTAAGAGTATCATAATTTCAAAGAATTATTTAAAAATATTAGAGATTTGCAAACGCTTCGCTTCGTTTTCCTTGAGATAATCCTAAAGTTACCAGTTTTTATCAACTAAACGTAATAATCTTTGTGCAACAATTACTTTTTTCAGAGGTATCAAAGGGTTTGGGGGTTATCGCAGTATCATAATCCAATGCCAACGTTTCGTAAACCTTGCCGTTTGCTTCATTAGAGAGAGAAGCACACTGATATTGAGCAGACTGAGCTGCTCCTCCGAAGGATTCCCTTTACAAAAATTCTATTAAGAGGAAGGTTCAGAAAGAAAGAAGGGGAAAAACGACTATTTAACATAAAATGGAATAAATGCTCAGTTAAATTAAATTTTCTAAATAAGAAAAAATTGATTTTTAATTGTTGCTTAACCTACGCGAACTGTATATAATATTAAAGTTTTAAACTATTGTTTGTAGATTTGGGATTGAAGGTAAGTACAATTATATTTAAGAACAATTTAAAATATATCAACTGGTATATTTTAGGTCGAAAAATAGTGAAAAAAACGATTTTTTTTTTTCGACATGTTCTACCAAATCTAGAAATCTGAAAAAAATATCAAATGCAATAAGATTTAGCTGCTAAATTATTTTAGAAGTGGTCAAATATTTTAATCATATATAGAATTGCAATTTTGAAAATTCTTTTATTAATTTTTAAAAAAATAGAATTTTGAGCCAAGACTGACAAAAAAGTTTTTATTCCATAATCTTTTTGATACTCTTTATATATCCATGATTTTTTTTGTAAAAGTCCGTTTAGATTTAACGGAGAAAAATTACTAATGAAAAATTACATTTTTTTCGATATCTCGAAATGGTGTGGCTCTTTTAAAATCAAACTTTGTCCAAAATATTCTTTTATCTGGGTGTTCATTTTGCCCCTTGTGGCGATCAATCGATACGTGCGAAGCCCGAAATCTTCTCTTTACATTACTATATCCTTTGACTATAGATTAAACAACCTGTCATACTGATGAAAAACAGCTATATATATGAGCATGTGCTGTCACATTCTCTGTTATAATTTACCAATTATTTTAAAAAATTCTGTAATTCGTTCATTAATCATCTTTTCTTAAAATAAATTCAGCTAAATAATATTTATTCTTTTGAATCATATCTTGGGATTTGAACGAAATTCATGTTAAATTCGCTTGAATAGTAACTTATATGCTTATGTCGCTGCTTTTCATCAGTTTATCAATATATCGCACGTGAGGGAGCTAAACTTAACAATTACATGAGTTTCGAAAATTTTCCTTAAGAGTGTGTAAGAAATATCTATTAAAAATAATAGAATATTCTCAGAATATAATGTGCTATCTAGGATTCTCAGTATACAAAAGATTAGATAGAACAAACAATATTTCCGAGAGACATAATCGTGAACTTAAAGAAACTCTTAAAGAACATTCGACAATTTTTGCATTACGTAATAGAAAATAATCTCATTATTGGAACATTAAAATTTTATTATATATATATATATGTCCATATAGGAAACTCAAGAGTGTCTTTACTTTTTTTTATCATTTTTGCCCAATAATATTTGATAATTTATATAAAACTAATAATAGGTCAACATTCTCTCCCTCTTCTTCAATTGTGTTCCAAATATCATTTAGTTCTATTTCTTTTTGTTTGAATTTTTCTGATCGTATCCAAAACTTTTCGTTGCTTAAGAAGCTTCGAATCTTTCGTTGATGTTCCGTTAAAGAGCCTGAAAGTAAATTTGGATACATATCAAATTTGTATTTGAATGCGTATTGTATTATACATACGTAAGAACGCAAAAATTGTCGAATGTTCTTTAAGAGTTTCTTTAAACTCACGATTATGTCTCTCGGAAATATTGTTTGTTTTATCTAATCTTCTGTATACTGAGAATAAACTGGACTTAAAACCATATATCTATGTCCGCTTATAATAATTAATAAATGTCTTTAGCTGTTCGTTTTCTTCTACATTAAAAATTACTTTTGTAATTAGATCGAACCCTTCCTCTATAAAATTTGCTGGTAATAAGACCAAGGCAATCATTAATTTTATAAAGCCCCGTTCTAACTCGTCATCGCTCTGATTACGTCGAAAAATTTTATGCTTCTTTGCATTGTCCAGTAACGCCTGTAATAAAATACTATTGTAATGAAACAATTTGCTATTTGACTTACTCAATACATATCTTATTACGTTTCATCACCTGACTATAATGGAAGAAACATCCAACAATCTTAATATTCGGGAAGACAATTTGTAGAGCTTTCTGTTCAACTTTCTCGAAATCAACAACTGCAATTTTAAGTTGCAATTTTAAAATATTATTAACTTTCAATATATAAGACATCCACGTAATTTTTAGTCGTTCTTCCTCTCATAATTACATAAACTATTGGAAACGTCTAAAAGTTGAAAAATGATATTTATAATAATAATACATAATATCAGATATTATTACAAGAGAATACATTACACAAATAGTATTTCTCACTCTTTTATTTTGTCTAACTATTATTGTCCACAGTTGACAATTGCGATTTTCTATTTTCAGGACGGTCGCAAATGTCCCGTCCACGAAAATGGTACATAACGAGTTATTCTCCATTTTATTTTTTAAAAATTTATCTTATTTTATATGTATCATCTTTATTTAATATTAATCTAACTTTACAATTTTCATTTTTTTGGTAACCATATTCATAATACCTATTAAAAAAGTAAAGCGTTAAAATGCAATATTTTCAAAAATTTTTGACGATATACAGAATATACAGGTTATACAAATTATATCAATCGATAATTTATCAATATTTTACTTTATATGTTTATATGAACTATTATAATGAAAGATGTATTCATCGTGTTCCAGTGTTGGTACATGTAATCTGGCTAATTTTTTTTCGGCCATTTTGTTATATAATAAATTTTGTTACAAATAAAAATAATTAACTCAAAGTTAACATGCATTAGCATGGATAAACAACTGTCAATCAAATTTTGTAACATTTGTATTGAGCGCTGCACGATGCTGCACCTCTGCATACTCTAACGCGCAACAGAATTAACAACTTACAGAAATAAATTTATGGATCCTAGGGATTTTCTAGAAATGCCAACATTCGTCCGCCATTTTTTATGGATTTTGTCCGGTAACCGTTCGCACACTACGTTACCGAACGCGTAAATAAAGAACACTGTTATTTATATGAAGAACAGTACAAAATATTTATCAATAAAGAACGCAGATCAACGGTCAATCAAACGTCTCAGCGCAGCGAAGGCTCATATCGAAAGGATCCTCTCCAGCTTGTTTCTTAAACAAACGGATAGTCACCAGGCAACACCAGGCAACACGATCTTCAGGACATAGGTGACGATCTTATATACGGGTATCGGCAAATTACGGGCATTCGAAACGGCACGGGCATACATATATGTACACAGTACAGGATGTTTCCAACACAACGGTAAGTCGAGTTGCCTGTCTGCCCATGGGCAGGGACCATGTTTTACTGATATGCAGAATAAGATTAGATGACAAATCCGGTGGGGAATGAGACAAGAGAAATTGAATTTTACATACTGGTATAGTGTAAAATTCAATAATAAGATATAAAATATGTATTTAATTATACAAATAATATTTATTAAATGTTTAAAAATATATAATATATAATTATAAATACTTACAATTATAAAGCAAATATTTTTATCTTGAAATATCTATATAATAAATATTTGTTTTATAATTATAATACAAATATTTTTTCCCGAGGGTTTCTTTCTCCCTTTCTTTTCTTCGCTCTCATAAATACATTGATTTTCTAAATATTTTATTAAAGATTTGCATAAATTAAACATGATTCAAGTTTGTTGTGTGTAAATGAGCTGGATGAATTATGTTTATAAATCTATTGAATTCATGAAGAAGCGTCTGAAATTTATTTGTATTTTTTATAGGAATTCTATGAAAGTGTAACGTTCTTCCATGATATGATGGTTTCAAATCTAGGTACACTATAAGTTTCTCATAGTATTTGCCACAGTTATTAGTACATGGTTTACGGTCGTAAGCGTAAAAATGCGTACCGAAAACCATTTTTGTTAAGAAATATGGAGGGATTGAACATTCTTTATTGGATATTTTGTGTGTTAAATTAAAGTAAATATATTTATCGTTTCTCATTATGTGCTTACAAAATCTCGTTGGGCATGAATTGGTCACAAATCTTAAAAACATTTTATCTTTGGTGACAATATCTGCAAAATATACTAATATAAATTAAGGTTTTTTTTACATTTACGTAGTACATAAATTATAATACTTACCAATAAAGCATGGTACGGTTTCAAACAATATTGTGGTAAAACTGGAGGAGGAATTAAAGCTTCTTAACCAACTGTCATTCATCTGTGATACAATCTTCCACACATTTAAATTTGAAAAATAGATATACATTAGGCACTCAAAATCTATATAAACAGATTTTAAACAGAGTCAGTTAAACATTTTTCATAGCAGAAAGACAATAAATATACAGAATCTGTAATATTTGACAATATCGGTAAATTGCCGGTAGAAATCTGACAAAATTTACTGATATAACCTGATGGTAGATTGACAGAATCGAGATAGATGTGTCGTACGCAATGTTGTCGACCTCTATGAAACTGGACCCACTTTTTTAAAATTTGGAAAAAATAAGCAGAGTTCTAATTGCCCCCCAAACAGTTCTAGAGTTCTCTATCAGTTTAAAAAAGAGTTCCGTCGATTAAAGCGGTGAAAACACCATTTAAAGTATCGGGGGAGCCAACTTCACGATTCTGAAACTTTGGAGAGCTATAACCCTTTTGTCGTTCATTTTAACACATTTATCCATATAGGACAATCGATAGAACTCTTCGGGGCGTCACCAGAACTCTAAAAAAAATGCTGGGTTTCTCAAAATTTGTTTGAAAAAAAATGTTTTCAAAAAATAATTTTTTTTTAATCTATCGTTCCGCTATGAATTCTGATAGCCTCCCCTAAGATTTTTAACGATTACCCTTAATAATCAAATAGCTAAGATCGCAAAAAAAAAGTTCTAGCACCTTGAAGTTGAAAATTCGAAATCTGAAACTTCAAATTCCTAGAATTTTTAGTTATAGATTTCAGAGCATCGATTATTGAGGACAATCGTTAGAACTCTTACGGGAGCTACCAGAACTCATAACGGAACGATGAATTTAAAAAGTTTTTTTTGAAAAAAAATTTTTTTGAAAAATATTTTTGGAAATCCAACATTTTTTTTAGAGTTCTGGTGGCCCCTCCGATATGGATAAAAGTGTTTAAATGCGAGCGGTGGGATGTGATAGTTCAATGAGATGAAAGGTTTCCTTTCGCTGTTATTTCAATAAGACAAAATATTAGATGTACAACTTTGCTTCCGCCGTTTTCCTATGGATGGCTTTAAGTGGTGGTCGAAATAAATAGATTATAGACGTTATACAATAAACTTGGGCATCTGCCAACATAACCCCATAGAAACATTAGTCGATTTGTGTCTGCATCATAAAGTTATTCTCGATTGAAAATGTCAGTTTACGAGCCAAATTCTCGTCATTTGCGGGAGATTTTAATTTTCTGCTTCGATATGAAGAAATCTGCGGCTGAGGCTCATCAAATGCTCTCAAATACTTATGGTGAGGTCGCTATTAGTGAAAGAACGTATCATGAGTGGTTTCAACGCTTCAAGAACGGTAATTTTGACGTCGAAGACCGGCATAGCGATGGAAGAGAGGTTTTCGAAGATGCAGAATTGGAGACATTACGTGATCAAGACTCGTGTCACAATCAAGAAGAATTGGCACGATCATTGGGAGTGACTCAACAAGCCATTTCAAAACGTCTCAGAGCCATGGGAATGGTTCAGAAGTAAGGAAATTGGGTGCCGTACGAGTTGAAGCCGAGAGATGTTGAACGGCGTTTGTTTGCTTGTGAACAGCTACTTGAAAGGCAAAAACGGAAAGGATTTCTGCATCGCATTGTGACTGGAGACGAAAAATGAATTTATGACGATAACCCCAAGCGCAGAAAATCATGGGGAGTTCCCGGCCATACTTCCACGTTGACGGCCAAACCGAATATTCACGGCTCCAAAGTCATGCTCTGTATTTGGTAGGACCAGCTCGGCGTAGTGTATTATGAGCTGTTAAAACCGACTGAAACAATCACAGGCGATCGGTGTCGAACGCAATTGATGTGTTTGAGCCGAGCATTGAAAGACAAACGGCCGCAATACAACGAGAGACACGATAAAGTGATTTTGCAGCATGACAATGTTCGACCCCATGTTGCGAAAGTAGTCAAGACATACTTGGAAACGTTGAAATGGGAAGTCCTACCCCACCCGCCGTATTCTCCAGACGTTGCTCCCTCTGACTATCATTTGTTTCGATCAATGGCACACGGCCTGGCTGACCAGCACTTCCGGTCTTATGAAGAAATAAAAAATTGGATCGATTCGTGGATCGCCTCAAAAGATGACCAGTTTTTTCGATGCGGGATTCGTACGCTGCCCGAAAGATGGGAGAAAGTAGTGGCCAGCGATGGACAATACTTTGAATCATAATGTATAACCAGTTTTTTACAAAGTTGTACACCTAATAATATATTCCATAATTTCCACTCTTTCTCTACTAATAATTTCAATTTAAATAACTACAAAATTGCATTCTATTTGATTTAATTTCTGCTGTCAATCTGCTATCTAATTGCACAGATCTTACTTGGTTTTTGTCGTCAAACTAATGGTTTATGTGAACAAATTTTTTCAATCTGCTGACGTGCTCTCATCAATTTTGTCAGTCTGTCAATATTCTGCTAACATTTTACTTACTGAAGAATTCACAATCACTTGTAAATGTACTTCTTAGTGTTTCAGGAATATGTTCAGGAGAACATTTTGCCGTTGCGTTTCCTGCACATAAGATTAATTTTTCATCCAAAACGGAATAATTAGAAACATGGCGCATTTTGCAAGGTATCTTTGCACCTGATGTCCACAAGCCTGCGTAATTAAAATATTTAGGAACATTAATAAAATCCAGTGAATTCTATATACATACTGGAACCAGCTTTGAAAGGTGACCGATTGTGCGAGAGTGACAGTTATACAAATTGAGACGTCTGTTTACATTTAATATACTACATTAAAAAAAAAAGATAGACATCCTTGACTCATATAAGTGTCTCTTGCACAGTCGCCCACTCTCCATCACATTTGCATAAGAAGGCTCACTCTAGTATGATAAAGAGCAAGAATTCAAAGAATTTCGCACCCAACACATTTATGTAATATTTAAATACAAAAGCAAAAATTAACAAAGAAGTACTATTTTATTTAATGACAGACAATTTTAAAAATTAATAAATAATTATGAAAGCAATTTTATGATTAATCTAAAAAATATACATAATAACCTTCTAAGAGAACTTTGACATAAAGTCTAGTAAATCTCTATGTGTATACTTTTCATATTGTATTAATGAAACGCGTATTATAAAACTGTATATTTAAAATCACCTGTATAGATATCGTAGATATCAACACTGGATTTGGTTTCAAATTTGTCTCCAAGACCGCCCACAAGAATTAATTTGTTTTTCATAAACGCAGCAATCATATCGGTTCTTACAGTTGGCATACTAAAACATTTGTAGAAATTATTTTAACAAATAACATACTATTTATTTTATTACTCTTATCATTTATTTAAGAATGCATTAGGATACTTACACAGTCTCAAGAAACCAATTTTTAGATATCAAGGAGTAACGCCACACATCTTTGTTAAATATACCTGTGTGAAATCCAAATTCTCCACCACACAGGTAAACATTGTACCCTAAATACATTATATAAAATATTGAATGAATAAGATAATATTGTTCTAAAATAAAATATAAAGTCAAAAGAAGGCTACATACTTCTTCCAATAATCGACATCCTTTGTAATGGATATGTATGACCAGCAATATCTTTGGGAAATTTAAATGAGGTAAGTTCAAAAAAATTATTACCATCCCAACAATGAATAAATTTTTTATCTCTATGAGAATTGCTACTTTCACCAGATATAATACTGTGTAATATTTGTGTTTCCTTATTCTTTAAGATATCTAAAGGAATTGTAAAATCCTGAAAAAAAGAAGTGATTTTATTATATAGAGTTCTAAGTGGTTAAGAGTAATTTTTATTATAATGAATTATAATATATTAATGCACAATAGAATATAACATAATGTAAATAGGCATAGTGTGTTTTTGCACATATTTATTGCTACAGCCAATCAGAATTTAGCCCTTTATTCATTCATTCTTCGGCGGTAATATAAACAAACCTGGTAATTAAAATCTGGTGATTAAAATGCAAAATTTTACCCTTAATTCTATTTTTAAATTATAAAATTTATGATATACCATGTTTCGTATTATTATTCTACAGACTCCATATATATATACTACTACACTACTAACTCCTTAGCATAAACTTATGAAAAATGGGTTCCTAATTTATATCGGTTCTGCGCATATGCCAAATGTTAACCCGAAAGAATGCAATATTATGACTACGTCCTGCATATCATGTAGTATCATGGACATTTAGCAAACATTATCTTAGATTCCGGTCATGATTGTCTAGTGCCTAATGGGATACGTTGAGTGCTTTCCATTTGGTCACACAAGTCGTCACAAACATCCTTTTTATCATTATGTTAATTGTAATTATCTTATATTATTAATCTCAGGTAATTGATTTTTATTATATTACTTAAAATATCTGTAATTGCTGTTTTATATTTTTCGTTTTTTATAATTTTTATTCTTATGTGCTATATATAGTTATATTCTCGAGAGTTATTCTTAATAGTCAAAACGGTTTTCACACTTTCCAATTATCTAATTCGCAGAATATGACTATATCCAATGATACGTGTATACAAATCATTTTGTTTTGACAAGAATTATGTGTTCTGTTGAGAAATTGTTAGCAGCATCATATTGACTGGAATTTTATTATAAGGCACGCGAAAGAATAACTGTAAAAATATTTCCTATTTTTATTGTTTAATTTAGTTTCCATATGTAATTAATTTTAAGTTCTACATTAATTAATTTTAATTTCTAATTTTTACATTAAGAATGACTCAGAAAGGGTCGAAACGTTCATGGTTATGTTTATTATGTATGGAAAATGAAAAATACTCCATGTCAAATTGCATCATGAATATAATAATATATATTTTTTAAAACAAAATAATATAATTAAAAATCTATGTGTTTAACTTGTTAACATACAATTCTATACTACAATTCGATGATTAATATAGAATAATAGCGTTTTCCCTTGGTTACACTAGTGCACCTTGAATGCACATTAAAGCCATTGTACTATAAGTATTATTATGTATATCTAAGTGTAAAAGTATAAGTACTAGTATAATCTTTAATATAAAATAAAATTAGGATTGTAGGAAAATGTAGATAAATATTTATACAAAAATATTAAAAATTTAGGAAGATTTATGATGCATAGGACATTATTTCTTTTCCACATAAATATCCATATTAAAAACAAAAAAATACGTTTTTAAAAAGTTATTTTGTCATTCTATAAATTCTATGTAAAAATTTCGATAGCAGAGTTTTTAGTCCGTCATACTGCATCAGTCATTTTAAATTCTGTAATTTTGATCACAAATTCTTTTTTAGGAATCCCAAATATCCTTATACACTAAATTTTTAGAAATCGACCTTTTTTTCTACCCCCAAAAACACATTTTATCCGAAACGTTCTGCTGCTCAAGGAGAAACTTACGTGGCTTTTCTCGTATTTAGGAAATTATACCATTTTAATTTTTCAAGTTTTACCTTTGTAAAGATATATATATATATACAGCCATTGACAAAATTATTAGGCACCCTTGCTTTTTCTAAATTTTTCACAACTGAATGTGCA